CGTTGACACTTATGCAGCAAATGATTAACTACAAAAGGTGGAAGAGTAAACAAAAATAGAATTATGAACACAATGTTACAGGATAAATAATGGCAGTGCTTATGTCCTGTTTCAGTAAAGACAAACGCTTTTGAAATATATAAATTTCAGTATCTACGATTTTCAGTCAGTTAAGAGTAGGTTAATATGCATTACCAATGGAGACATAAAATAGGGAATACTTCAGATGGCAACATAGTAATTCGTTCGTGTAAATAAACACACAAGTTTCAAAAATAGGTTAATTTACCTGTGAAACACGCCTTTCTGATGTGCACCAACAACAAGTGTCTGCAGGCACACCGACAAGTGGTGACCACGCGGTCATAGTATTCGACATAGTCCTCCGCGAGCGTTTACAGTGGGACAATACACAGCCCTGTCTATGTTATAACAAAGCCAATTACATCGAAATGCGAAGACTTTTGTCTGAAGCAAATTGGTCTAAAAAATGGACAGAGCTAACAGTAGAAGAACACTGGGGAGCAGTAAAGGAGGTCATTCACCAGGCGGTTTCAGACACTGTTCCATTAGTCACACCAAAAGCTAGGAAGCAACGTGGCTGGACTTATCCGGCATGTTGGTTGAAATTTCGCTCGGCAAATTTTTTTTGTAAATAATTTTTAATAAAATTTTGTTATATGTTTTCTGGATTGATAGGAATTCTCATTTCCTGGCTAGTTATGTTGGTGTTCGCGTCATTTAATCTGACTGCGACACACCTAGCATTTTGGTTGTAATGATTAGTGTTTCATGCTGAATGCGTCAAAACATCTCTACAATGAAGAAGATGGGGTAGTTGGGGGGTAATGTCATCTACACAAATAGTTTATTTCTTGTAGAAGCTGCAGCTTTCGACATAGTGTCATTCAATGAAGACTACGTCAAAATGTGGCCATTTTCGTGTGAAGAACAGTACTATTTTACAAAACAATGCTATCAGCACATGGGAATCACCTATAAATGCCAACAGAACGTAAAGCCAATGTGTAAACGAACGGCTACGGAACTGCAATCCAACATAACCGACTAACATGGACGAAAATGACCTTTGAGCGTCTCACTCCATCAATGACCTTGAGCATGCGGGATAATTTCAGCCAGCAACGTTCATGGCTAAAAAGGGGGGACACAACGCCTTCTGCAGGCGAAGCGAAAAGCCTGGTTTGCGTGGCGACTATCGAAGAGTCAACCCGAACATGAAGTGTACCTTGAACTCGGGAATCGATGCAGCATACGAGTCTGGAGTGACAGAAGGACATTTCAGAGAAACCTCGCCAATAATCTTCTCGTGAACCCCAAAAGCCTATACAGGTTTATGTCTGAAAGAAAACCGACCAACCAGGGAGCATGCAATCTAGTGGGTTCTGGTGGAAAATCTCTTACTAGTCTTGAAATATATATATTTATTCCTATCTATGTAGGACACACCAGTTGTACAGGCATGGATAAGTATTATTTACATTACATGAATTTGATTTATGGTGAAATTACATGGTTGCTGCCCTCTCTGACATTAGTTAGTGAGTACAATCTGATAGCTAGTCGTTCAATGGAGCACATAAATAAATATAGAAATATTGCCTTCACATTAACAAAAACCCAAGTATGTGTTGGATAAATAACAAATATCTGGGAAAAAAATAAAGCTTGAAGTCGTACCATTTCATACTGCCCCTTCGTTTCATATGTTGATAACTAAAATCTAGAAGGTAAACTGCAAATCTCTGATTTCCTTACTCTTTTATTGTACATATATATTTATAAAATGCTGTTAGGGACGATACATACAAAATGGCTGACTGAAAGTAGTCATTCATGCCATGAGTTTCGTTGAGTTAGCTAGTGAAGGCAAAAACTGTCTATATGACACTTAGCAATAAAAAAAGATTCTTTTTATAAAAAACAAAAGGAGTATTTCACCAGGGCCTAGCAGACTAAAAGGTGGGAGGGTGGTGACTGCTATTCAGCGGATATGATGGTGGGGACTTAAGAGAACCACCCTTATCTGTGGGAATGCGCTCTATTGCTAAGGTTCCTGAGTGTGAATGACTTCAAAAAAATAATAAAATAAAATAAAAGCTGCTTGTGTGACAAAGCTTGTGTATCAACTCTTTGAAAACAAGCTCATGGTACGATTTCTCTACTTCACGAGGACATCTAACTGTATAAATCAGAACAACAGCATAAATAAGTATCATCATTCTTTTTGTTTTTCTTCCTTCTACATATTTTATGTAATTTGGCTTTTGGATTTAACTTCTCCAATTTCTATTTCCATTACCCTATATAGGTGTAAAAATCATTATTCGTTTTGCTCTTATGTCTATTTTTTTAAAAATTTGTTATTCTACATTTTTGGTTGTTGTTTACTACCACAAACTTGAACTAACTGTTAATATGTAACACTATAAAACTCAATGACTCTAAATTATTAGTAACAAAAAAGGTGAATAAACCCTGCGGTTATCGCATACTGTTTGCTCGAATTATTATTTGCCGGCTGCCTCTGCACCTCTCTTTATGTTTTCTTCTTTCTCTTCTCGAAGGTATTGCATGTATTCACGGCAAATGAACAGTAATGCTGCTTTCTACGCCTGTATTACTTGAGCGTTATTCAGAATATTGTTTGCACACACGACGAACAACGGAACAAATTCCATTCTGAATTCTGTTTATCATCGCAAAGTTGGTCCCCGCTACTGTGGAGTTTTATAAATTTTTGAACCCTTATTAATTGACAAAATGATAATGATCACAAGGCCTGTATCCTGTATGTCTTACTCTAGCGCCGGTGTTTCACCTCTCTTCTTACCTTCCATTAACGCAACATTTCGTGATTCCCGCATGAATTTGAAATGGCAGAGACATTCAGTCTAGCCTTTCACAAGCAGCTAAACAGTAACGAGGATTTTACCCCCACAAAACATCAAGATTATAATGCAAAACCAACACGCGGAAACCTTCTAGGTACATTTCAAATTACCCCGGCTATGGTACTCGTAAAATTGGGAAAGTTGACCTCTGGAAAGTCTGCAGGTTGTGATGACATCAGACCATCCATCCTGAAGCAGTGTTCAGAAAGTCTCTGCCAACCCCTAAGTGATCTGTTTCAACATTTTTGATGTAGGGAAACTTCCATGTGAATGGAAGCGAGCCATCCTATCCCCTATCTGCAAGAGTGGTGATCGGCAGAATGCGACCGGTTACAGACCAGTTGCGCTACTTCCAATAATATCAAAGATATTAGAAAGTTTCATTGACGACCACATGAGAAAATACTTTGACGGGACTAACCTACTCCATGAAGCACAGCACGGTTTCAGGAGGGGAAGATCCTGTGTGACGAATCTTCTACCAGCTTGGAACGATTGGACACTATCCTGTGATGTAAAGGTACCAGTCCATGTGATCTTTCTCGACTTTGCGAAAGCATTCGACACAGTTCACCATGGTCTGCTCCTTCACAAAATAAGCAAGGCGGGTGTTTCTGGAACACTTCTTGCGTGGCTGAAAGATTACTTAGGGGAGAGAGAATTCTGCACCAAAGTCAACCGCATCCGATCATCCTGGCACACCTCGGCATCAGGGGTTCCTCAGGGTTCTATCTTAGGGCCGTTGATGTTTTTGATTTTTATCAACGACCTGCCCTGTCAATTGAACTGCTCTGCGCTTCTTTACGCTGACGACGTAAAGATTTGGAGAGCAATAAACTCATCGGAAGACTCCAACAGATTGCAGGCTGACCTGCAAACTCTGGGAGACTGGGCTCTGGCTAACGGAATGCCTTTCAACTTAAAGAAGTGCAAAGTAGTGCAACTACATTCCGGCAGGTCACAGAGTGTAAACAACACCCTTGGTGGCCAGAACTTGAGTTGTGTGCCATCAGAACGCGATCTAGGCCTTATTTTAACAGAAAAGCTAGACACCAGTGTAAATTACACGAGAGACGTCGCCATAGCTTACGCTACTCTACACTTTATGCATAGGCAGCTGGGAGCTCTTACTCCTGAAGTGTTCTTAACGTTGTATACGACATACGTGAGGCCACTCCTTGAGGTGCATAATATCATTGCTCCTCCGCTACTCAAAAGGGATGCTAACATTCTAGCAAGTGTCCAGAGACGAGCGACAAAATGGGTGATCGGCCTCCGCAACAAATCATATGAGGAAGGACTGAAGAAATTAAGTCCTTTCACACTTAGTTACCGTAGTCACAGGGGAGACCTCATCACCGTCTATAAGATCTTAAATGACCAGGCCCACCCTAATAAAAGCATCCTGCCATTAAGTGATTATAGGCTTCCACGAGGTAACCTGCTAAGAATAGCACACCAGAGACCAAAGACTCGAGTGCGTTCACATTTCTTTTCGCTTCGAGTTTGCCGTCTCTGGAACGCTTTACCGGCGGCCGTGACTACATCGCCATCTGTGGAGACTTTTAAGCGGAAGCTGGAAAATCATGCAGAAATGCATGGTTTGTGTCTCAATGGCTTATCCTCTTAAAATTTGAAGCCACATTATCAATGGATAAGCATACAAGCTAAATCCCTACGATTCGTTCTGTCTTCTTTCACTGTACCGACTACTTTATTTTTTCCTTAGGTCACCTTTATTATTTCGCTTATCTCAACCTATATTATCTACAATACAACCTATTATTGTTATTATTATTACTATTTTGCTTTTATGACTACACCGAATGACCAACGGGAGTTAGGTCAAACTCCATTCACAGCAGCAACACAGTCCTAACATACTGCACACTACAAACCACATTTTGTCTAATCGCCGCACCACTCTTCTTGGAGTCTACCAGAGCTAAAGCAGTCGAGTGGCAGGATTTACTACGCATAAGTTCACCAAAGATCTGAAACCTCTACCTTACAATTAAGAAGCTCAAAGAAACCACTGGTTTATACTAGCTCGTGATCAGGATATGGGATCTCAAGGTGGTACAGGTCAGGGCGCGTTGATTAAAGGCCCAAGTTTACTGCAGGAGTTTGGCTTGTGACCATTGTTCGTATACTGTTCGATAACTTACCGACTACATTTACTTGTCTCGTGCCCAAAACATAAGAAGCAGAGATACTATGATATCTAAGTTTTACGGTTTTTTGTTTTTACATTGTAAACACCTAATTGCTCAAATCTTACTATAATTCTGAATTAAATCTCACTAATTCTGAAATAATTCTAACATTCTTGAGTGAGTAAATTCTGAATCTGTTCTGAAATGGATTTTTTAATGGTCAAGACTAGAACTCAATGCTCGTTTTCAGCATGACTGGCACTAATACAGAACCGTGTTCTTTTTCTTTTCAGTAGATCAGAACCTACTGGGTTTGCTTATCATCATTGTTCCAGCCCTCACCGGACATATAAAGAACGGACCAGCATTACTACAGAACAAAATGACTGCTACTAATTATCATCACCTGTGTCCTATGCTGGCGCAATTCGTTTAGTTTTTATAATTGAGAGAATTTTGTATTTACAAACTGTAGTACAATGTCACTGCAAATCTGTCAAATGAGGTCCACTGGTAGCATCCTGTAAATAAGCAAAATAAAAGATTAGTCGATGAAAAATTGTGCTCATCACATTTTCAGCATTTACATTTAGAAAAGTTTACTTACATAACTGCCACTGTTATATCCCCTGGTATCTTTTACATTTGCCTAGAAATAAAATCAATGTAATTACTACATGTTGACTAAACTTTGACTTATAAAAGTAAGCGGGCGTTTCACAGTAGTACCTGAATTCCTTTCTTCAGGTTACGCCTTTGGATACGACCTTTCAAATTATGAAAGTACGATTTTGTGGACTTATCCATAATGTCACCAACATCTCTCAACGTAATCAGTTGTTCGGAGAACTGCATCATAATTATAGCTACAGAAATAAGTACTTCATTAATGAACTTTACACATGTGGCCAACTTGCTTTTGAACCACTTGACCCTACTTATTTATCAACAAAGTAATCGGTTAACCGATAACCACTCAGATTATATATGCTTAAATGACTACTATAGTTCACCTTCGTCGTGAATTATCGGTTCTCCTGCCAGGGTGATTTTAAGTAATTAGTTTCTATATTGATGATCGCTTGTTTCTGGTGTATCCAATGTCAATCTCCGTACTCATTTCTAGTAGAAAAAATTTCATTCCCTCATTTTCTGGTCTGATATGTATTTTGAGGTGTTTCTAGCCAAAGAGAAGGATATTCTTTGTCCCCTTCATCAACAAAAATCAGCTTAGCACATGATTTCGCAACGGGTGGCTCACAACGGTAGTGATTTCCCTGTTATAAAAAGGCATTTACAACATGGAATTCTGTTATTTTCATATTCATCTATGTAGTATCATGATAGGCGGAAGTTGTAGTCTTAGGTTATTGCCATACATTTGTGTAATTTATGTGAATGCCAGTAGCTTTCTGTCTTGCACCTAACAACCTTTCTTTTTACTGTAGGTCACTTTGCTATGATGCGTGAAATATCCCTATTACATGCTGCCCCTTTCATCGCTGTACCTTTCGTTGGAGCGTTTGCTGGCCAGCGGGTTGTCTCCAAGAATATGGATTGGTATGATTCTCTGAAAATGCCATCATTCGCACCTCCCAAATGGGTGTTTGGTCCTGTGTGGAGTGCGCTATATGGTTGCATGGGAGCTGCATCTTACTTAGTGTGGAGAGATGCATCACATGAAAAAGCGTTACTTCCTTTGGCTGTTTATGGTGCTCAACTTCTACTTAATTGGTCGTGGACGCCTCTATTTTTCGGACAGCATAAACTAAAATATGTATGTTAATTATTACTTTTGGAAATGATGTGTTTGGCACCGTAACATATTTAGAGAAGTTATCATTGTGTTGTGTTGGATAGACGTTTTAGGAGTAACCGTTGGTTCATCAGCTGAATTATTATCTTAAAGGAATTGGAGATAAGTTAAGACTCTTGGTCGTTTTTAAAAAAGCTATGCTGGCTGAAACGAGTGTCTTCAATGTCATTATGAAGTTTACTTTGATTATGGTTAGACAAAGCACTTACCATCATAGCATCTGTTGCTTACTGTATGGCGGGGCCTGATATTGGTCGTACTGTGATAGGTAGGGGTAAGATGTTTCCTCAAGCTATGTCGTCTTCCCAGGTTAATACCAGAAATCTTATATCCTGACTTGCCGTATGCCGACTGGTAAGATCCTCTGTACGAATACAATTCTTCCTCCCTTACCTGCATAGGATATATGAGACTGGTCTCAAACATTTGTTCCTTGGGCTTTGCAGTCACGCACATCTGATGCTTTCTCTCTTTCAGGCACTTGAAAAAATCGAATTCCACTGTGTCCAACATGGAATCAGCAACTGGCTATACACATGGCTTTGGATATTTTTGTAGAACTATCGTTCCACCCTTGCTTTGTTCTAACGTAATCTTACACTGATATAATATGTAATATACTGCGATCACTTCAGTGAATGATTTTTTAGAATTTCATCAACTAATCTATTCGCATCACTTAAGATCGTGTGCCTGATCTCTACGTGATTCACAGTTTGGTTTCATCAGACGTAAGTCACGTAAGTTTTGATAACAGAACCTTGCATAAAAGTGAATCATTTCAAGTTGTCACAGCGGAAACGCACAAATAAAGAAGAGAAAGAAATATAATGAGACTATAATGAATGTGGGAGGGATTATAATTTGGTTAGTCTATATTTTCAAAATCTAGAAGGTAATAAGCAGTGATTTTGTGCACACCACTTTAAGTGATTTTAAACCATGTCGAAAAGTGTATCAGTTCACAGTATTCTGAGGCGTATCTGCAACTCTGAGGTAACGTATTTTCTTTTTGAAATTTGAACTTGCTTTGTTAAGCGCGAGTCAGAGATTTCAACTGCAACCTATTCAGATTCGTATTTACATCATACTGGGCTACACTGTTTTTACGAATCGCTTACCGGATATTTACGGCTCTCTAGGCATGTGGGCAGAAGTTGAAGTGCCGTATAGAAGCTGTTACTTTATATTTGTTAGGGATGCACGATCTTTTATAATTGAAGTAAAAATGACCTGCCTTGAATTTATACTTTACTCACTGCCTAATAGATCTCATAGAATTATTTTCCGGATATTTTGCTAAAAAGTAATTATTTATTTGGACAGTTATATTATAATGTTTTGAAATAATATTCCTATAGTTATTTGAGTGTATACCTTGCTTCTTCTTCACTATAGGCAGCAGCAGTGTGTTTAGGTATTTTCGGTGGAGCTCTAACATGTGTACACTTATTTCGACCAATCAATGTTGACGCTAGTAATCTGATGATTCCATACACTCTGTGGGTTGGATTCGCCTCACTTCTTAATGTTCGTATTGTTATGCTGAATGAAGACTGTGATTAACTGAATGTAGGACCCAATAGTTCACTAGACGTTATCATGGGAAATCTAAAAACGAAAAAGAAACACTATAGCACATTTTACTCTGAAGCTTTTTCGATAAACTGATTTCTGTTTCTCCTCTTTTCATTTCTTTTTTCAACAAAATAACTTTTCATAGAAAAAGCGATATCTCAGGGATAATAGTCGTCTTTTTATATTTTATTTGTCAACAAATAAAAATTTCTGAATTTGCTCCTTTTCTCTTAAATGAAAAGTTTTTCAATGTTGTTGGTGTCGTTAGGAAACTCACCGGCGGTATGACACCTGTCTTGACTGCATTAATATTGAGCCAGTTCGTACGGTGAACTTAATTTTGTCTAGCAGTTTAAGAGTGATGAAATTCCTAACAAATGAAATCAGGAACCAGAGAGATAAAGAATGTTCATCTCCAGACAAAAGATACCAGTTTTATGGAAATGCTTTTCTTATATCCCTTTTTTCAACCAAGAGTATCCTACCACTATATATCTGAAGCAGCACACCAGAAGTATGTATCACACTACATGATAAAAAGCATGTCTGCGTGGTCTGTCCTCCAGCACACAACTAGTTATACAGAAGTCTCGATTTTTTCTCAAGATACTTTGTAAGGGTTTATTTTAAGGGCATGAAGAAAATTATTTGAATGTGTTAGACACTTCACTTATTTTTGAGGTTGCATCAAAACTAATCGACTGGTTTCTGACAAGAACTCTTGGCGCGTACATATATGGCTGGCTTAGTAGAATCATGAAACATGGTTCCCCATCAAAGGATGCGTGTAATGTTTGTTTTTCCCTACTTTACAACTATAAGACATTGCTGTTGAAGATATAAAATATGGAAAGATTTGGAAGTTTCTGACCTTTGTTGTCTTCACTCGCCCTGGTATTAGGTGGCCCAGTATAGTTGATAAGAATGCGATTAGGCATAGTGTGTGTTACGTGATGGGACATGAAATTAATCACTGAGGTTATGAAGTTCCAACAACTGAGATGGACCGTGACCTCCGACGACGATTCATTTTGGCTGAAGTCTTATCTGGTTGGGGATAGTTATGGGGAATGTATTAGCACCAGTTTATGAACTCTTTAGTTGTTGGTTTTAGCCATGTAGGAGGGTTTAGATTACCCGTTTGATATCCTCAGAATGTTAAGAATCAATGGCTGAAGACCTTGTTATGGCTCAGAATCATTCACAATGACCCAAATATGTTCACTCCTTGTTATCTTCCAGATTCTAAAAACGTTAACTGATCTTCATCTGATTATTGTCTCTATCATACTTGTTTATGCGTTGTACTCTCGCTATATTTCTTCATACTTCTATGTATGCTTTTACCAAGCTTGGCCATCTGAACTACCACACTTTTGTGCTAAGAAAAACAATGTGAAATCACTGATAGTGTGGACACTTTGATAGTTAGTCAGTGAATCAAGTTATTCATGGTGTACGAATACATATAGTTGTCTCCGGATTGGTGAACACATACAAATCTGGTTGGGAAGAGATGAAGATAAATCTGTTCACAGTCGAATTGTACTGCATGCTATAGATACTTATAGACGTCAGTATAGTTTTTACTGTGATACATAGTATACCTAAAAATTTGCTACAAAGAGGCCTTTAGATAACAGAAGGAGTGAACCATAGTATACCATCAGCAATGAGCAATACACCGCCGTTACTGTGCTGTATCAGATACATTATTTTGGGGTTATACTCTACTTCACTGCTTAGGTTCCATATCAGAATGAAATTTAGTAGTCAGTAATTAAACTGTCATCAAATAATTCAGTTAACGTTATCTGTTTATGTATGTATATATCGATTTATTTATGAAGTTTCGAAATTCTTGTATTAATCTGCTGACAAATGGTTTAATTAGGGTAGTATGTTCATATGCAATGAACTGTTATCATATATACATATATATATATATATATCAACCTATTAAATTTTGTATTCTGTTTTCTTATGTATCATTGTGTATTAGACACAACTGCTCCGAATTTTATCGATTATTATTAGTTTGACCTGAATGAATGATGCAGGTTTTGTGCCAGGCTATGAAACACGTTTGATTCAATAAAAGCTCATTAAACTACCCTGTCGCCTAATCCTAAGTAACTTGGATAAAATGTAAACTTGGACTATAAGATTGATCTAATTGAAGACCATTGTTACATGGTCAGAATACGTTTCAGGCATTGGTGGTACGTGATTAAATTTTGTGTCGTCACAGAGCGAATCACTTACAAAATCATTAAAAACTAAGGGTTACAGTTTTGTTCTAATTATGAACTACTCAGCTCTCTATCCTCATAACCGCCCCAACTATGCTTTCCAAATATGGACGCTAGCAGTTTGCTATACAGCGCAACTGTCCTCTAATACCATTGGTGCGTAAATGCATCACGCGCTACTTGGTGAATTCTACACAATAATTCTAAATCGTTAGCAGTGTGGCGTGTACTACCGATAAGATTTATCAATAGTATACAAAATACAAAGAGAGGTTCATCGGCATAAAAACGTCAAATAGCAGGAGAATAGATTTAATGTCAGAGAAAGCAAATGATATAGCTTTGCGGATATACATGGAAACGTGAAAGGGACACACAATATAAAGACCAGAAGACCACAATACGGTAGATCTGTGCAAATGGTGATTTGAAGATAGGGTGTACATAATCTCGCTATATAGACATACTTATTTCCAAATAAACATTCCTTCACCAAGTCTCTCGTCTTCTACCGTTACACCAATACTCCTTTCACCAGAAAAAATAGTCGTTCTTATCCGACTTTTCCGTTTGAAAATTTTTATGCCTGGTTCCAAGCTATTGTTGCCTAGTTTCCTAGTCTGTCCTAAGCCCGAAAATAGGGGTGAGGTTCGGTATGGGGCGACCCTACCCAGGAAAATCAACTCAACCGCTACAGAAAATTCAAAGCGCAGAAAAGATATGTCGAAAACAAGTTAGAAAACAGCACCTTATTAGTAGTTCTTAATCAGATCCAACAGAGTTATCAGCGATACAGAGTTATGCAATCGAATGTAAATACGCAGTTGGACATCTCATGAAGCTACACTGGTAACGATATGTAGCTTGATGCTGACAGTCACATATTACTGATTGATTAGCATGAGTAGTTGGACACCAGTCACATCAATCAGTAGTTCTGACCAGCCAGATAAAAGTGATGTAAACACCGGACAGCCATTTCATTCGTCTGGGGCTGAGGTCATCAACGGTGTGCCCGATTTGATTCAGCTCAGAGAGCTAAATTAGTTCAAATTGCTTGAATTCTAAGTGGCAACTTCGGCGACTGGCTAGCAAAAACTACTGCTTGATGAGGATGGTGTCCAACTACTCATATCAGTTAGCCGGTAGTATATAACGTTATATATCTATGCTTGGTTTCCTAACTGCCATTACACACTGTGATGTGAATAATTTCTGTATCTAAAAAAGAAACTGTGTGGTGAAATTTCACCTCAAACTGTGTAAATCGCAAATAGCGAATTAGTTTTCATAATGCGACTTGATGACATTGAAAGGTTTGCTGTCGAAGAATGCTGTTTAGCTTTATGTACTGAAGTGAGAATATATATATATATATATATATATATATATATATATATATATATATATATATGGAAATTTCTACTACACCTGCGGCAAACAGAAAAGAAGGACTGGGAGTATAAAATCCAACATTCAAAGTTGTGCAGTTACATTTGACATGTTTGTGTAAACAATAAATGGTGTTCGAAATGTCTAGCAGTAAATAAAAAATTGAGATTATTCTTTAAGAAATACGACTATTAACGAACAGGCAATGGCTGGTTAAAAATGTTGTCTGTATAGCTGTTCGAGGTTTACTTCTTCCTGCTTTCTATCGGTCCTGCAAAACCTACACATTTCCGTAGAATATATAGCTAGATCGGAGTAAGAAGACAACAGTTAGCGATGAACGCCTGTTTAGTTTATTCACGCTCGTGGTCAAGTGAAGCCGAGAAATCTAGTCAAACATATGGAAGGGTATTTATCGTTCAATACTGTTCAATGAAGAAAGGGAACCTTACAAAGCATAAAGAAGGATGAATGCCTACTTGGTTACTCATCTTGTCATTCTGTACTCTTTAGTCATTAACCACCTACTGAATGCCGTTAGCGTTTATAAAACGTCCTGTGTGTGTGTACACCTGCAAAGGCAATAAACAGAAAGATTGTTACTTTAGAATGGTGTAAATACTGGAACTGTGAAGCTTATTTTCACCCCACCTCCACTTTGCTTAAATGTAATACCTAAGCTGATTGTGCGTCGGTGGTTCAGTAGTAGAATACTCGCTGACCACACATGTGGTCCAAGGTTCGAGCTCTGGCCGACGCAGTCCTAAAACCGCCTAGCCGGTATCGAATCTGATAACGAGAGAAAGGTGGACGTGAGACTAACAACCCAATCCACTAAAAAATAACACCAATACTACTGAAACTTCAAGGCTCAAGCTTAAAGCCCTATAATCCATTCGAAAAGCAAAGGAATAAAAGGGTAAACCTAGGTTGATTATAGGCCTAACTTATATACTGAAATGGTAGTGTTCATCTGAATAGTGTAAACAGCCAATCGGTAAGTTTTTTTAGCTGTATAGCTATCAAGCACAGGACGCTAGCGTTATACATGCACTAATCGTCACAGGACATAAATTAATCATTGAATTTAAACAAGATAAGCTTACAATGCAGCTGTTTTTTTCTACATGACTGCAAATTGCTCTTTAAGACTTTTGAGCTGGTGTGAAGCAGATAAAGGTAAGCAACAGTTGAATAAAGACTGAGAAAAAGAAAGATAATTTATTTAGTCAATGACAAGTGATGCCAACAAACTACAGATGGTATTTTAAAAAATCCACGAGTCCAATAAAATATTTACTACAAGAAAAGATTAGAAAACTGTCTCTATCAAAATTATGATATGACAAATTAATGACACTACATGCATCTAAGGGAATCCATTGCTCAATATGAAGGGGAGAAAAATAAAACAAAGGTTTCTGGAAATGATATGAATTAGGTTATCACAGTAAGGCATAACAGTCAACTCGACCTTGTATGTCACCACAAAGAATTATTAAGGGGTTTTCATTGACAGTGATAAGTTTGGTGACCTGTGCTTCAGTTGGATAGACAGTGATCTATAAAAGAAAAGAAATATGTGTAGTCGTGAAGTTAGTGTGAATATATATATATATATATATATATATATATATATATATATATATATATATATAGTCATCATAAACTTTAAGGACGTTCTTTCTCACAGTTCATCATCTTAGCATGCAAACAAATATGTCCGTCGGTCATAAAGTAAATTTATTTCTTGGATTATTGAAAGGGCACGGCTGAAAATGTTTTCAATTGCACTCTGTCCGACTTATGAATGCCACATGGAAAAAACAAATTTTCACCAAGGGAATATTGCTACTGTCGTTTAGATTGAGAACTACCGTTTGACTACTGTTCACTAATAATAGTAGTAATCATTTCATTCCAAAAAATAATTCTAAAAAGGAATGGAATCTTCAGCATCTATACACTACAACGATTTTACTCGTTATATGAATGAAACCTCCATAGACAAACATAAAAACTGAATTTGATAATTGTGTTATTTTGGGAATAATAAGACGTTGGCAATTCTTAGAAATAAAATAAGCAACTGTTTGTTTCAAGTTTGATCACGGACTGATATCAGTTAGAGAACCACTGAAATCCAGGGAGTACTGGATAACCGTCTCGTCCTGACTTGAGGTTCTTCAGAAGTACGCAGCCAATGGGAGTCGGACCTAGGGCCTTCAAGTTGTGAGACCAAGCTCGTTGCTCATTAGATCATTTGGACCAGAATCCAGTGGCTGGTGTATTCTAACTTCTGTCATTCCCTACTAACTAACTCTTGAAAATCAACTGTTTGCTAAGAGATTTTGATGTGGTTTCCTTCTCTAAGCTTGGTGATTTGATTGCAAGCTTTCGTTGTTCTAGACAACATCTTGAACGCATACTCCAGTATGAAGTGCACTAATCTGCACTCTCCATGAGTGATATAATAGTGATCATTTGCTAATTTGCATTAGTATTGATCGTTTTTGGTCATTTGGCTCATTCTTTATCAGTTCATAAAGTTGATCTATAATAATGTGTCTGTTAATCGTTTATTCATCTGAGTATCAGGCTTCTAAGAATTTCTTGGCATTTATTTGGTATTTCCAAGGTTTAAAATTTCTACATTTTCCCAGTGAAATTCATGTCCACAGTTGTCTGCACATTTACTGTTATATAAAAAATATACGGCGTGTGTTTTGATAGGTAGTTTGTGTCCGTGGATTAGTAGTGTCAAGGGATGCCCAGTTTGACCAATATAGAGCTTATCACAGTTTATGCAATTTATTTTTTAGATGGTGATTATCTTGCTCTGGGTCTTTTGGTTTGCATAGTATTGAATGAAGTGATTGTGTTGGATTCTGTGTGATGTCTATTTTGAATGGTTTTAGTACTGTAACCATTATTTCAGAAATATTCTTTATATGGCAAGACGAATTTCCTTTTGCTTTTTGAGGATGTTGTGTGTCTTGCTGGAGATACAATTATATCATTCCAGAAGAATTCAAATAATTTCACTTCATATTAAATCTTGAGCAGATGATGTTGTCTAGAAGTACAATGGAAGCTTCGTAATTAAATAACTAATCACCTGAGCTACAGATCATCTCTGTCATTTACACATTGTTAGATACAACTGAAGTAGCAAAATCATATAATAAATTTTTACTATGATGGTGTCTTTTTCATTACATAAAAGTTAACAGGTAACCGTGAATGCAAGTCTAAAAGTTTCTATTGATCACCATCAAAATCTAAAATCTCAACGGCAAAACAAAATAACCAGTCAAAAAGTTACTCACGTCCAGAGTGATTTTATGCAAGGCTGGCTAAAATATATTATGCGATCACTAGAATGCTAATATAAAACATCCTGACACAGTGGTCTCACAATGGGTCATCTCCTAACCTGGCAGTCCTAAATTTGACTTCACATGTGGTTGTGTTTGTGCACTGATGACCAATATCAGGCTAGGAAGAAATGTCTGTCTCTGGTTTCCAATAGTTGTTAATACAGCATGGAAGCTACTTTGAAGTTAACTCATGCCCCAAAATACCTACCTGCTTCCAATCAACTCACTCACAAACAATGCGCAATACTTGTGTTGTGTCTTAGTGTCAAATTAAATTTAATAGGTTATTTGCCGGAACCAGACAAAAAATAAACAGGAATTCTTTTTCTAGGTGTATCTAACCACATTATCTCAATAGAGGTAGAAATGATTCCAAGATGGTGAGAAGTTCACTCCATATCACGATCGAGGTGGTAATGAAGTGACCAGACAGTTTATTATTTTAGTTAATACAGAAAATTAGAATTTAAAATATACAAAAATAGTACAAGAAATGCACACAATAATTACTATTAAGTTTACCAGTTTCCAGTGTGTTGAAACCGTTTGAGTAGAATTGTTTATTGTGCATTGTAAAAGATGTAAATTATTATCTGATGTTGCTAAGATCAAATATACATTTGAATAATTATCTTCTTTCGTAGGTAATAGTACTGCACAGTAGGCAGTCACACTAACAGATAAATTCCGAAACTGTTTAAAAGCCAGAAAAAACAGAAACAAAGGTAACAGCACCATTCAAGATTTTATTTATTTAATCATTATTATTGAAACACAAAATTGGTGTATCTATTGGTACCCATGAGATGCACCACACAAAAATTGTTGGTGCGAAGGCTAGGATACTGCTTGAATGCCTAAACCAAAGTCACCCCCATCCCGAGCCTTTGAATTGAAGTATGAACCACGAGGTGGTGAATCAACGTCAGGAGCTAAGTTCCCATGGTTTCCACTGACGAAACAGGTTTATGCACCATTTGATCTGTTCGGACTCTGGGGAGCACGTAAATCGTATGTTTGGAATCAGGATTTTCCAGCTGCTCACCTAGGTAGACCTTCATGTCCACCATCAGTCCGATCGTAAGTGCCAGAGGTTCATATTTACCCATTTTACTTTTGTGAGGAACACCTCTATTGCGTGAAGATAGTGAACAGGACTTACCTGTCAATGGCTATGAATGTGTGGTTACATGAGAGCATTTTGAGAGGAGGACTGAAGTCTACCCACGCTCTGTCGTACTAGGTCATTTATTGGGGCATCTTATTTATTAGATGGCTGTTATTAAGGAAAAAGTTGTTGACAAAGAATAAAACAATTAACTTATAAACAGATAAATCTGTTGAGCGAAACTCACCGAGAACTCTGTCAATACATCACCATTGCAGTTAGTAATAATCATTTTCCAATAACAATCCATTTGACATTCAGCCAAGTATAATCTAAAGAAAAAGGAAGGCAATATCATTTATGACTTTCAATATACTCAAATTAACATAGGTGTAAGAATCACGTTATACAATCTAACTTTCGGCTGTGATAAAAAGTAAAATCGGATGAGGATAAAAGTAATCTCAGGCTGTTTTCGCACGCAGCGTAGCTAAATAGCACAAGAGATGTTCCAGCTGTGTAAAACTATCGATAAAACGGCTAAATGCAGTATTACAGTATTTCTTGAAACATGCGTTACAAAATCAAATAAGATCGTGGATAACATCAACTACCTGACGGAATTAAAAATTGCTACTGACCACCTCTGTCCTATTTCATCAGGGAGGTGGAAATTAAAGAGCTGTAAATTTGTCTGCTGACTGCCTATATCATCCTATGCATTTAGGTGTTTTATCGATCTTTTATGCAGATAAAATATCTGTAGTATCCCTTACGTATACTTTGCACAAAAACACCTTGAGATTACCTTTATCCTCACCACAAGTCAATTCGATTAAATCGTCAAAGCGAATTTTCAGGTCACCAAAGAAAGCATAGACACACAATGTGTAGTAGTTCATTGGATTAAGCAATCGAATTTCAGCCAGTAATACCCGCGTTCGAATCTCGCTGCATGGACTCCAACCTGATCAACTGGATAGTTTCATCAGCCCCTCATACAATAACTGTGGATCATAGCCAGATGAAGGAAAACTAAGTTCTACTAATTAACTGACTAACTTCTGCTCTGCGTCGAACTCAAACTATGACTTCACTGCCAGTAGTAAAATTTGGTTATGTAAACACTGAACACGAAAAAGGATGATTCAAAAACCTAAATTCTCAAATCATAACAACAACAAGTTACAACATTCGGAATACAAATGAAACAATAGGAACTGATACATGTAGGTAGGTGATACCATTATTGAAATGCTAAAATTGATAATATTTCCGTATTAAATAAAGGCCATTGTAGCAAGAAATAATTATCTAAAATTATTAGCCTACAGATTTCCTTAGCATTTAACATTAAGTGTTGACGTACACTGCTTAAATTGACTGGTTAGGCTGAAGGTACACGGTGAAATCTGCACACTGCTATGCAAAACCTCAGTTAATTAAGCACAGATCACTACCCAAGAGTACCGATTCTGAAACGTTCTTCGTGTTTTGCGCAAATAGAATAGTTGTTCTGTTTTTGCCTATTAACTGTTCTTTTGGTGCACGTCAAATAAGTACATCTAGCATCTACAGTGTAAAATACACTTATCATCGTATCCATCCGTCCTAATTAAGGCTTTTATCTCCTAAAATATCTTTCCTTATAATGCAGTAGCTAAACAGTTAGTTAAAAAAAGCTTAAGCCTTCGGTGAAAAGAATATGTCAACAAAGACTATAAGATACATTTGAACTCATTAGTTTGATTACAGATAGAAATTTATATGACAAATAATGTTGTGATTATGAATGTCTCACAGTTGGGAATAGTTAAATATACATGTGAAATAATAAAACAGTAGACGACAAATAACGATCTTTACCCTGGAGATATGAAGGTCTTTATTTAGATATGCATTATGAACGTACAATTGGTATGTAAAAGCGGATGGATGAATTTTCAGTGGACACCCCTCTGGAAAATTTACTGGTAGGTTGGTTTTTTTATGTCAAATATTGAGGATAACAGAATTCATTTAATTATAAAGACAACAGACTTTAAATACGGTTATAGATGGAACTAAGGAGAAAATAAAGGAGTACTAACAGATCGCAAGTGGCAGTATCTGATAACATCAAAGAATTTCACTTACGCCTATACTATAATTTGAGGTTAATAATGACTGGCGGCTTAATAACTCCTGAAGCAAAATCATTGGGTCCAATATATACCCCCGAAAATTTATCGGTAGTCAGCTAAGACAGTAAGTGTCATTTTCAAACAGCCATAAGAGAGACGATTCGAATGACTTAATCTCTTTTTATTTTCAAGTGTTGGTTTGTAGGGATTTGATTGGTCACAGGATTTTCATCATGAGCTGACATTAGTTAGAGAACCATTGGAAAACCTGGGAATACTGGACAGTTGTTTCGTCCAAGTTTGGGACTCTTCAGCAGTACGCACCCACCGGGATTCGAACCCAGGACCTTCTGGTCACAAGGCGAGCTCGTATACCATTAAGCCACTGGGACCCGATCCAATGGCCAGTCCATGAATTCTAACTTCTGCCAATTCACGACATAGCGCGACCCCTAGCCAATGTCTTCGGCGAGTATTTATCCTCACACACACACATCCAGGTTAGGTAGGATAAATGATCATGAAGCATTGGATTCAAATAAATGACTATGAATCAAAACTTCCCTCTCTGGTTTTTTACAATACGTTAGATCACAACCAGGAGTCATCTTACACAAATGAATTTCAGAAAAAGTGATACTTGCGTCTTGAACAGTAATTTATCCAAAGAGGTACTGGATATTTGCTATGAAGAAATTAGAATACAGTTTAAAGGTTATTTTTAGACGAAAAACCTAAATCTGAGATCCAGCAACTCATGAACTTTAAGTGATGCCCCTCCCCCCCTATATTCGCGATGTGATGACTGCTATAGGATCCTCTGAATCAAACCAATGAAATGAATGGACTGTTATGTCTAATTAGTTACAGATTTACACATTTCTACAACTTAATTAAAAAACAGACAGAATTATACAGACTGATTTGAGTATCAAGCCTCAAAGGATTTACTGATGTTCCTTTAGTGTCTTCTATCTAGAATTTTTATACTATCCCGGTTGAATTGATGCTCATAGTTGTCCACGTGAACTAACGTATGTCATGTCTTTTGACTGATGCTTTGCATTCATCATTATGAAGGTGAAGAGAACGTCTGCCCTGGCTAATGAAGTCTTTTTCTTAATTCATGCAATTTGTTTTATAGATGACATTGGTTACACGTCATCTTTCGTTGTTAGGTCTTTTGGTGAAAGTCAGTGAGAAAAACACAAAATGTTGTTTTAAATTAGTAAACAACTTACACATTATTCTTTTCTGACTGTGAGTTATGTAGGGTAGTCAGCAATTTAACCCATACTTCTTTACCCCACAAACCAATCTTTCCTGGGAAAAGTTTAAATGTACGACTCTGAAAGAGATTAGGGAATAACAACATAAACAATGAAAATGACATATGGGGAGAAATCAAACAGAGCATATATATATATACATATATATATATATATATATATATATATATATATAATAGTTCATCCGTATGATCGTGAAGTTAATATGTGACCAACACATTTTGATATTTTCGTGCACACAAATACAGATTCTTAATTTACCAATATTATTCTTTTGGGTTCTGAGTAGCAATAAACAATGGGCGAGTATACAGAGCAAGAAAAAAGGGATTCGAATACACAGTGTTCAAGAGAGGACAGAACATAAAGAAAACATGTACAGTAAATGCTTTTTAATAGTAGGAAGAAAATTACTACGGACCAAATACAATGCTGACTCATCAAAAGAGATAAATTTTAGTGAAAATCAATAAGCACGGTTACTCAGTAACATGGCAAACAAAATACAGATTCATAGTATATTATATTATTATTCGATTGGGTTCCAAGTGGAACATAAGGCTTCATCAGCACATTTTCATTTCATCCTGTTATCTGCTTTCCTCTTTGGCTGACTCCACGGTTGCTTATGAGATCTCATTTTCTCCCCACAAGGTCTCCTGCATATCACCCTCGGACTAGGACCCGACTTATCGTTTACCGTTTGGGTTCCACTCGAGGGCATGTAGCTAGATGAGACTCTTTGGTTTCCTCAATATGTGTCCAATTCATCTCCATTTTCTTTCGCATATTTCTTAAGTGTTGAGCTCTTGATTGGTTTGTTGCCAGAGCCCCTTGTTACTTACCCTTTCTGGCCAATTTGATCTTCAGTATGGAGTGAAGGCAGATGTTAAAGAAAGTCTGCAGCCAGTTATTGGAAATGCTTTCGATTACGTGCGGGTCAAGTCTCTGAATCATATATTAGCACTCATTTTACATTACTGTTGAAAATCTGAATCTTGTTCCTTATGCTGATTGCAGAAGATTTCAAAGTACTGAATGTCTTTCTTACTTTTCCCATCATGCGTCTGACATTCTCATCTATATCGCTTGTAGTTGAAATGATGCTGCCTAGGTAGGTGAAAGAAGTGACTTCATTCAAATTTCTCTCTCATTGATAGTGATTGGTTAGGTTGTCATCCAGCACTACCCTATCATCACAGAATACGACCACAGTGTGAAGAATGCTTTTGCATATCGCAGTACAATGAAAATTTTCAAACAAATTATGGTCGATAAAAAGACGGGAACAGAAGGATACCGTAATACTGGAGGATTATTCATCAAAGACTTGTCCAGGCGAATAATGCCTTCATCTAATACTCACCTCTTTTGAATTGATCTTGTATATTCTACAACCCTAGCAAAGACATACTACTGGCAAGTAAGACGAAATATGGATGTGTTTCACTGTATTGCTGAATCATTTAACAAATAAAATCCAGCGCATCAAAATGTTGACTTACTTGTGCTACCTATCACACCAATCATGTTAATGCACATATCTTGAATATATTTAAGCATTAAGAGCACAGAATCTATAACCGGCTGTCTACTTTAGGGAAATAAACATTACAGGTTAGCTTTCATAGCACCTTCAGTGAGAGTTCGGTCACAGTTCTTACAAGGATACACAAGCCAAAAACAACACACACAGATTTTATCGCAAACATATCAGTACTATCATTGTGGAGAGGAATTACTTGGAAATGAGAAGGGTGAGTATGAGTGGTGCAGTGTTAACAATACAAATTTTCAACGTGTTATTTTTCCTCTCTCAAAAAGGAAGAAATAACGCCCTACAAAATATTCAATGACTTACATCATCAGTATGTTTACACAGTAGAGCAGTTCCTGAATACGCAGCAATTATCCCAGCATTACACGTATGAAGAGATGAGCATAAGGTACCACTAAATTAAGACAAAATACAATTAGTAGATTAGTAAATTGTGATTTATAAATTCGGGCTGAGAATGTAGAAAATAGGTCACTCGTTATTATCATATGAAAATTTACGGGAACATTCACATATACAGTCGAGGTCATAAATTTCCACCAAGGTAATATTGATACTACCGTCTTACTACTGATAACTAATGATAGTAGTAATCATTTCATTCCAAAAAATAATTCTAGAAAGTAATGGAATCTTCAGCATCTATACACTACAACAATTTTACTGCTTATATTAATAAAACCTAAAAAAAAGCAACCACAAAAACTGAAGTTAACTTTTACTCTCGACTTAGTAAAACTTCTAATATCACATAAGCTGAAGGGTTCTTATACAGACTATCAGCAGAATGAGTTTCAAGATTATCTCAGATGTCTGTTTTATGATAGGGTGAGTGAACAATATGTTAGGAACATTGTATATGGAATGTATATGAAATGGAGTAAACATGATGCATCTTGATGGATAGAAAATTTAAGTAGCCCGATCGTTTAAACAGTCCGTCCTGGTCAAATTCTACCCTTATATTAGTTTTTAACCGGTGGAAATAACAACAAAAAAGTTCAAAATTTTCCATTATTCTAAACATTATCAATTATGATTACACTAAAGACGAACTTGTTTTCTGATATCCATCAAAATGGAGTTTGAGAGTAGTAACCATTCATTAATAAGTTAATGGCTTCATTTCTGTGAGTATACATCATTATCAACAGACGATTGATCTAATGTGTATTTTTCTATAGATCAAAATCTTGGTATTTGGTTTACGGAGCAAGTCAGGAGACAGTCCTGAAATATGCAGGTTACATATTCGTTAAAATTCCCCAACATGACGTATCTGTAGACTTCATTACTCACATTTTACACACGAGATTCCAGTCTGCATCAGAGGTGTAGTTACAGACTTTTCAGCTAAGCTGTAATCAACCCATCAGATCTAACTGTATACCAAAACATGCATCAGTCATATATAATCACTAGGGAATAACTTCATTATTACGTAACAAATCAGTCTTAATAAATATGAAAAATATCATAAATGAATGATAACAACAGTAAAGAGAACTTATATTATGCTTATGCTTACCTTTGTACAATGCTGTGATCAAATGAAAAACTTTGACGTTCATTACTGCTAACAATTATGACATCACCATTAACGAGAACAGCAACAATTTCACATTGTTCTAGTTGATTGGGTTTACTATAACGTGGGCTTATTTTTGTAATAGGATGACTTGTAATGAAGCTAAATATTACGCATTTAAACATAAGCAATAATGAATGAAATAATGTTACAATCTTTTAGATTTATAATTTCATCAGAAGAGTTTAAGAAAAGATTCTAGAACAAGTTGGATTACGAAATGACATCAGTTACAGAAGCACTGAAAACCAAAGAGAGTGTTGGACAGCTGTTTTGTCTTTGTTTGGGATTCTTCAGCACCCAGTAAGTCGACATTTGAAAGTCTAGAACGCAACAGATGAAGGACATAAATGATTCAATGAGACAAGCTTTTAATTGCACAAGCTCTCATTTCAAAGTAACTGGTACTTTTATATGTGTAGATTTCCCTCAGCAGATTTTTTACACTTAATAGCTACAATAACTAGCTTCTTGTTTATCTGAACTAAGTTTTCAGAAGAGGTTTTTTTTGTTCCAATTTATGATCCATGGTGATTTTGTGTAGAGGATGGTGATACCACCCAGATAACCAGGTTGAAGTAGATGAGGCAGAATTTGAACTAGCAACCTACTGGGTGAAAATCTAATGCTCAAGGCAATGAGCCACATCTCTGTTTTATGGACGAGATACCTTTAAGGAAAATATCTGGATTACCTGTCAGTTAGAAATAATAAGCACATGATGAAATTCCGCTTTGAATCATATCAAGTGTGTTAAGGTTATTACTACTGGCCAGCTAACTGAAAAATGCACACGAAGTTGGAAGTCATGTCTAATAGGTTAAAATGTTCAGTAAAAATCCATTTTGATAATAGCAAATTGTATAAAGATATTGTCAAACTGGATTTTGAGAGGAACTTTGAATAAAACTGAGCGTTTAAACTCTTCTAAACCACCCATAATATATAAGTTCCGGCTATTTGCATAACAGTTTGTGCTACTAGTTAGCGTACAGGTCATAAATAACATACAAAATGGTATCTTCATGCATTTATTCCCCTTGATGAATTTGATTAAAGCAAGAACAACAGTGGTTTGTGCAGAATAATATGGTACCATCATTTATTTCGTTGGCTTCTCATCAGCTGCTTACAGGCTAAATAAATTATGAGGTTTGCGTACAGAAAAGTTTTAACATACTTGCAAATTTTAAATGTTGTCAGTTGACAAAAAGTTCCACAATAAGTGAACAGTGCTCAGAAAATTGCGCTTATGTAGTTTTTACACAGGCAGTTCAAGTTTAAACAAAATAAATGTATGCATACAATGGTAAAGGAGTTACGTAATAAAGACGAAATATGCGTTAGATACAGAGTGACTAATAAATTAGGTAACAATGTACTGAGTTCAACTCAAATCATAGAAACAAGAGACAAGCAAAATTACAGATTATATAAGGGGGTGAGGTTAAAGACAAAGAAGCATGATAATGTACAGGTAATTTTCAACAATCATCTCCAAAGCCTATCCATGTTAATGTCGAAAGTTGCTTGTACTACGAAAGGCATTTCAAAAGCCACTAATATTTTCAAGTCTTGAATTTTCATCTGACATAGAATAAAATACAACAGTTTTTCGGACTTTCAAAATCTATTATCTTAAAAGGCCAGTTACTTGGGTACTGGTTTGAAGCATAATTTCACTAGATAGGTGTAAAAGGTAGTTATTTTCCTAGCAAATGCAGACAGGTATTCCACAATAAAACTATGCCGTAAGTTCAATTTCCACTGTACATAACATTATGAAAACATATTAAGGGGTAGAAACAAGCAATATTTGATATGAATTCTAAAATGAGTACAGGTTTCCTTCATGTGCTGAATGCATAATGAAACTAAAAACCGTACAACCACGAACACACCTAACAGTGAAGTTTAGGCTCATAAAGACTTCAATTGGTGGATGGTGACTAGCAGTGGAATCCAGGATGCGCATTTTGTCCTATTTGGGACTCATCATCTGGATGAACCTGCATTTCTCAGTGAGTGATGATGTTCCCACCGAGGCTCGAACCCAGTGCCTATAAAGACTTTGCACTTGGCAGATTATATATGATAATTTGCCTAAAAAATCATGACGGGGAAAAACAATCATCTTCTCAACGATTCTTAGGGTAAGTGCCGTCAACAGTGTTGCTACAGTCCACTGACAAGATAACGCCAGAACTGTGTAAGAAGTAAACAACACACCAAAGTACAGAGTAAGATAGAAAGGGGTTCGAATAAACACGGATCAAGAAACAGTAGAAAGTACAGAGAATATAGTTTAATCAAAACATGAAAAAATACTGCAAACAAAATGCAATATTAACGCAACCAATGAGATGCATTTCTATGGAGACGACCAAGTATGGTTACAGCAGGATGAAGTGAAAAAACATAAACTTGTACTATATATTAGTATTAAGTAGTATAAAGCTAAAGGTAGGAAAATTGCCAACATTTCAAAAGAGGCTACGGAAGAAAAGAATTAACCCAACAATTGAAAACCACAGACCACTGGACAGTTGTTACATATTAGTTTGGGACTCTTCATCAGTACGCACTCGCAAGTCTACCATGGATCAAATCCGGGACTTAAATGAAACTATTCCTAATCCCTACACAATGCAAAAGACTCATTTCAATGTTGGCTTCTGGGTGGATGTTTAGGAGTTCTAATGAGAAATCGTGGCCGCAGGATGGTCCACCATGTCAAGATGAAGTGAATAGTCATCGGCAGCATTAATTAATATTAGCAGTGTATCACAAATAGGTAAAAGTGAAGACGCAGGGGTCACTGAATTCTAGCACAAGTAGTTGAATAACTGGCGGCCTGCATCAAATTTTCCCTATTTCTTATCGTTTTAACCGTTAGGTTATATCTCTGGGCCACGAAATATACTCAGGAACACTTTTAATTAACTTACAACCTACCGCTGTGCATTTCTCTGAGACGAAGGAAAATACCATAGGGGATTTTTTTCTGCTACAGATCAAACAGCATTGCGTCATGCGATGTATTATGGAATACTATTTTATTTGAGGATCCTTGAAGAAGAGAAAATCTCATGCAATAAATTACGCTGAGAATTTTGTACACTGCGGAAACATTTGTCCAGAATAAAGCTATTATTATTATTCTTATTAATGGTCAACGCACTCAACCGTCACTCGATGGTGCTGGGTTCGATTCCTCATGGGACCTTGTTTGCTGCCGAAGAGTCCCGAGTGGAACAAAACAGCCAGCTGTACAGTGCCTCCGGGTTCTGAGTGATCCCCTAGCGGATGTCAGTTTGTGACGAAATTAGTTCATGAATCAATTCATCAATACAAATCACTACAAAAGCTGTAATATTATTAACCCTATAATTGCTATTTTAGTTGGAGTTGTTGAGGTTTAGTAACTTGGATGATACGATCACACACAAATTACAATTCCACCGTGAAGTTTCCTTAAAGTCGCTTATATCTTATTACTTTTAACCACTACATCTTTTCTTCCGTTTCAATCATTTTCTTTATTTCAAATTTAGTTTGGGATTTCTTTGTTTCACCGCTGAATATTGTTTTTTCACGTAATGGTTTGTTGGGATTTTGTTTGATTGGTTGGACGATTTCATAATGAGCTAATATCGGTTATAGAACTATTGGAAAGCCTGGGAGTACTGAACAGATGTTTCGTCTTGGTTTGGGGCTCTTCATCACTACACACTCACCGGGTGGTCACGATATGTTGTGACATGGCAGAAGTTAGAATTCATGAGCCATTGGATTGGGTCCCAGCGGCTTAATGGTCTACGAGCTCGCCTTGTAAGCAGGAGGTCCTAGGTTCGAACCCCGGTGAGTGCGTACTGCGAAGAGTCTCAAATTGGGACGAAACGGTTGTCAAGTATTCCAGTGATTCTCTAACCAATATCAGTTCATAATGAATATTGTATTTCTTTCGTAGATGGTAAAAACAAAAGGCGGCTTTTGTTGATTTAGTTCCTGACTTTATGTTAGTAGGGATTTGAATCAGTTTCAATGTACATCCTATAACAAACCAACAACAATTAGACAATCGTTGAAAACTAGGGGACAATGGACAGATATCTCATCCTAGGTTTGGACTCTTCAGATGTACGCACCTATGAACCTCTAGGAATCAAATCAAAGAGTTTCAAATTATAGGGATAGCTCGTTGACCAGTCAGCTACTGGGTTGAAATTGAATGCACTGTGAATTCTAACTTCTGTCATTTCGCTATATATAGAGCTACTACCAACTAATGGAGTTAATGGACATTGCCTCCACTTCAACACGATGGATCCAACTGACAACAAACTTCTCATTCGAATTACAGGACATTGATCCAGGAACCATTAGTGAGTTGGTGATTGATATTCAGATTTTGGGTTGTGCAGATGACTTGAATTGATTTATTATTATTATTATTTCCTTTAGTTCCTAGAGGAACATAGGGCTTCAGCCATGCGTCTCCATTGCGTTCGATTCTCTGCTAGAGTTTTCACCTGGCTCCAGGTCTGCCCACATGCTTTCATCTCCTCTTCACATGATCTCCTCCAGGTCACCCTTGGACGACCAACTCGCCGCTTCCCTTTCGGGTTCCACTCGAGGGCTTGTCTAGTGATGTCACTTGCTGGTTTCCTCAGAGTGTGGCCAATCCATCTCCATTTTTTCCTGCCTATTTGTTTCACAATGGGTTCCTGGTTGGTTCGCTCCCAGAGATCTTTGTTGCTGATCCTTTCCGGCCATCTGATCTTGAGTATTGAGCGAAGACATCTGTTAATGAAGGTCTGTAGCTTGTTTGAGGTGCTCTTTGTGACACGCCAAGTCTCTGATCCGTATAGTAGTACTGACTTCACATTGGAGTTGAAAATCCCGATCTTATTTTTGACGCTGAATGATGTTGTCCTCCACACAAACTTCAGAGTAATGAAAGCTTGCCTTGCTTTCCCGATCCTTGCTTTGATATCCTCGTCAGTTCCGCCTGTAGTTGAAACAATGCTTCCCAAGTAGGTAAAGGAGGTAGTTTCTTTCAGGTTTTTTCCATTTATGCTGATTGCTGTCTGTTGTTGTTGTTGGTGTTGGCCAGGGATCTTCATCACCTCTGTTTTTCCTATGTTCACCTGAAGTCCTATCTTTGATGCTTCTTCTGCTAACTTGTCGCTTTTCGCTTGCATATCTTCCAGTTTGTGGGAAATCAGGCATATATCATCGGCGAAGTCCAGATCCTCCAAGTTCTTTGTGTGAGTCCATTTTATGCCTGTTTCCTCATTGCCCGCTGTTTGTCGCATTATCCAGTCTACTGCAATCAGGAAAATCATTGGCGATAGTAGGCAACCCTGTCTTACTCCTGTCTTCACTTCGAAGGATTCCGTGAGCTTCCCGTTGTGGATTACTTGGCATGCAGCGTTGTCATACAACTGTTGGATGAGATGTATAATTGTCGGCGGCACCCCGTAGTAGCGAAGTAGTTGCCAAATCACCTCTCGATCGACGCTGTCGAAGGCCTTTTCAAAGTCGATGAAGTTGAGATAGAGAGGTGACTGCCATTCCAAACTTTGTTCAATGATGATCCGTAGTGTGGCGATTTGATCAATACTTGACTTGTTACTCCTGAATCCAGCTTGTTCTGGTCGAAGTTTTTCATCCAAGGCTTGTTTGATCCTTTCCAGGATGATGCGGCTTAGTATTTTGCTTGGGATGGAAAGGAGCATAATTCCGCGCCAGTTCTTGCATTGACTTAAGTCTCCTTTCTTTGGTAGTTTGAATAGGTATCCTTTCTTCCAATCCTCAGGTACTTTGCCTTCTTTCCACACCTTCTCCAGTAGTGGCGTCATCAGGTCTGCTGTTGTCTCTGGGTCGACTTTCAATGCTGATTGAATTGATTACAATGTAGGTTTAGTTCTCAAACTAGGAATAAACATCTGTTCAATGCTCCATAGTTTCCAATGATTCATTTAACTGACGTCGGTTTGTGATGAAGTCCACATTGAAAATAATTTTATGTTAGTGTCTTATAAACTATTTAATTTTCACAAAGAAATTCAGAAAATTCTTACCTGCCTATTTCAGTACACATAGCAATTGTTTCAGACGACCAAATGACATCCAAGTCTGTAAATGACATGCCTATTTTACCCTTAGTAGAAAAAATTTGTTCGAAAGTGTTTTCCACATCTTCTGTCATTTGATTGGATAGATTTAATTTGATATGCATTCTCCATAATTGTATACCACAAGCAATAAAAATGAAATAATGCACAATTAATTTGGATTCATGTTCTGTATAAATTTGTGTGACAATATCAACCACAGGATATTTCGGTCTTACTAATGAACAAAAGAAATGTGCTAATGGTTTACATTGAAATAATTCATTAAGCACTGAAGTAGCTAGTGAAATCTGTTCAGTATTTACAAGCGACAAAGTTTTAACAGACCAAAACATTACACTTCCGTCAATACATCCAGATATACAAATACTGTAGTTATGTGTAATTTTTAATAGAGCCAAACATGTTATCGGTCCGCTGTGTTGATTCGGTTGACCTGTAGAAATGGAGGGTTGAGAATATAATATATGATATAATACAATATACGGTAAACATATTAATTTCGCTTTCTAAAAGATGATACAACCAATATTAATGATGATGCTTTATTCATCTACATTTGAATGAATATAGGGGCTCATGATTCTAATTTTTGCCACAATTATTGTGTGAGCATGTCACAACAATTTTGCTAACTGACTAGTTTTATATAAGATTGGTCACTTTCATAACACTTTTGATCATTTACCAGTATGCTGAAGATAATTATTTAAGACTGAGAAGCGCTGACTAGCTTTCAGTCCTAATTAACACTGAAAACCATCTGGGTGCGGTGGATCGACAAAAGTAGTCAGCAACATTTAAAAGGTTTAGACAAAATGTTTACATTTTTGTCTCAGCACTACAACAGCACAGACAAGGAAACACAAGAGGGATAAAAAAGACGTCATATGTAACATGATGTACAACCTTGCACAGTAAGCAATAAGACTGTCAAAGCACCGACTGTTTTGTGAGTTTATAGCACTACGTGGATGAGTGAAGCCTGGTATTTGAATCCGAGACTGATTAATGAAAAGTTGGCTACATCATCAAATGTTCACTGATAAAAGCCTAATAACGAAAATGATATTATTAGTGGCTAAATGTAAAAAAAAAAGAAATGAAGACTGAGTACCATTATTATGTAGCATTATTACTGATTGTGAGTTATATCAACTTTGGACCGTAGTCAATAATTCCTTACCTTCTAGTTAGAGTAGTCCTGTATTTCGCATACCATAAGGTCTAAAATATTAGTTGTTGACTTTGAAAAATTATATACCGTTTCGTTATTTTGAACTTCCTTACGAATATATCCTGCTTCAGTCACTACATCAAATCCAAGTAAGCAGTGAATAGCGGTAACTTAAAAAAACTAACTTATCCCCTGTTTCAGTATAAATGAGCATCGTGCTAAGGATGTGTATCATCAAATATCTATCCAGTTTCTTTCAATTACATATATATATATAATCGGAAAGTGCATGCTTAGAAACAACTAACACTAAATAAACTGCTGTGCAATCTGCAATTTTCACGCAATCAATTTATAACGTGACAAAAAACCTAACAGAGAATTTTGTCTGATATCTAATCGATGTGTAACATGAATGTTTTAAGCTAGCAGTACAGAAATCTGTCAAAAAGACATATAAACTGATATGAGAGAGGGAGGGAAGGAGGGAGGTAAACTAAACTTTATGCGGACTGCTTAAATTCTGCTACGTACGCTAATCAGCTGCAATTTGACATCCGAATTATTGTGTTTTTTCGTAGATAAAAGTAAACTGCAGTGTGTACTAATCATACACTAGTTTATTTATTCGATATCACAATCAGTAAAACAAAATTATTTACTAGATGAGGCTATGGGGGAAGTCAATTTATAATTTATGATTAAAGTTATATTGACCGATCAACTGTGGAAGCTGACTTTTATAGTTCTAAGTTTTAGTGAACCTTTTCTTCGTAATTCAACACCATGAGACAAAATACAGAAAAGAATCAGAAATGCAAAAGCCGAGCTTCAAAGATCTAAAGTTATACAATTGTTGTAATCAGTAACAACAGAAATAATAATGTTTGAAATGTCACCCAGTAAATAATATTGTTTCACTGTGTGATATATCCAATAAAAGAATCGATAAGCAATTACACACTGCCATATTGCTTTTCATGTTATTTGGAAGAAGGAAGTCACATAAGAAGAAATGTCACGTAGGCGCATAGCCCAGGAGACATGGCCTTCAGGTCGGTCACACATGACCTGTTTGAAGAGGTTTTTGGTGTTGTGTCCGTATGAAGACTTTACCACCAACTATGAACCAGGACAAGGTATGTCGAGATGTAAATTCTTTGGGGTCGATCTTTGTCACAACAGGGAGACGGTAGAGCTAGCTTGTTGTTTGTTCAGGGGAAACACCTTAGGGATGTTATGTCTCTCTTCCCCAACAGTATGACTACGCCTCAAATCCTCAGCACACTGTGAGCGACTTTCACTATTATGGTAATTGCTTTTAGTCTACTAGCTACCCGAACTATCTTTCCGGCATAGTATGACCTACAGGTACATTAGTTTCAAGTCATTGGGTTATTGTGATGTGGAACACCAACCACCGCATCCAGGTATCAACTCTCAGTCAAGGATAAGAAGAAGCAAGACAAATTAATTCCTCTCCATCACTACAATTTCAAAATATTTAGGGAAGTTGTGAGTAGAATATAATCAGTTCAAAGCTTACTACTTTATCCCAGCACACATCTGAATTCATTTAGTACGAAGATATTAAAATCTTAAAAAATTACGACATATAACAATATGAATCAGTCACATATCGTTGGAAATCGAAGAACAGTTGGTAAATTAACTAATCTATAAGGCAGAATAATAAATACTTACAGCTTAATGCTTGAGTTTTCAAAGGCATACTCCAAAGTCGAATATCACTTCCCGAATCATTGACTGTTTGACCAGCAGCAGTTACAATAACACAGTCATCGTCATTATCCGTTGAACAGTCAGAAGTCAGTGCACATGGAATCAGCCCTGAATGTCCACTTAGCGTACCACGATACTGTGGAATAAACGGTGCATATGTTCTATAGTAAAAGTTTTGAATGACTTGTGACTTATCGGACGATGAGTTTTCATATGATACTATTAGGCCACATAGAAATCGAATAGTTGAATCAGTGGAACTATTACGGTAAATTAAATCGCCTTTCCTAGATGAATTGAGAAGATGAAAAGATTTATCGCAGGAATTATTATCAAGCATTTGAGTTTCACCCATCTCCCCAACAGCATTAGTAGTTACAGTGTATGCACATCCAAAATGCTCATCATCAGAATCTTCATGATAAGTACTTGGTGTCGCGTCAGCTTCACTTGGTGTAGTAACTTCAGTATCTGGATCCAACAGGTTTTTATCTCCATCTTCATCTGTTGATTCTAATTCATCAACCAAATCAGATGACTGAGGGTACAGTTTAGTAGACGCTAAAAAAACGTTGATGTAAAATAGTCACTTGTGTTACAAATACTCAGAAAAAGGAAGAAATTAAATCTTTAAAACGCACACCATTTTCTTTATTTTGACATGTTTTGACAAAAGAAAGTTCTTTACTTCAAGACGTTGGTATACATTTTTATTCGTTGATAACCTTTCAACAGGTGCCTAATAATTATGAAGTAGGTATTATTATAGAAATTAGAGAAAGTAGCAAACCATATTTTTCATTGGATTAATGTCGCTCTGTATGATCAGCATGCGTCAGTGCTTCACTGGGAGCATACTCGCCGACCACTCACATAGTCCAGAGTTGGATTCCCAGGTGACAAACTCCTAATTCTCGCCCACGCGAAAGAGAGAGAGGTTTGAGCGTGAGACTAGCAACCCTGAAGCCATATATTCCACTAGGAACGCACAGGAATGAAAAAAATGATTAGGAATATCTAGTGTTCCGTACAACTGATCAGAATGAATTGTTTTACCACTGAACATAATTCAGTTCCATTTTTATCAAAAAGGTCTATACATATTTGATGCATTTTTTGTCACATAAAGTGGTCATTGCAGTCACAGGCTAGTATCTGTCTTACGGTATTTTCTCAGCTCAGTGAAGCAAAAGGTACTGAGGGGGAACAGTCACATTTAGTATTCATTTCAGACTTCGCATTGTACTATCATCATCCTTGCCAGTCTTTTGGGTACTACACTGGTTAATCACAGAAAAGAAGGACCAACTTCAAAATTGTTTGCAAAAATCTTGCTCATCTTTACCCACTAACTCGCCAGGGTAAGGATCCATGGGCGGAATCAGATTCCAATCCAGTATCTTAATGGTGAAGTGCAGTCATGGATCGACACTGACGAGGAGTCTCAAGTCAGGACGAAACAAATGTCTAGTGCTCCCTGGTTTTCAATGGTCCTTTAAACGATATATATTTGTGATCCAATCTGAAAACACTCAAATTTCTGCAAACCAACAGTTGAAAATTAAAGATGGTCAATGAATAAGGTCAAAATGAAATCTAATATGATATCCAACCACGTTTCTTCAGTTTTAAACCGCAAACTGTTGATAAAGGATTATATATATACATATATACATATATATATATATTCATGGATAATCCCCACCCAGGCATTAATGAAAACAAAACACGTAGATCAGCGAAGAGTCTCTTTTCAGCGAATTCATCTTCTTAGCTGTACAATCGCAAATATATATGCAACATACGCAACACATACATACAAAATAATGCATATATATTTGCGATTGTACAGCTAAGAAGATGAATTCGCCGAAAAGAGACTCTTCGCTGATCTACGTGTTTTGTTTTCATATATATATATATATATATATATATATATATATATATCACAGCAATTAGAATGGTTAAAACAGTAACATAAAATTCTTCTTACCATTCCAACGTGGGTCATAATCACAGAACCTTTCAACACAAAGCAATTGAACTACTTTCCCAGGATGATCATTATGCATGCATTTCAGATCATTACAAACATTAAAACGATGGGAGAATTGTAAAACACCATATTTATCAAATTTCCAAGCACTTATTTCACCATCAGGTGAAACGGCGAACATATTATCTGACTGTGTATAGAAAAAGGTGGTAAATATGTTTAAAGACAATTACTAGTATGAAAAGGTTTATTGTGAAGTCATTTTAGAATACGACGCATAGGAATTTAGATTTTGAATCATTACAATGAAATTATGCTACGATGCGTAACTGGTAGAAAACATACGCAATAAACCAAATATAATGATGCAACAAGCACTTCATTACTCATGCGTTTCTGAATGTTGCAAGTTCTGCGATGGGAAATCTCATCGTTAGGTAAAGACGAGAAAGCTGAATAAATGGAAGTCGACTATCGGCCTCAGTTTGTTAACCAGTTCGCTTATTTGAGAAGTTACATCAGTTGTAATGGACTGACTGCTAACGAGATCTGTGTGGAAAATATACATGATGTACTTCCGTCTAATAATGTCGTTTTTACAGTGAAAGGACAGTCTTTGTCTTGTAATATTTTCATTACTCAGAGAAGCAGGTATTGTGGGGGAGAACAGTCATACTCATCGCTCACTTCAAGTGTGTTAAAACACCTAAGTCTACTTTGTCTTATCAATAGCTACATGCAACTGAAAGTAACTGTTAGGTACACAGTATGGTACAGTTATTGGATGAATTTCAGAGATGAAATATGTCTTTTATTTCAAGCTTTGATTTAGTGAAATATGTATATGGATTCTTCACAACGCACTGGAACCACAGAAGTAAACCTTTCATATATGTATGCAACAAGCATTTAACCATAACAAGTCGGTTAGAACATCTATCATCGATAGAATTGTCAGAATGTTTTTATAAGTACCACGTAATTATCAAATGTAGTTGTAAAGTCTGTACCTCATGCCATATACATAAAATTAAAATTTCTAATGCATTATAATCAAACTTACTGCAGATTCTATACGTACTATCGGAGATCTATTTGCGCGAAGTGTTTGTGTAATCTGATAACCATCATTCTTTATTGCATAATTGGTCAACGAGTTATCACTGCTACCGATATACACCGATAAACTGACTGTTTTTATACCAAAAACGAAATGCATTAAATCTAAAGAGGTTATCGTTGTTTCAACAGCATTATTTATTAAATGCATCAAGGCTACAGTCCGTTCTCTTTGATCATAATGATACACTGCAACCTGCTATAGAACAAAAAAAAAAAAACAAAATAAAAGGATCTAAATATATATTACATGATAACCAGAAAGTAACGAATATATTCATGTATACTCAAATATGTTCACTGAAATCAGTTCATCAGATATGTTGAGCAACTAATGAGCTAAATTTTGTTCACATGGTGGTCAGGCTTACATTTCACAATAATGCAAAGAGCTAAACTCGTTGGAACTAATGTACCTGCGGGTCCTACCATGTCAGAAAGGTCATTTGGATATAGATTAAACTAAAAGCAGTTACAATAATAGTGCCAGTTGTTTACATTATGTTGAGAGTCTGTAGGTAAAGTTGTACTGCTGGTGAACAGGTATGTAATGGCTGTAAGGTATTTCCTTTACATAATTAATATGCCAGCTATACTGTGTCTGGGCTGTGGAGAGGAGGCTCAGGAAAGACTGACCCCGAAAATTGTACATTGGTAGCCAGCGGTAAGATCTCAGTACAGATGCAACTCCAAAAGCTACTTCAAACAGGCTGTGTGTGTGGCTGGCCTCTGGGCTCTGCAGTCACGCAAGGTTTCAGCTACTCGAATAAGTCAGTTAACCATAAATGTTTGTATTAATGGAATAAGAAAGGCATGGACTGTTTTTTTGCTTGTCGATACTAATCAGAAAAGCGTGAATATGTGCAATGTAGACGGAACTCCTCACATTCCTTCCAAAATTCAAATGTGTCATTGAGTATCATGGGCAAGTGAATTACTAACAAGCTACTCTGTTTATTACAGATTACCATTATTAACTAATATGTTGGAAGTTACTTTCTGTAAATTGCATGAATAAAAAGAGTAATTTTCGAGTGTTAGTTTGTAGGGATTTGAACAATCTCAAGTTTGATCAAGGATTGATAACAGTTAGAGAACCACTGAAAACCAGGGAGTGCCGGACAGTCCTTTCGTCCTAATTCGAAACTCTTCCGTAGTACTGATCCATGACCCCACCGCGGATCGGACGCAGGAGCTTCAGGTTACAACGCCAACTTGTATCCTATTCAGACGGAATCAAATAGTGCATACATTTTAATTTCTGTCAATTTGCGGTTTTTTAGCACCACCCTCAGTAAGTCAGAATCAATGGTTCATTGAATCCCACCCTAGTGGATAAATGGTCAACGAGTTTGCCTCGTTAACTGAGGGCCTGAGTTCCGCACCCGGTGGGGTCACTGATGCGTATTGTTGAAGAGTTTTAAACTAGGATGAAACAGTTGTCCAGTACTTCCTGGTTTACAATGGTTCTCTAACTGATATAAATCTGTCACCAAACTTGAAAAAGAGTAATTCTTCAAGTCATTGACAACTACAGAAGTGGAATAAAATACCATTAGTATTCCATTTTAATACTTGTTTTTTCATTTCTCCTCATGACTTCTTATTGATGGCAAACATCTGAGAAAGCCACATAGTAGATTAGATGACTGTGAAGTATACCTTGATGCTGCAGTATATTTAGTATTAGTATAGCTATCAACAGGGATCATAGTTTCCATTATGCCAAAACCACCAATCACCTCAAGTTTAAGCATACAATCAACTGATATGAAATCAACACTTGTTGCACTGAAAAGTACGTCAAATATCTACGTACTTCATCAGCGTAGATCAACATTTCATAGAAGCTGTCAAGAGCGTCATTGATGAAGTCCAAATGGCACGTGTTGTTGTTATCCGAAAACGTTTAACCAGGAGGCCGTGTTGCTTCAAAATAAATACACCTTCACTGTATATATATTCATACAAGAGTGCATGTGACTATTATTGGAAGATTACTCAGTCACATTTTTTAAAAGATGACCAAAATGACTTAAAATCAAAAATAGACAGTGTTCTTAACTAATTATCTTTTATAGCCGGTATACACAAACACAGTTAGGCAAAACTGAGTTTTCTAACAAGACAACAGTTACCTATAATTGTATCCATTATTTTAGAATACAAACAACTTCCAGTAAATATCTAGTGAACTGAGATTCGACATCCATATTGTTCGTTCTCTTTTTATTATTATCTAAGAGTCTGAGTAGGACTTATACATTTGCCTTATCGTTTGAATAACACACAGAATACTCATTGTTGTGTGGCATCACACAGAACTAAGTATTCTCTGTTCCCTTTAATAAGTGGACTGTGTGTTACATCTAACAGAGTCAGAGATAAACGGGTACCCATAAACAGTAATGGTAATTAGATTACGAAATCTACTGTAGGCTATCAGAACTTGATCCCAGAAACAACATTAATAAAAACAACCATAAATACAGAATGCCCGTCAAACATAAGATAAGTCCAGGGTTCGATTTATCGCCAACGCACTCGAATAGTTTACTATTTGGTAGTAAGCCTGGAAAATGGTAAGTTTCCAGCTGAGGCTAGTGACTCCACTCCGTACAACAAGGAGTACCACTGGAAATTCTAGTTTCAAGCCCTATACTCCGCATAGAACGTGAAGGAAGGAAAAAAGTCTAATCCATTATTGAAATTAGTAAAATTGTGGGTTCATAACTATTACTAATAATAATAACAATGCAATTATAACTTACTCTGCTTTTAGAGGCTGTCGCAAAATGCTTACTGCCAAAACTAATCATAGTTACTGGAGCGTTGTGATCTTTTAAACAAATAGATTTCATAATTTTACTTCCAGTTCGACGACCGATAAAATGAAACCAAATCTCACAATTACTACCACCAGAAGCAACAACACAGTAATAGCCAGATACGCATAAAGTACCACTGTTTAATTCACCACTAGTATGTACATTATGATCAGGAGAATGTGACCATAAAGTGTCAATAAGTGTGAAACGTATTTCTGATATTAAAGATGGTGACAAATATACATAATGATCACTATCAGGATTGATTTTCGGTTCAAATGTGCAAACATACATCTACAAACAAGAAGTAAATGCATCAAATTACGACAGTACTGATAATGAATATATATATATATTTCAGTAACTAAAATAATATTTTTTGACAGACTGGAAATATAAAAACCTTTTTTCAAACTTTAAAGTTTATTGTCTACAGTAGGCGAAACAATTTGGGGATTTTGAGTTGTGACCAGAATCTGGAACACTTAAACTCCTGAGAATCTCCATATAAACATAGATAGAATTTACCTATTAGGAATTACTGGGCGTCCAAGGATGACGTGGAGGAGATTGTGTGAGGGCAAAATAACAGCATATGGACAATTGTCGAGTCAGCTAAAAATGGCTACACAGAACAGGGTGAAATGGAGATGTGCTGCTCTAGCCTATGCGCCACTCGGAGCGTAAAGAAATAATAACAATAAATTAGAATTACACACAAACGGGGATTACAGAAAAGTACATCATATGAAATTACACTTTACAAATCGATGAAATCTTAGGACTACTGGAAGTAATATTTTACAACTGAAAAAGATTGTCCTTTGACGCGTTATGGGACGAAATATACTTGTTCTAGTAGTATTTCAAGTGAAGAATAGAAAGTAGAGGACATTTTCCATTCTGTTGGTGGTTGAATAAAGGGAAAATTTATGTAAATTAAAGCGTACAACTCCAAGTCCACTGACGACTGCCCGTAAGCTACGATCTTCTCCTCACAAGATCTCCTCTATGTCACCGGACGCCAAACTTGTCGTTCCCCACTCGAGTTCCACTCAAGGGAATGGCGCGCGAAGGCACTCGATGGTCTACTCAGTCTGAGTCCTGTCCATCTCCATTTTGTTCGGCGTGTTTATTACGTCAGTTACTAAGTAATATAAGTGGTCATTCATAGTCATAACATTTCTGCCATACGAGGCTAATCTGTAGAAACAATGTTTTTCTTGAGTCCGAATTTATGAGACAGAATCAAATAAAAATGTGGAGGACATTTGTCATTAATTTAGACAAGATAAAAATGTATTCCTTTTACAATACATTTGACTTACCTTTACAGCACCAGACGAATATCCAGCAATAAGAAGGCAACCACGACACTTTGATTTAAGCCTTATATCAACAGTTGCAATACACTGCACAGAAGAATGATATTCTTCTTCAGATAAATTTAGATGGTTAACTATCCTGCCATCATATATGCGAACAATGGTCAAATTACCATCACTCCAACCCAACGCAATGTGAAAATCGAATGACATTACTGTAACACATGTTACGTATACTGAATTTTGTGTATTATTATTACTAACAACAGGTGGATTAATATGAATCCATGGACCTAGGGAAAAGATTGGCACATGAAAAGTGAAACATCGAAGAGAAGCATAACTGAAGTATGTAATAATAAAGTGTGTTACTTCAAGTTTGATCAAGGACTGATATCAATCAGAGAACCACTGAAAACCCTAGAATGCTACTGAACAGCTGTTTTGTCTTAGTTCCAAACCAATCCATGTTGGAATTTGAAACCAATCAAACCCTTACAAACAAAGTAAGTATGTAACTTCGTTATCCATCTGAAAATTCATCTCTTAATATATTTATGTGAACAAATCACTGTAAGAATGAACAAAAGCATTACAAGATAAAACACACCTATCGAACAAAGCATGGAATGGCAATCAAACCTCTACCTCAACTTTATAGACTTTGAGAAGGCCTTCGACAGCGTTGACCACGAAGTAATTTGGAAACTACTCGAGTACTACGGCGTACCCCAAATATTCATCAACCTTATTCAACAGCTGTACGACAACGGCACATGTCAAGTGATTCACAACGGAAAACTCAGCGAGGCATTTGGAGTAAACACAGGAGTCAGACAAGGGTGCTTATTATCACCAACGATATTCCTAACTGTGGTGGACTGGATTATGCGTCAGACAGTGGGAAACGAGAAGACGGGGATATCCTGGACCGAAGTGAAGAACCTAGAAGACCTGGATTTCGCGCGTGGATGATTTATGTTTGATGTCACACAAAATCGAAGACATACAAGCGAAAACCGACAAACTGGTCGAACAAGCAGCAAATACAGGACTCCAGGTGAACATAGACAAGACGGAGGTTATGAAAATAACCAACAAACCAAAAACAACAGCAGCAGCAACATCCAGCGCCAATCACCATCAACGGGAGGGATTTGAAAGAGGTTACTTCATTCACTTATCTAGGGAGCATTGTCTCAACTACAGGAGGAACGAACGAGGATGTCAAATCGAGTATCGGAAAGGCGAGAAACACATTCATCAACCTAAAACCAATCTGGAAATCTTCGTCACTCACCATCAACAACAAAATTCAGATTTTCAATACAAACGTCAAGTCAGTTCTTCTATACGGATCAGAAACTTGGCGGGTCACAAAGAATATTTCCAACAGCCTGTTGCAGACCTTTATCAACAACTGTCTTCGTTCTATACTGAAGATTAGATGACCGGAAAGAATCACAAACAAGAAGCTATGGGAACAAACAAAACAGGAACCAATCGCCCAACAAATATGCAGGAGAAAGTGGAGATGGATTCGACACTCACTGAGGAGGCCGTTAGGTGACATTGCGCGTCAGGCCCTCGAGTGGAACCCGAAAGGGAAGCGGCGAGCGGGACGTCTAAGGGTGACATGGAGGAGATCATGTGGAGTGGAGTTGAAACAGCATGGAATAACATGGACGCAGGTGAAAAGTACGGCAGAAAACAGAAGCAAGTGGAGACGCGCAGTTGAAGCCCTATGTTCCACTAGGAACCCAAGGGAACAATAATAATAATGGGGAAACCGTGCTCACAATTTCAACCCCGTAAAGAAGACCCTAATTTTTATGAATAAACTAAATATACGGTGAATACTTTGTAAGTTATAGTGTAATACAATTCAGCAAGCTTGTGTACTAGACTACGAGTCATGCCTGAGAGGAGGTCATACTTCTTGATGATAAAAGTAAAAATTTGAAGAGTGAATGTGAACCCTATACTATTTCACTGTTCATATTCTAGAACTTCTTTCACAAAACCAAATTCAAGAACTTCAGTGTCTATAAAGTGGCATTAAACAACTAAATATCTAAGTGTACAGCTCAGTTCTATCACAATAAATGCAATGGGTATTTATATTTCACACTGTCTGAGCCATGTAAGAAGGTGTAGGCTGCCTGGTTGGGGTCCTTGGGATCTTAAGAACCAATGGCTGGAGGTAATTGGTGATGTGACAAGAAATCCTTCTCAATGGTACATTCACTCTTTATGATTTCATATTTCTGTTTATTATTGTTCTTTTGAATCTCTTCTTAATTTTTGTCTTCGTTTGTGTTCTACATGGCGTGAGGCAATTTGAACTTCTGTGCACAGTTTCATGTTGAAACCGATCAGTCAGTCACTGTATCAGGACGGAGAGACTAGATTTATATTAGTCAGTGCAGACAAAACACACACTGAACCTAGATCAGAACTCATGTCATCGATTTCCTGTTGTAACGTTGTTAAACCAGTCATAATACAATGTTTATACACTGAAGTTCTGGTCATTTCCCTTTTTCTTTCATTATCAGTTTGTCTCTCGTGGCTTCTCAATGCGAGAATAGTATTCGAGTGGTCATTAAGATACTATCTACTGTTGGAATACTGTGGATGGATAACAAAGATTATTCTAGTTTTTAACGAATCATTTGTGAAGAATCCTAGATCAAATTTTATCGGATTAGTTCACACTTCATGTATGTTACAATAGCGTCGATCACAGAGGGTACAGTGACTGTGAACATATGCAGTCGGTACAATAAATTTTAGTTGTAGTGACGAGTGAGTCTGAAATTACCACAAATTAATTGTTCGTTTAAGTTATTTTACATTTCCCATCAACTAGTTTATATTCGAGGGGGAAAACTACCACTCACTGGAGATATACGCATACCCAGCTCATAAGTTTCAAGTGGGTCGAAATGCAAATTTTGAATTCCACTAGTAGACACCACCAATAAAATAAACATACATTAATGTAAAACTCGGTCACAGGCTTACATTAAAGGTTCTGACAGGTTGAAATAATTCAAAGACCAATAAATACCATATAAAATATGTCATTTGTCCAATCACCGTAACAAACTGGACATATTCACACATTCATCCAAAGATCAATATGTAAAAACATAAAAACTTTACCAAATGCTGCACAAAGTTTGGTATCCCAGATATTGATATAATTATCCAAGAATTGACCACCACCAGTTTGAAAAATATACTGACCAGTTGGCTTTGAAAAACATATTCTCCCAGACTGGTTTGGAATCAAAGCGTTCGATTCACCTTCATTAGGAAAAATATCAATGTCATCTGGAAATTCTTGTATTAAACCAGTTTGATACCAAAGTATATCATCATTCCAAAGCATTAGTTCACCTTTTCTATCCATAGTAGCTAAGATATTTCCACCATTCGGTGAATAAGCAAGTGAACAAATCGATGACGATGATACAGACAGTGACTACAGGGAAGAGATGATAGGAAATAAAAGAAAGTGGAGACCAGCCTAAAAAACAACAAACACATTATGCATCAATAGATACGGTTTTTAGAACAGAATAAAGTCGTTAACTTACCCTTACAATAGATAAGGATTCTAAACTATAAAAATAAACCATCCCATTCCAACATCCAACGGCTAAAACATCCTGAAGACGATTGACATCTCCCTGATACTTGTTTGAAATATCAGGCGATCGGAAAGCCATTGAACTAATTGGATATGCTGGTGTATGCAAGGATTTAAATGGATGAAGTTTATTACATTTTCCACTTCGTGTAGATAAAATTTCAGATCTAAAGCCAAGTTTGGAAATATCCCAAAGATAAACTGTACAATCTAAACCACCAGTAGCAATGATCTGACGTTTTGAATGCCAAGCAGATGTTGTTACACATAGATAATGGTATCCACATAAAGAAGCTATCTGTGAAATGATTGGTTTGCATACTTTAGATTCAGGAGGATGAATAAGGTCAGTCACATCCCAGATGAAAGCATCACCATCTTCCGATGTAGTCAGTAACCACACTTGTTGTGATGACTGTGTATTTTTTGCTTGTCTAGGAGGAAATGGTTGTAAGAAACATAAGCTCTGAACACTTGAAGTATGCCCAGTAAATGAAAGTATATCCTAAAGAGAGAAAGAAAAGGGGACTAATATACGAAATAAATTTGAAGGAAAAGCGTACAAATAATCAAGGAAGTTATTGCTGTTCCCTTTAGTTCAGGATGGAACATAAAGCTTAAGCAGCATACCTCCATTTCACCCGGAATCTATGTATTCCGTTTTAGCTGGCTCCATTATCACCCATACGGTTTCATCTCCACCCGGCATGATCTTCTCCATGTTCCACTTAGACCACCATCAACCTAATTGTTTCTCATTTGAGTTCTACTAGAGAGCCTTCGTGGCGTGTTACGTCACTCAACAGTCCCCGTAGAGTGTATATATAACCCATCTCTCCATTTTCTTCAGCATAGTTTTTAGGCAACAAGTTCTTAATTGGTTTGCTGCCAGAGTTCATTGTTGCTAATAGTTTCTGGATATCTTATCTTCAGTATGAAGCAAAAGCAGCTGTTAATAAAAGTCTGAAGCCTATTTGAAAAGACATTTGTGACTTTGTCAGGATAAGTAAGATAGTGAATAAAATATTTCTGCTCAAAAGTAGATGATAACAACTTTTAGTCAATTATCTCAAGTAATAAATAACTTACTCGCATATTGGAAACGTTAATAAAACCGATTGTACCGCATCTAGTTCCATAAACCAATAAATTTACAGATAAATTTATTTCAGCACTTGTAGGCACATCCATGAAACCATTTGAGGCAACAACTGGTTTGTAAATCATATTTGGCTGGACAAGATGAATTATTGAAGAAGTTGATGAGTTGATACGGTAAAACATACTAATTTGATTATTCTCCGTCGGATGTTGTGCATCAGAATCACTTAACTGTAGAAGAGTTAATCCTAAAGTACGAATCCAATCGCTACAATTTTGATTGATAGCTAATTCAACAAATAAAGTTGGGCGTCTATCAAGAGAAAGTGTTACCAAAAAAGAAATAAACGAAATCAGTAAAAATAAAAATAATCTACAAAAGCACTTATTCAACTGTTTATTTATTATACGCCTCGCAAAACTAGAGCTTCAAGTTTAGTAGCTTATTTAACGTTCAGTTATCCGAAAGAAATTATACAATTTAACAGTTTGCAAGTTAAGTTTGCTGTTCTAAGGCCGATAATGTTACCCAGTTCTAAAATTGGATTACCAAGTTTCAAAGTTTCTTTTTATTCCTTCACATTCCCAGTGGAACATAGGGATTCAAGCTAATGGCTCGAAGTTTCTGTAGTAGTGGTGCTTATTTTTACAGGATGGGGTTGCTAGCCTCATGCCCAACTTTCCCTCTTTACCAGTTTCATTACTGGCTTAGCGAGGTAAAGGAGTGCATCGGTCGGGGATCGGGCCCCAGACCACATGAGTGGTTGGCGAGCATTCTCCCGCTGTGACACCGACGCACCAAGTTTCAGAGTAATGACAAATAATTTCTGAACGCATAAAACAAGTTGAAGTCTTTTTGTAACTAAGGCTCCAACGAATTCAAGTATTCAACCCGAACCTGTTTTATATATGGGTTTAACGGGCACTATCGAAATAAACTTTATGACGTGTCTTTATGATGTGCTTTGCGACAGATGGCATTGGACATCTACTTCCAGGACTAATTGAATCAGGCGGTTTTGATCGATCTTGCAGACAGTTACGAATGTTTTCTGCAGTCCTGACTTCAAGAGATTGGTGGGTCTCCACTGTGTGTGATCGCATATACATGTAAGTCGGTACACATTGTGGGATATGACACTATTTTTTCGGATACTGTGAAGGTCTACACGACAACAGAAATCTCATTTTCTCTATGAAAATGAGTTTACTTACATAATAATTTATGTTCAGTGCCACTCTGAGTCTTTGTTTAATGATCACACTTTGGTGATCACCCTCGAACGGTAAAAACATATAAACGTCCTTTTTGCGAGCCGATTTGTTTAATGGAGCCTTTTGATTCTCCTGTAGCGTTTAATGAATTTGAGGCGGTAAATAGAAAATAATTCGAAGATTTGATTGTCCTTTTAGATCACATCTTTAGCTTTAACTTCATGATGAAGGAAGCATTTTGAATTCACTTGAAGTTGGTGCTGAAGATATTGTCTAGAAGAACAATGGATACTTTGCAATCAAACCACCCAACTCAGCAGAGCACACAATTACATGAAAATGACCAGCCTATGTTGCGCATTTTCTCATCTATTTCAGAATTATTATATAGTGAGCAAATCAAAGAAGTTGATTCAAGAAAGTTTATTCCATTCCACAGGTTCAACTTCGAAAGATGTACTGCCCGTTATTTATATGGTAGTCTCGGTAGTAAAAATCCCTACCTCTATTTGGATAAACAACATTTTATTTCAATAAACTGTTTTCATCTATAGTTTCATACATCTTAAGTGGTGAAATCATTTATTTAGTACATCAATGGATACACTGGAAGTTAACTACAAATTGACTGCATGTGTATTGTATTTTTGTGTAATCACAACATAGCAATCGTTGGTTACAAACAACACTAATTTCAACCTGTTGAATAGGATCTTTGAAATAATATCAACATTGTACTATTAACGTTTACTATTCTAATGTATACATGTAGTCAAGGGATTTTCAGTTATATACTGCGTCGGTGGCACAACGGTAGAATGCTCGCCTACCACGCAGGTGGTCTGAGGTTCGATCCCCGGCCGACGCACTCCTTTACCTCGCTAAGCCAATAATAAGACTGGTAAGGAGGGAAAGTTGGGCATGAGGCTAGCAACCCCATCCTGTAAATATAAACACCACTGCTACATAAAATTCAAGCCACTAGCTTGAATCCCTATGTTCCACTGGGAATGTAAATGAATAAAAAACAACTGTATAACTACCGTCTAACGAGTTGAAATTCCTAACTCCACTCCACTATTCCTTCAGTTTGTAGAGGAAAAATTAGAAGCCAGGCAGTAAAAATCTTTTTTCATTCCTTCGAGTTCCGAGCAAAACATAGGACTTTAAGCTTTATAGTTTCAGTAGTGGGGCGGGGTTGCTAGTCTCACAGCGACTAGTAAACTAGGCGAAGTTTGGGAATGAATCAGCCGGGAGTCGAATCCAGACTTCCCGCGTAACTGACAAGGATTCTGTTACTGAAACCACCCACGCACCACGATATTAAAAAAAAATTAACACCAAAAAGGAGGGATTACTATCAAAAACTTACTTCAATAAAAACTCATAATTTCTTTGAATAAATCTTTGGATTGCTTTTATCTTATCATTAAAACAGCACATGTCTAGTGAAGTTTTCCATTTTTCTTGAATAAATAAATCATTTGTAGCTAGAAAAAAGAAATATCATTTATATAGTGTATAAATTAACAATATTAATTCTACAAATACAATGAATTTATATTATTGCTGTTATTCATTCCTTGAGTTCCTAGTAGTAGAAAAAGGGTTGCCAACCAACATTTCAAACTAGTACCTAAAGTGCATCAAGTTTTTATTTTCTCCTCATATAACCTTCTCTATATCATTCTCTGAAGTCCAACTTGTCGCTTCTTATTCGAGGGCCTGGTGTGTGATGTCACTAAACGATCTCTTCACGTGTGCAATCAATCCATTTCCTTCTACAAAAGTGCTGAAAAAATAGGTGATTGGTGAACTCATTATCAGATTTCCTTGCTGTTTATCTTTCCTGGCAAGTGTTGATGAAAGTCTGCAGTGTGTTAGAAATGCTTTTGGTGACACACCAAGTCTCTGAAAAATATAGTGGCACAACAGGACAGTTACAACAGGCAAAAATAATCCTGCACTTACGGTGTCCATCGAGAAAATCCATCAGTGTTGAGGGATGTTCAATTAATATCTTAGAAATAAACGAAGGACTAGTGAGTAGATGGCAAATAACGTGTAATTCACCAGCATGAAGCTTGAAAAGAAAGGTGAAAAATGTTCATGATATAGCAGAGTTGAATATAATACGTATTTTAGTTTTCAAAAATAACAACTACCAGTCATCATGTTATTTAGTTGATGTTTGCTAGCATTTGAATCCAGGACTAGTGTTTAGTTACATTAGGGTCTCGTAGGCTGCATACACCTGCATCCCCAGTGAATGATGATGTTCCCACCTAAACTCGAACCCAGCACCTATCATCATAAACTCCAACACGTTAACACAGACTGAACATTCCGGTCAAATAAAAGTTAATCAACTGGAAATTCAGAATACCTTCAACTAATAATGACAACCAGTGACCATCTCCAACACAACACACTACAAATTTAAGGGTAATCATAGCAAAGCAAAAAACACCATCTAGTTGACGAGCCTTTTTCAACCCAAAGAATAACCTTCCAGAAAAACAGCGCACAGAATTCCTAATACTGAAATCTGAGAATTGATAAGTAACGAAGTTGATCAATATTTCTTCATACAGCTCAATGAATTGTTTAAATATTTAGTTATATAGTTCGGTATCACCGTGGACAAGCATGATACATTACTCATTACTGGGTAAATATTAAAAAAAACTTATTCCTTTAGGAATACACAGAAATTCCATATACCAAGATGATTCATAATATAGGAAGATCAAAGTTACATTAAGAAATGAAATACCTATTCATACACTCTTACCAACTCTCTTTAGTACAGTTTTAAACTGTATTCATCCTGTTTTGAAAATGATCGCATATAATTCAACGCTTTTTTTACGAAACTGGTGGTCTAAATAGAATTTAAGTTATTTTTATCCCCGGTAGAAATTAGGGTTGGTCCGCATACTCTGGAGATGAAAATTTCTAGTTATTGAGTTACTAACAGTTATGCTGAAGCAGTTAAGGATTACAGCTTATTTGGTTTCAACCCAGTGGATGAATGATAGTAGACACCCTTCGTAGCGTCACATTCTAAGTTTCGATAGGCCACACGGTGTACAAAGTTGTGCAATCTGGCACTGCATGGTTTCTAATAGTAAGCTGATTAATATCAGATTGTAAAACAGTCAAACTTGAAATTCAACCCCATACTGAACATTATATGATTGGTGGAAATATGCCAAAGTAGGTAAATACACTGTCTTCGTCTAAAAGATGAACCTCGCAATTGAATCTAATGCAAAGTGTGTAAAATGACGATAAGCCCCTTATGGCTGATATATATGCAATGAGGTTCGGATTAAAATTTCATTTTAACCAATGAGTGTTTAGGTATCTGTGAATCTTCGGTCTAAAATATTAAAGCGAAATCCAGCATAGAAACAACGCCACCATTTTTCTTGACAAAGCTCAACTTTAGACACACAAGAGGTGAAAAAAAAACAGTTGACTTAAAAGGTAAATCTGGTCTCCTAACCCTAATCTTTCCTTAATCTACCCCTATTCTATGCCTAACCAACTCTAATTAGGTCAACCTAACCCTAACATGTCCCCTTCCGAAGCCCAGCAGTATTCTTCCCCTGACATAACCTAAAATTAACCAGATATCTTTTGATGTGGTTGTGTTCTCTGAGCTGGATAGTTAATTTGAGAAGCTTTTTATCACCTTAATAGGTGACATCTTCAGCGCATACTTCAATTTGAAGTAAGCTTTTAGATTTCTCCACGAGTTTATTAATCATCTTTCCTGGTCGGTGACCTCGGACGTGATGGGTTGCTTTTGTGTGTTTTCACACATTCTAGGCTGCTTGTATCGATATTGGAACTGATTGTTTCTTTGACTTGAACTTTCACCATTTGTGTGTGAGGTTTCCTTCTTATCGGTTGGTAGATTTCGTCTATCTGGATGTGTCTATTGATTGATGATTCACTGGAATACCAGGTAGGCTTCTGAAAATTCCTTAGCATTCTCGGTGTTGTTTCCTCTGTCTAATATTTGAACACTGGCCCGATCGAATTGATATCCGTGATTGTCTGTATGTAGTGATATGAGGGAGTGGATGTCATGTCTTTTGACGACTAGCTTATGATCGTGGATACGAAGACGAAGGAGATGTCCAGTTTGGCCAATGTAGTGTTTTTCGCAGTTGTTACAATTTATTTTGCAGATGATGTTGGTTTTATCTTCTTCCGCTGTTGAGTCTTTTGGTTGACATAGAACTGAATGAAGTGATTTTGTTGGTTTGTGTGCGACAGATATCATTACACTCAAAAAAAGTTAATATAGCATTATTCACCTGGTTTTACCACCTCGCTTCAACTGAACGTTTCAAGGTCACTGGTGCGTTCACGTCTATTGGACGTCTAGAGTTTAACTTCTCCGTTCTCATATTGCTCTAAACCTAAATTAGGATGTAGGTACATCCGCGTGACCAGTCCAACCAAACAGGATAAAACACGCATCCTGGATTCTCCGACTAACCGACCACCAACCAAACAAAATCACGACTATGATAAAGTGAAAATCATATTGAGGCATATAACAATCACAAACCAGTATTCCTCAGGAAGTCTACAAGATATAATAAGACTGATTTGAAATTATAAAGAAGTAAAGCATAAAGAACTTACTAAATGATACAACTTATCATCCAAATCAGGCAGACTATTAGCTAATGTCTTGTGAATAGTCATAACAAAAGCGTCTTTTAAATTACTATCACCAGCCGCTTCCACAAGACTTCTCGACCAATCAAAGCTGGATGTATCCAAAGAACTGGTTAATATTTTTAGCGAAACATCCAAAGCCATTCGCTTAACAGATTGACTTATAAAACATAGATTTTCTGAACATAAATTCCACAAGGAAATCTTAGTAGTTAATTCTGTATTCTGTGATAATTCAAAGGATGATGAATGCAGACTATCCTCTTCTGTGTCATTATATGAGATAGAAAGTAATGGTCGAAGTTCATCAATAAGCATATGATATGCAAGTGGAGACAAACGAAAGCGTTTCGGATTGTTTACTCCCGAAGTCATGCGCGTATCAGGATTAATAAGAAACTTCTTGATATTATTTTCATGTATAATAGTATCGTTTAAATTAGTTGGTTTATCTTTTAATGCTGAAAGCATTGATATGGCATCATTTTCCCAAGTTGTTTCATATTCTCTCATACACTCAGATATCAATAACCATTTATTCAACAAAAGAAAAAGATGATTTGTTGATAATGGTTGTCGATAGAAATACAGTAGACAAATCGCTGCTAGCGTCAAATCACGTCCGCATTCTAATTCAGCATTTTTTATAATTTGTTCCACATACTGATACTCTGTAGTTGGCAATGCATTAAGATAGGCTTGAACCTGAGATATGGTAAAGAGGAAAGATGAAATCACTTTATAAGGATGAAATAGCGAATGCAAATGTAGTGTAATTTAAAATCCCATTTGATATATATTAACATCTAAGAGAGTATATGTCAGCTTAGGTGAATACACTCAAGAAATGCAGAGTCATCTGAACAGCTTCAAAAAAAATCTCTGAATGTTTAACATGCAAAAAGGTATGACAACCGATGGGATGAGATTTGTAGTACACGTTGAAGCCACAAAAACCGGCATCCCACGATAGCAATACTTAGTGAAATATGAAAAATAGCTACACCCTCCCCCCAATGGACCTCAGAACTGCTTACACGGTGATGTCACCGGATGCAAGTAAAAACATCTAGCAACGTCTTTTGGAAATAATGATGTAGGAGTCCATTATTCGGACGACTGGGTGCAGAATAGAACTGGGTCAAAATGTTATCAGTTTAAAATAAATAGAGACACATAACTGCAAAACTATCGAAGTAAATTTTATTCATGTTTATTCTTATCTACAAAAATTAAATCTGCAAGTACAAGAACGGAAAAACAGTCTATTTACTAAGCTTAAAACTCCACTCAAAAAGTTTAAGCAAAAAATAACTCATTTATTTATCACAACAAGTTATTAATGATAGCCAGTATTCTGCATCAACTTTTACTGTCCACTAGCATCTCTTAGTCAAAAATTTGGCTCAGTAATACACTTCAATGTATGTGCCACTTATAAAATTAGACATAAGTATTGTATAAAACAAGGCATCAGGGATTCAACTGTAGATTGCCTACTGGTGCACTCCTAATCCCTGCCTAGTTTACTAGCCAATAGTCAACTAGGGAAAAGAGGGAAATTAATATATGTGTAAAACTTGGGCACTGTGGTAGTAAGTAATTTCACATTAGTTTGTTTATTAGGTATATCACACAGTGAAACAGTATTATTTACTGGATGACGTTTCGAACAAAATTTATTGTTCATAATCATATCAATTGTGATCATACGACTTTGACACTTGAGTTTTATAGCTTTCTTTGTTTTCTCCAATTTGTCGTAGGGGTAGTAGAATTTTCCAGATATCGGGGACAGGTGATGAATCATTCCTATTACATGTATTTGCAGTTGATTCGATAAACAAAGCTTCTGTTATCAATCTCTCCCTATACCCTGTGACATTAGAAGCTTTGTTTATCGAATCAACTGCAAATACATGTAATAGGAATGATTCATCACCTGTCCCCGATATCTGGAAAATTCTACTACCCCTACGACAAATTGGAGAAAACAAAGAAAGCTATAAAACTCAAGTGTCAAAGTCGTATGATCACAATTGATATGATTATGAACAATAAATTTTGTTCGAAACGTCATCCAGTAAATAATACTGTTTCACTGTGTGATATACCTAATAAACAAACTAATGTGGAAAAGAGGGAAAGCTAGAAATGAGGCAACCAACCCCACCACATAAAAAAACAATACCACAGCTCGTGAAACTTCAAAGCTTAAAGCTGGACTCACTATGTTCCATTAGGAAAGTAAAATAATGAAAGGAAAGTAAGTAAAGCAATGTTTTCTGGAAAAAATCTGAAAATTTAAATGTAACCAGTGAAACTGGAGCAGAAGAAACGAGGATTATAGTACTGAAAGGAATTAAATAAGCAAGAATTATATATATATATATATATATATATATAACAGAATGACTGGTGTTCTTTGAAAAGTCATATTTAACATATTAGCTAACTTTTTAAATAACAATGTCCCACGTAGCACTATTACATACGTAAGTAGCAAAACTAGCCTATATATCATTTAGGTCACTAGTACAAAATGACAACCTACTGGGATTTTTCAGCTACGTCACGTACGAACAGACAATAACCAACGCAAAAACCATGTAACGTTGATGGATATGCTTAAAAGTTTTTTGATAACACAAAGAAGTTGATGATAGCTGTTCAACCAGCAGAGTGCATATTGAGTATATGTCCGTTTGCATTTCTCAGTTTATACTAATTTACTATGCATGTATTTCTTACAATATATGTATAACCGTATCACATAGCAAGGAAAATTAAGAGTGAAGAGATCTAAACTAAGATGGAATGGTTTCTAGCTGATACCAGCCTGTGGCTTTACTTGAAACTAATCAAGTCCTTTCAAAGCAACACTTGTATGCTAACTTAATACTCGTCAGTGATTGCCAACAGGATGAAGGTGCCTGGATTTCTAGCGAGAATACGTGATTAGTGGAGTTCACCAAGTCGCATGTGAGGAAAAATACTCGCCAATGACATTGGTTGGCGGTCATGCTACACATCACGAATTGATAGAAGTTAGAACTCATGGGCCTTTGGGCTCCATCCAAGTGGCTGAACAGTCAAGAAGCTCGCCTATTAATCTGACGATCCTGGGTTCCATGCTTGGTGGGATCATGGATGTGTAATGCCGAAGAGTTCCAGCTAAGGACGATGCAGCCACTCGGTATCCCCGATTTTCGGTGGCTCTTTAATTGATACCACTTCGTGATCTAACATGAAGAAACGAAGCTATTGAAGTTAACATTCGGACATGCTACTCAATATAACTAATACCTGCAGAATAAACAGACGTAACTTACAATCACACTGACCACTATGTTTGTAACTCTACACTGAACTTCGATCGTAAAAATTCGGTTTTTCTATTTTCAAAAACACCTTTCGTAAAAAAAATGTGAAATAATCCATTTACAACTAAAGATGAAGAAATTTATGAGGTAATTTTATCACAGTTTGCTGTAATACTCCCTACTTCTCCACTGATTGGTCACCAATATCATGAACCTAGTCTTTGGTATTGGTGCAGACTGAATCTTATCAGTCAGGTTTGCGATGCAGCTACCAAGCTAGGTAGCTTGTCATAGTGGTGCACTCTGAATTGATGTTAGGTGGTTGGAAGCCCTGGTCTCAAGTTTCGTGCTTGTTAGCGTTTATCAGAAACGAGGATTTACGACATTGAAAGAACACACGTCCTGTCTGAGATTCGAACCACTGTCACCTAGTTCTGAAATCAGGAGTTTTACCACTGAGGTTTTCAGGTTCGCGATTTAACTCTTGTATGTCGGTATTAGATGCTATGATTGATAATATTAATAATATCTCCATTTTGAAAAAGTGGGTTCATCGATAATACATAATTTTCGGCGAGTTCCATTGGAAGATATTTACCCCTTGTGTAGAATCTTCAACTGATAACACATCATATGAAGCAATTTTGTACCTTCCGAAGTCTTCTTCAATACTACTTCACAATGTTCCTCCTCGATTTTCTTCGAAAAATTGCTAGAGTTAGGTAGAAAGTTGTTTGAAATTGTGAGCGAGTATAGATTGAGACTTATTATGGTAATTAGAAGATTAGGACAATTTAAAATGCAGTAAAGATGATGAGACTTGATGGATGGAAAATTTAGTCAGCCTAGTGGTTTAAGCAGGTCGCCACTAGGCAGTAGCCAACGTCATGAGTATAGTCCTTGATGTTGGTGCAAATTGATACTAGATTTCAAGGAAACGTAGATCTTAGCTTTCCCTTAATCCTTCAGAAGTCTGAATCAAGGAGATTATCTAAAAGGACTGCACTAGATCGATACAATACTTTTGTTTAAAACATTTTATTTACAGAAATTTGCCAAAGGGATAGTGTGGGGATGGAACTACAGAAAAAATGCACTGTTGGTGTAAGACACTAGCGACAAACAATAGCATGACAACTGTCAATATATGAGACAGTCTTTAGTAAGGACATTACAAAATTAAATGATCAGAAGAAATCATAAGGCTAAAAACTTTAACAAACCTCTTTGTGAGTTTTACACAATCGTATATATCTGCAAACCAAGTCTAAATACAAAGGACTTTGCGCTTCATGAGTTGCAATCGAAACGGCGACCTAAAAGCAGAATAAGATTTATTTCAGTTAAAAATATTTCATGAAACAATGTCAATAAAATATAACACTTCTAATCAAATGATGGTTTGCTTGACTAACCTGATTCAATAGTTGGGAGTCAATCAAACACAGTCCATTGGAACGTAAATGAGTAAGTGAAACAGCACGACGTTCTTCTGATGTCAGTTCTTTAATACGAAACAACTGACAGTTGTATCCAGTAGTTAGGTTTTCAATAATTTTAGAGTTTGAATCACAACTGAAAATAAAGTGAATGTTCTGAAACAGAAAAGAAGCATCATTATAACTCAGTAGTCATATAATAAGGCTAACAAAGCCATACGTGTAACCCACTTCAAAATGTACACATCGTAAGGAAACCGATATTGACTAAATAACAACGGAATGTATAAATACATGCCTACATGCCTACAGTCTGAAGCACTGTATACAACAGCTTTGTACTAAAACATAGCACAAATATATGATTAACAACGCCAAAAATGTTGGGAATAATACGATTAATGGAAATTGTTCTGGTTTTCTCAAAGTTTTTGTAACTTTCTAATGAACTTAGTGCAGAAGATGTCAACAATACTCATGATGAAAAGTCCGCAATCAGATATCAACTCTTAGAGTACGTCGAACAATTTTCATTCTCATCCTGTTGTACAAAACATCTCCTTTTTATTTCAAACACTACGAAGAATGAATGTATGGAAAACAAATACTAAATATCCTATCCAACAACTCGAAGGTAAAGATTCAATAACTCACTTGAAATTAAGATAAAGTGACTGACATAAACACACAAACACACACATTTAGGAGTAAACTACTACTCAACATTTATAGATTTCTACAAAATAAATAAAAGACTACTCAGTTTCATTTTGTGACACAAGGCCAACTGAACTGTGGCTACAAAACCAATTAAAAATTTCATTCATCTGAAAATCACGCGGAACGAAAATCTTCCACAAATAGTAACTTAATACTTATAAGCAGTATATCTTGATACCGCGTTCCTCTCCACAATCTCCAAAACTCGATAAATGTAGCTGACCGAAACTCCATGAATTCCTCACGTTTTAGAAAGCTGAACTGATTAAATGTGTTCATTATTCATTCGTGTCATGACAGCTATTCAAAAAAATTGAAAAAACAAGAAAAACAATTGTACCAGGATAATATGAGCTCATCTTTTATTATTTCGAGGATTCTTCTCAACTGGTTACAATCTGAAAGATAAAAAATGTGAATTACATTAGAGATTTGAACATACTTTTCCACGATGACAAGGAGTAATTGGTAGGAAGTAAAAGTAACATTAGTCCGGAATGATTTAACTAATTAAGAGTTACAAACACTGACTATCTATAGAATAATTAGACAATTAGGCTTGGAAACAAACAACAGAGTTGCGTATATATATGTGTGTGTGTATAGAAACAAGGTTTAGCTAGAAAGAGCATAACAAAAAAGTAGATTACGTAACTAAAGAAAATGTTTTATCTAATAGCCAATAGAAAAAAAAAAGAAAAGAACAAGGTAGGGTGAGTTATGTTTAGATGAGAGAGTAGAGTTTTCTAAACAAGGAAAAAGGGCGACTCATAAAAGTTGTATATCTTTTGTTATCACCAGGGCAGTGCAAGATTCACCACTGTCTCTTTCTGTGTACATAGATTTGGTTTAAGTCGTAGGTCACACTTGGTTGTGTAAAGGCTAGAGCTGCACTCTCAAACAAAAGGCCGAGCGATTCTGGGGACATCACTCGTACCAAATTCCCATGAAACTTCATGAACTCTCTGATGTTCATGAAGCCGGCTCATCCTCCCGTAGGAGATAGCCGAAGTAAAGTAAAGTATCGTGGAAAAGTATGTTCAAGTCTCTAATGTAATTCACATTTTTTATCTTTCAGGTTGTAACCAGTTGAGAAGAATCCTCGAAATAATAAAAGATGAGCTCATATTATCCTGGTACAATTGTTGTTCTTACTTTGTTCAAGTTTATTGATGGGTAGAATTGCATGAAGTTTTCAATGAAAAAAATGCAACAAAATAAGAACACGTATACGAGCAAAACAATTATAGCTCATGAGTGAAATGTGATGTATTTTAGCAACATTAGTAAAATTCAATATAGATTTTTGTATCCAGTGACAAACATAAACAACAATTGTTGATTTAAAGAATCTGAAAGATTGCAAAGAGTGAATGCATGTGAAATGAGAAATGAGAAAATCTTTGAGCTAGGTCACCAAAAGCTTTCAACCATAGGTTCTTGGAACATGAAGAATTCCAGCTAGGCAGCTCCAGCTAGACATAACCAAGTTAGTAAAGTAAGACATCGCAAAGGTTGCTTTTAGTGCAGACTGACATTCAGTGATATTATTAAAATTACATTGAGCACCGTTGTCTCTGAAGATAGGAGCAGGATTTCTCGCTATGGATAAATAGTGATTAAACACTCAGATGATACGGATTCTAGTGATTGTTCGGCCAGCACAAGAAGATTATTATTATTCCCTTGGGTTCCAAGTGGAACATAGGGCTTCAACAACACACCTACACTTCTATTTCCTGCCGACCTCTTAAACTGGGTCTACAATTGCCCATAGTCTCTCATCTCCCCCTCGCACGATTTCCTTCATGTCACCCTCGGGCAACCCACTTGTCGATTTCCATTTGGATTCCACTCCAGGGCCTGGCAAGCAGATAGAATGACTTTTTCCTAATTAATGACATTCATTCTAAGAGCTTTATGTTCTCAACTGTCCATAAACATGTCTGCTACTAATGAGGTAATAAGTCAACCAAGAAACTGTCAAGGAAGAAAAACGCAGGAGGAAACGTGGATGATCTGGACACACAGGCCGAGGAGACCATGGTGTGAAATCATGTGCCAGACTTTTAAGCAGACCCTAATGGGAAACTGCGAAATGAGCTTCCGACGACGATGTGGATGAGATCCTGTGAAGAGGAAATGAACGCTTACGCAAATCGTGGAGACAGCCAAAGAAGACTACAGAGAACAGACTGAAATGGAAATATGCTGCTAAGTGCCTATGTTCCACTCGGCGCCCAAAGGACTAATAATTAGAAAACTGCCAAGAGGAGACCTACTTGAGCTGCTGCTCTGATGATGAACGGAGAGCAGTGTTGCATTTATTCACATTGAAGCTCATGGTGACTGCAGTGAATCGATAACTTGGTAACAAGTTGGGTCTCATAGGTCAAGTGATGCAGTATGAGATGGTAATTTGGAGGTATAAGGGGGAGAATCCTCACGTGACTCAGCTTTCCATTTCATCTTCAATCATCACCCACATCATCGACAACAGTCAGTCAGCACGATACTATGTCAGAGGGTAACAATATCAGTATGTCAATTTCTTTATTATGCTTAACTTACTTGTGGTAGTCGTGACGGCAACCAATCAAGTAGGAATGGATCAAGATATTCAATATCGTCAACTAAGAAGACATAATTCATTTTTCGTATAAAACCCAGGAAACTGATTATTTGTTTGAAATAAAGTATTTTCAGTCTAAAATGGACAGGAATAATACCAAATAGGGTATATTTTATCAAAACCAGACAAGCAAATAATTTTGACAATATTATAACTCTAGGGAGAAAAAAAATAATTTTCAATGAATCCATATGGCGAAAATTGCTCAGATAAATGAAAATCCAGTGTGGAAAAACACTAGGATTAATGAATTTCTTTCAAAAGGTTGTTGTTTAAAGGCCTGATCAGTTGTACACACTGCACAATGGATTGACAAGTTATCTTCGAAGGCCGCAGAATCTTTATATCTGCCACATAACTGGCCATTATTGTGACGACATAAATATTATATTTTATAATTGTAAGAACCTGAAGAGAAATTATTGAAAAGAATATTCTTCTTTCAGATTGACTTTTAATTCATGATATGGGAATATTTGACACTATTAAATCTTTATATTTCTATTTACTACTTCACTTTATTACTTCATTGTGTTTACAAATTCACTTGGTTTCATGGAGCTAGTTATATAGGAGGCACATATATACACTATCTAAACGCATCTAAGAATAATACCCACCGTGGTTATCAAGAGGGTATTGTAGGTTAACTACTAGCTTAATTTTCGAGGATTCGGTGGACTCAGAGCATGCATCTCCAACGGAGTCCTTTTTAAAAATCATTTACAAGGTAAAGCTGCATAGTATAACATGTGTTATGTTTTGACACTTGTGTGTGGCGGAAGCGACAGTGATTCTTCAACAAAACCCCAAACTCTGCGCACAGAAAAAAAATTGTTCGTTCTCTTATTCTACCATTGTCTTAAACTCTTCGCTACTTGTTTATTTCTATTTTCTGTAAGTAATTAACAATTATTCCTCTTTTCGGCGAATTCATTAGCAAATATATATGAATTATTTTGTATGCATGTGTCCATTAAGTTTGTCAAACAAAAATACAATTGGTTATGGCTAGTTTAACTAAACAGGTCAAGAGTTCTATAATCCTTGTATTCATTTAGAACTCACACGTAATTTCGTATTCTCTACTTTGTTTCTGTATGTATCTTGAGTACAACTCAGCCACCAAACTATTCATATTATTACGTAACTCCACTTTAACAACCGTTTGTGACAACTCATCACCTTTGTTACTAAACTAGTTGAATTCGCCGAAAAGAGACTCTACGTGTTTTGTTTTCATTAATGCCTGCATGGGGACTATTCATAAATTATCACTCTCACACATCGCTTTCACACATTTCACTACAGTTTTCCTATCTTTGCACTTGTCGAGTAGACGCTTAACCACGTTGTTTCTCTTCTAATAACAATTTATGCCTTTTCAAATTTCAAACCCATCAGTTACATGATGTAAGTAATTGTCACGTTTTTTTGCTTTTGATATTAAGTAACCACATCTGAATGACTGTGCCCATTTATGTCACGCACACCTCCATATTGCTGAATCATAGACTGATATATGACTGGCAAAACAAAGAATTCGAATACTACTAAGCATAATGAACAAAATGATCTCCCACTGAAGCATAAATGGGGTTACAAGTGAACTCTGTGACAGAATCCTAACCAATAATAATGATGTTCCACATCGTTTTCAACTTTTAAATGAATCTTTGGCACAAATATGTATTCATGTTGGCTCCATCAAAATCAATCTCTTCCTAAAGACTGATAAATAATAAAAGTGTAAAATCATTCGTGAATATGAATACTGACAGTTAAACACACTTACTTCAAGCTTTGACAATCATGCAAGCCATTAATACGCTTGAAATCAGCATTGCTCTTGAAAAGGTATGCTTTGTGAGTGGCAGAAAGCCTAGTACAACTCTGCAATTGCCTAATGAGAGATACAATCCAATTATCTAGTATTTTAGATAATTGTCTACATGGTGATACATTCTTAGATGGTAAACCGTTGCAAAAATGAATTAAAACTTCGTATTTCGTTAAAGTGTGTCTGTTCAAGACAGATTTTGATGATTTACTGCTGCTTGTTGAACAGTCCTTTGAATCACTAGCTGTAAAATGTTGATCATTTTTTGCCAACGACATTGCTAATGCAGCTAAGTGAGTACTTTTTCCACTTCCATAACTTCCAGTAATAATCAAAATACCACCGATAGAACCTTTGAGGAATAATGTTCATTGAAAAGTGACAATTATAATCACATATATTTATATAGACACAATATACATCGCGAGTACATCATCTTAAATTTTTAAATTTATCAAAATATCGAGTAACGTCATCGACGATTACGTAAAAATAGTGAGATACTGAATTACGGATACTATTTTATTCTAACATATTCTCAGAATGGTAGTAGGTAGTAGGCTAGTCACCAGTTGAAGACTCGAAACAAGATGGGTGTAAACTAACTGGTTTTTCCCTTAAGACGGCAGAGCTGTTTAATTCTCCGGCAAACTTCTTTGACAGCATAGGTATCCTCAGTTATATCATTTTTCACTACCATCTCATCTTTTTCCTTCCACTTTTATTCCAAAGGTAACAAGACAAGTTGAAAATGTCGCAAATTGATGATTATGTATCAGCATTTCTTTTGTTACCTTATCAAAGCATCAACATAACTTTACATTTCAAGTGAAAAAACCGCTGCATTCGTAAATCCCTTTGGTAATAGTATGCAACTCTAGATCAGGAATGATACATACCTTCTGTTGCATTTCATCTCAATGAATACCTCTATTGTTCTCGACAAAATTACTAGGCATCAAGATTCATTGCACCCAAGTCAACAAAAAACGAAATTCAAGTATTGGTTTGTAGGGATTTGGTTGATTGGTTACATGATTTCATCATGAGCTGACATTGGTTAGAGAAACCATTGGGAAACCTGGGAGTACTGGACAGCTGTTTCGTCCTAGTTTGGGACTCTTCATCAGTACGCACCCACCGAGGTTCGAACCCAGCACCTTCTGGTCACAATGCGAGCTCGTATACCATTAAACCACTGGGACCCGGTCCAATGGCCCATGAATTCTAACTTCTGCCAGGTTTTCCAATGGTTTCTCTAACCAATGTCAGCTCATGATGAAATCCTGTAACCAAAAAACGAAATGTTGGCGAATCTAACAATCTCTTATTTTAAATACAAAGTAGTTAAACGCTGCGAAAACTCTCCAGTATATTTAACTAAGGTCTGTACTACCACTTAAAAGAGGTTTACAGTCTGGCGAAAATAAAACTGAAATTCGGCAACAACATACATTTTTCAAGAGTTAGTGTGCAGGGATTCGACTGATCTCAAGTTTTATGATGAACTGACTTTAGTTAGAGAACAATTCAAAAGTAGAGGGTGCTGGAAAGTTGTTTTATCCTTGTTTAGGGTCCTTCAGCTCTAAGCATATATACCCCCCTCCAGAGATTGAAGCCAGCGACAACGTGTAACAAGGCAACTTCGTATACCACTGAGCTAAGAATGGTCTGATCCCTGTTTAGGTTTCAGGTGCGTATTGCTGATGGGACCCAAACAAAAAACGAATTATCTCTCCAGTACTTCTTGATTTTCAGTGGTTCTCTAACTGAGGTCACTGCGTGATCAAACTTGAAAACAAAACAATCCGACTGACAACACCCCCTTCCACATTAGCTAGTGTCTGAGTAATAGTGATACAGTCTAATTCTGAAAACCTCAGTAAATGCAACGACTTCTGAACTTCTGACTGACTGTTTGGAACCTCTGTGTCTACGACAATGGAACAGAGCTCAACTGTGTTTCAAAAATCATAATTAAAAAAAAACACTATAATGAGATTAAAATTAATGGTTTATTCAGAGTTCAAGTGAAACATTACATCGATAGCACTAGGGAATAGTGTTAACACATTATTATCAACAGAAATGAGAAATCAATACCTAACCAATTGCAATTATGATTACAAAGAACAACAACAATAAAACCTGAGTGAAATGTGATGCCAGTTGTGAACGCTAGTAAAAATTATCATAAATTATTGCAGATACTTACTCATACACACATATATACACAAAAATCAGTGAAGAATAAATTCACAATGTTTACTGTACCTTTAAGCATGTCATAGCACGTATTCACGATTAAATTGATTAATGTATATAATGCATCAAGTATTATCAGATGTCCCAGTGAATGAATTATTATCTAGCCTCTTGATCAGTATATCTAGAAGATTATGTTAGGAATTCGAAATACAGTGTGACTAATATCTCATACAACTCTGCTAAGATTCTTCAACTAGTAGTCAATAAATATTCACTGTATTACGGTTTTTAATGGTTATCTAACTGATATTGGTTCAAGGAAGACACCACTCCAATGGTAGTCGGTTTCTGTTGAAACGGTGATGATGGTACTGGAATTCGTTGGATCGTTATTACTGTTACTTCGGCACAACTACACTACACAACAGATCGCTCGGCTACAATTTCTGCACTGAGAAGACAAAAGTATTAATTAGTGTCGTAGTGTTCTCTAAACTGGTTGGTTTAGTTGCAAAGCTTTCTTGTCCTTCTAGGCAAAACACCTTCAGTACATTCTTCAATTTGAAGTAAGATTTCAGAATTCTCCTGGCAACCTACAGAGTGACTAGTTGTTTCTAGATATTTTCTTTCACGTTTGAGGGCAACAGGAGAGACTCGTAGAGAATTCTAAAGTCTTACTTCAAATTGAAGTATGCACTGAAGATGTTGACTAAGAAGAAAATGGAAGTCTGGTAACTAAACCACCCAGTTTAAAGAACACAACTGGACCAATATCATCTGCATGAGCTACAAATCTCTAGAGTTATATCTAAGACATAAAAGGCTAAACTGGAAGGCAAAGATTTACTTCTCCACGTAAAAAGCAAGTAGCAATTTAGATAGAAATCACGAACATTTATGCAGCTATTTTACAATAACCAATAAATTACTGGTTTGTGCTAAAAAAAATCTACTGCGGAGTTCAAAACTAGGACGAAACATTTGTCCAGTATACCATGGTTTCGAATGGTTCTATAATGGTTCGCAGTTTGTGATCAAACTCGAAATCAGTCAAATCCCAACAAACTAACATTTGACAATTAATCTGGTGTTCACCAACGACTGAATACAGTATGAATTTGCTCGAAGTCCGAGTGAGAAGTCATGGTCAGTGGGGTCAACAAAGTTCGGTGTGAGGACATATAACCTGACCAGGGTAAACCTTTTTTGTTACTCCTGTGATGTAAGCTTCCATCCCGGTTGTGTAATTCTCAAAATAAAACAAATTCGTAGAAGGCACACTTATAATTTGCCTAGAATAGCATATGAATTAGTTTATTGAAAATATATATCACAGTGAAACAGTATTATTCACTGGGCGAAGTTTCAATAACAATTTATTGTTCACAATCATATCAATTGTAACTATGCAGCTTCAAAACTTGATTTCTATACTTCTGTCTCTTCCTTCCTATTTGTCGTATGAGCAGTATAATTCTCCAGATGTCCAGGACAGGTGTTGAATTATTCCTATTTCATATATTCCCAGCTGATTCGATAAATAAAGCTTCAGTTATCAATCTCTCCCTCCACAGGATGGGTTGTGCAGTCATGAACAATAAACTATGTTCCATACTTCGTTACTCAGTAAATAATATCGTTTAATTGTGTGATGTATCCAATATATTATTAGATACTACCACAATGACCAAGTTTTACAAGTATATTACTTTACCTCGACATGAACTGAATAAAACACTTGACTGTGATTTATAGAACTTCTGAACACTATTATTATTTTTGTTTGAGCGTAGTCCTGGACTGCTTACACTGTACGGTAGTATCTATATCCGCCAGTCTCTATCTCTTAATAAGTAACTCATTGTCTTTACATTCTCTACAAAGAAATAAAAATCCAAGTATACATTTGACTAAAGTCAGCATATCAAAAAACAAAAACTAACTTTGGAAACCTGATTGTCCATCTTTCGTTTCTATTTCCGACTGATAATTCCCAGAAGATTGACTGGGTTCTTTAACTGCACAAACAGGATGACGACTGTGACGACTCTTTTCAATGATATTTTTAAAAGCATGTTGTAAATTTAATAAATGTCGAGGGCATATTCTACTAGCCAGTGAATTCACGTAAGTTTTCAAAAAGTCTGGAATATTTACTGGTCCAGATGCATCCGTCATTTTGCCATCTTTTAACATCTAAAAAGATTTAAAAGCCAATTTAATCCTTTTTTCCCTAAAAATCAGAGTACAATAACTGGTTACACATAAAACAAAAAACAATGAATACTTCTTTTCTCAAGGTGGAAAACTGAAAAATAGCAGCAAGGTAATACAGAAAACTTTTCAAATGATCTACTCAGAGTCTTACTAACTGAGTAATAACAGATTGTGGAGATGTAGGTCATTGACTTAAGCATTAGACTTGGAGCCGATCAGTCCCGGGTTCGAAACCCGCTTCATCTATTTCAGTCAGGGTAACTGGGTAGTATTGTGGTGGTGTGATACAAACAATGTGTGCCAACGTAATATTATTCTCTTATTTTCCAACAGTTCAATACTCCATTGGTAACGGAATACTGTGTTTATTTAAACATTCAGTTTTTTATCGTTTGATGTAAACCGAAATCACACGCCCAGTGATTGGTTGACGAATATAAACTGTAGATAAATAAACAGCTGTTTGATTGAGGAAAAGTATACCCTGTCTACCGTGTCTTGCCTTCTGTTGTTACAGTATCATCAGTTCTCATACAATAGGTGTGGTTCATAGCCTGGTAAATGAAAAACCTATTCTAAGTTGTTGAGATTGAATATGCGCCTGACATCTCATCAACACCAACATCACCCTACCACTGGGCTAGTTAGATTTACCATCTAAATACATTAAAACATAATAATTAATGATTTTAATTGGGTAATAAACTGATACTAATTCACTACATTACCTGAGAGCCTATGAAACAATTCATTTTCTCATTAGTGAGTATAAAAGCCACTCAGAAATTAATAATTGATAATTTTACTTGAGGTATAACTGAGAATTAGTTACCACGATAAGGACGTAAACATTTTACTGTAAAATACTGAATAACAGATTTATTCACTGTTACAGCTGAACAATTTATCTCCTCAGTCCAATATTTTCGATAAAAAAGGCAATATATCGAATTCGCAATTCGCTGACTAACTCCTGATTTGCAATCAATTTTCAAACTGAGAATTTGATTCAATCTATTGCCAGTTCATCCAAAAAGCTAAGCATAATTCGGGTAGTTTGAATAGAATTGACTCTTCGCTAAGTCAAACCGGATATTGACGAGGTTGGCCCTAAACGAGCGAAACGGCCATCCGGTGTTTAGACCACTTCGATATGCCCAGTAAGCACTACTGATTGGTTTAAGTGGCATCCAACTACACATATCAATCAGCTAGTAGTGTCTAGCAGCATGGTAGTAAAACAATGTGATTCAGTTAGCAGATAAATGTTAGTGTTAAGCAGCGTGTTATGAGTCAAACTTAATGTAAAGGGTAATATAGAACGACTCGATTTCCTAAGTGAAACTAAGAAGCCTATCTATGGAAAATGACTTCTTAAGCCATAAAACTAATGAAATAAGAGTATTTATCAAACATTTAATAATGAACATAGTGTCTAAGATACTCTGTCTATTACTATTGCAATTATTCTAACGGTAGAACACAGAGGTATCTGACAGAAGAGTTCTTTGTTACTGATACTCAGTCATGACAAAATATGAGACTTCAATTTCCAAATAGTATTCGTATTCTGCTTCTTTTGTCATGATTTCATACTTTCCATATTAGTTCACAACAATCACCAGTTTTCGTCCTTGCACTTAATCCGTCGCTTCGCTATTCAGGATTTTACTGGAATGTTTCACATAATATACTGCTTACATATTCTTGTCAGTAGCACACACCATACTACTATTATTAATGGAACTAATTATTACTGTCTTCACAAATTTTGACCACTACATGTGAGTAATAATATATTAAAGCCCAATATACTAAACCATTCAAGAAGAATAGTATATACACCTATAGTTAGCAGCTAAATATAGCTTTTCGCTCCAATTGCGTTAGAAATTCCCGTGAAACATATGAATGGTATGAAATTAGTTATTTTTGAAAGAAACAAAATCCCAGTAAAAAAAAACACTTACACGAACTGTGTATAATTCCGAAATAGATAATTCAATTGTAGTTAAAAACAGACTGGCAAACTCGTCTAGATTTCCAAATGTCGGACGATTATCAAATACACCAATAAACTCAGAAGGATAACTGAAATTACAAAATAAATTACATTATTATTTTTTAAAATCAACAGTAAAAGAAACCGATGTTGAAGAATTTTTATAAAACATGCTGACTAGTTAATGATTCTTAGAAAATAATATAATAATAATATATAATAAACATGAAAAGTAAGTTGGATTTCTCCATAAAGTGGTCACAAGTAGAATCTTGAATGTATTCCAACTCTCCCTAGACTTTGATAACAAACAGTTTCAACAATTATTTACAATATTTTGAGCAAATAGCCTTTCCATTGGTGAATCAACCAGCCAATAACCATAAAACAACCGGTGTATATGCAACACTGAACAACTTGCACTTATCCGGATAAATATTTTGTAAGAAACTAAATAACTTCATATCATGGAAATCAAACAGCCCCAGATAAATGTCCCGTCCTTGTATCAGAAACTTTATTTGAGTTTAGGAGAAATTGCGACAAAGATTATCAAATGACAGTCCAAGAATAAAATATGAGATGCCTACCATGAGATATGATGACAGTAAACTTGATATTTTATAGGGTAGTAGGGTGCATACTGATCAAAATTTCCAAACAAGGGTGAAACAGATGACATTTGTCAAAATTTAGCCAGCTGATGTTGATTCGTGAAGAAAACTAGTTTGACGTCTATTACTCCACTACGAACGCACAGCTTGCAAACTCCAAATTTGTGAATGTACACAAGCTTTAATGATAAAAACTCGAATTTTGCATATAAGTTTAGATGAATGTGATTAAAATTTGAGAGGACTGCAGGTTTTTTTACTCAGTGAAACACTGGTGATGTAACCAAGTGAACGCTAAACCAAAGGGGATTAAAACCAGAAGAAAAAATACAGGCGAAAATCAATGTGAGAGAATAAAAGCTTAACATACCTATGTGAAACAACTCTATCCTTCACGATGAGCTGTTTAAAGTTATTCAGACGTTGAATTCTTACAGAATCATGATCACGAAGTACTTCAATGTGTTCAGTTGGTATATTGCTAAAATTTTGAATAAGATAATCATTAATTGACGTACACACCGAAAGGTAATACAAATAAGTCCTGTAGTCAACTTAGTCAAAATGAAACAAAATTTCAGAATCAGCAAGGATAACAGTCCTTAAAGTTACGTACTCACAGAATGGTTCGCAATTACACAAGCAGCTATGAATTAAAGCTTTAAACACTACTACTTCTACTATACTAACAATAATACCACTAGTATTTCATCTTACACATGATGAAAAGCAGTAATTCTGTTAGTAGAACAGTCTGAAAAAAACATGAAAGATAGTTGGAAAAACCAACAGGACAATCACAATAGTGAATCAGCAGTGTCAAGTGTGTGAAAAATACTAGAACCTGGTGTTTTAATTTTCATCTTACTTATTCGCAAAGACATAATTAGTATGCTAAAATGACAATTTGGATGTATTTCATGCAGAATGGAAAAATATTCTGAATTTAACGGGATTTGTGAATCTCGTAAGATATAACGCACGTGCATGAATGATATCGTCTGAAAGTGGAATCTTTCTATCCAATAACCGTAATATTGGACACCAGAAACACGCTGTTGCTGTATTTTAAATTATGCATGGAATTAGTAAAATAACACTTTCCTATAGTCCTATCGTGTGTCGGTGGTTCAGTGGTAGAATGTTCATCAGGTATTCACTTGGTCTGATATGGATTTACGGCCAACATACTTCTTAACCTCGCCTAGACAGTAGTCAGCCTAGAAAAGATGTAAGCGTGGATGTGGGCTTGGCGATCCTACCTCATAAAAACAAAATTAATGGTACTAAAACTTCAAAGACGCTTGAAGTCCAATGTTCCACCCGAAATATTACGAACGAAATTAGTGAATAAATATGATCCTATCGTAGAAGAAAAGCTTTCCATAATGACAACAGGCATATGACAAAAAATAATAAATTAGGTGAGAAGTGAATCAGCTGATGACTAGCTTGAAAATATTGGTCACTTGAGCTATTCTGAATGATTTTGAGATCACTAGGATAAACAAGTATTTCATCTATGGAGAATTCTCAAAGCGCATTTCACACTGAAATTAGTATTGAAGATGTTGTCCATAAGGGAAATGAAAGCTCAGTAATTAAACTGTTCAGCTCAAGGAAAACAAACATCACCAAAATCACCCACCTAAGCTACAAAGATTCTTAATTATTCAAACATAAACACAGCCATAGAGACTCTTCAGAATTCGACACCTAACTGTCTAAAGAAGAATTAAATTTAAGTGAACACTGTAAGTAAAGACAAAGTCAGTTTAACACCTTCCCGTTAAAATAGTTAATCATCATCAAAAAGAAGTGGAGAGAGAATAAAACTCAAATGATGAATAATATTTCTTGCTTTTATTTTTCATTCCGTGAGTTCCAAGAGGTACACAAGGCCCCATGCATTGAGGTTTCAGTAGCGAAGGTGCTATTTTCATGGGGTTGAGTTATTAGTCTCACGCCCAGTCTTGCCTCACTTCTTAGAATTGCTATGAGATGGGAGAGTTGTAGGAGTGTGTCGGCTTGGAATCGATCCAAGACTACCCACACGGCTGGTGTGAATACAGCCATTGAACTACGGATACACAATGAATGACATTTATACGCAGAAAATTATTCAAACAATTACCAACGGAACTACTGTATTAACATACCTCAACTGTAGTTTTCGAATGAATACGAAAATTCTTGGACGAAGTATTTCATCAGTTGCTTCGGCATCAGAAGTTTTACATGTTGCAGCCAGTTTTGCCATATGATATTCCATCTCTATTGCAGACATTCCTGGCCTATAAAACTTGTTAACTTCAGATAAAATTGAGTCGGGCAAAGCTCTCACTAAAGCTTCGTCTGGGATCCAGCCATAACTGATTGAAAAAAAATTTCGCAGATACTTATTTCATTCAGAATTATCAAAGTCTACAAATGATGATAATCATATCTTCAAATACTTTAATAGTAACACCTTTTATATGGTGGAAGTAGGTTACAAAAGTACACCGACATTTATTTTCAACATTGGGCTGGTGATTCAACAGCTTATTTGCACCATATAATAACTGTTAAATTTAACTGACAATTTGTAATTAGATTCTGTCTCAGTGGGTTGGCCTCATAACCTGAGGGTAGTGGCCTCAATTCCCAGTCGGGCCGATCGGACGTACTAATGAAGAGGCTCAAAATAAGACGAAATAGTTGTCCAGCACTCCTCGGTTTTTAACGGTTGTCTACCTGATACCAGTTTGTGTCCCAAATCGAAATCAATTAAATCCCTACAAACCAACACTCAATACATTTCAAGAACGATTACCAGTTGGGTTCCATGTTGGACAGTGACAGGAATATATCAAATTAAGGAAATTGATTTATATTCAACTCAGTGAAGTGATTATCATACTCTATTCTACTGACACCCAAATGTAATCTAGGCTTCTGCACCCTTCTGTCAGTTAATTTTAGGCATCGAAACATACAATACGAAACCTTACTGTAAGTAAATTGATCCTTGCCTTTAATTTATTACAACCTGTTTGAATTTGAACCGAACTCTGGTTGAAAATTTACAATAATGGGATACAAAGAGAATTTTATTTTCTGTAAGTTGATGATACATCACAACATCACATTTTTTTCCTAAATATATGGTGTGGCTCACTGATTATCAAAGAAGCATTCTCCTTCTCTGTAATGGTAAGTGGTTTTAGAGTCAAACTATCTTCCATCTGTTTCGGCTTGTACACTCGTATCACCCAAACCTTTACACATTATCTTGCTGGTGATCTAATAAATGGATTTGTACCGAGTTTGCTGAATTTTATAATTATTCTGTACTCTATATGCGTTGAGTCCAGTGTGATAGTGTTGGTTCACATGGTAGGTGATGATTGTGAATGAATTGGGTGGGCAGTTATTACTTACTGGCTGCTCACACGGTGGAATTTGATTTCTCGTTGAAATTCATAAAACAGAGGGAGCATTAGTGACCCTAAAACTCAGGAGACAAGTGCTTAAGGCCCGTCGTACACGATCTGTTTGAAAGGGTTTTTGTAGTTTTGCCCGTATTGAGGTCTTACCACTTGCTACAGACCACCGCCAGGTTAGTCGTGATGTAACGCCAAAATTAGATGAGACACCCCACATAATCATAAATAGAATTAAAATCAAGGATACTGTTGGTTAACACCAGTAGTTTAAAACTGCCTATATTGGTCAGCAGTGCATGTTAGGTCTAATTTTCACTCACTAGTTAATCACTTCTGTTATTAATAATATACTCCGTGTTAAAGTAATAGTTCTACTTTATTCATTAATTTATTGGCTATCGGTAGAGGTTTCTTTGAGGTTATTTTGCATTTCCCGTGGATAGATTATAATCGAAGTACTAGGTCTGTGTTAACATTTCACTTCGTATGGACGCTTTGACAATGTCATGAGACGGACATGATGTCACTTAGTTGGTGGTACCTACCAGTGGAGCCTAGAGAGCCCCCAGCAAACTAATGGATGTAGCTTTTACGTCTCAAATGATGAGCGTAGGGTCAAGTCGCACTGTGGACATCATAACTCACTGAGGATGCAGAACCATCCAGCTGACCGATCCCAAATAGGACAAAATGTGCACTGTAATTTCAACTGATAGCCACTACCAACCAAATAACTTTAACCTTACCTGTTTCTAGGTTAGTTTAACGTTGGTTGATTACGTTGGACCGACCGCTGACATGCTGGTTCCTAGTACGGCCCCTTCGACGATATCTGAATATTGACGTGAAGTTGTTATGGTTGATAACGTCTAGAAGTGGAATCCTGGAGGAGCATCTCGTCCTTTTTGTGACTCGTCATCTGGCTGTAGCCGTATTCCAATGGAGGTATGGTGTTCTTACTGAGACTCGAACCCTGAATTCATTGTTTCAAATGCCGAAGCCACCAGAGCCATAAGTGTTCTTTGGTTCGCACTTCTAAATACTTGACTATTCGTATATCTACTTCATGAGTGTACTGCTTAAAAATAACTACACCATGAACGGTTTTTCTCAAGAAAATGTGTTGTCATCAAAGTAACTGGCAGCTAAACTAAAGTTATTATGAGCTGAATAGACATATTGCAACAATAATTAAACTGAGTGAATAAAACTATGTCTTACGGTAGACATTCGCAAAAACAGTATGTAGCAGTATACAGCTTGAAGCGTTTGAATAGTTCAGTTTTACTCTTCTCAACAACATATGTAACACTACAACTTTTACACAGATTACCTACCGATGTTCCTATTCACTCTGTCTACAGTATGGAAGATATAACAGCGTCATTTCCCACTAGGTATTTGACAGGGGCTTTATAATACAACTCCGGAGCACAGCAAGCTGAAATAATTATGTGGATATTTCTAAAAGGACACTATGAATCTTCACACTCCTATTTATGCTTTTTGTTATATTCGAAACTAATATACACTGAATGGTCGCCAAGGTCATAAAACATAAAGCCCTCAGTATAAACACTACCAATTTCATTGGATTTTATTGGATAGATTTGTATTTCATCAATACCTGGCTAAACGGACAACAACATACCATTCCTTGACATGATAGCTGGGCTTTAACCATGATGACTGCAGTGAAATAATGACCAGGTTAGCAGTTAGGTATCGTAGCTAAGCTGCTACATAGACTGACTAGTAATTCGAAGGCCACTGGTTCGTGTCATACAGCAATCCAAACTTTCAATACGATGGAGATTTGTAGCTCAGGTGGATAACACTGATGTAGTTGTATTCTTTCAGCTGCATAGTTTAATTGCAAAGCTTTCACTCTTTTTAAATAGCATCTCCTTCACATATTACGAATGACTTCAAATTAAAGTGTGCGCTAAAGGTGTTGTCTAGAAAGACAATGAAAATCTCGTTAATTAACTGTCTAGCTCAGAGAATACAACGACACACACAACCCAGATTATCATTTCACCTTCAATTATCATCCATTATAACAAAGCTTAAAAACTAAAATACTTCCTATGATCACATAGACTCATAATGTGAAGAACAATCTCCAGGATTAAACAGACTTACTTGTCGCCCAATAGCAAAATGAATATATCACAGGCTGTTGCTTGTCTTAAACACAGTTCCAAGCCTTTAACTGTATGCAAAGCTGCTTCAGATGCTTCGAAACGTAAATCAACATGATCAAAGTATATCTTTAAGGGCAAAGACGATTTTCGGTGTAACCTTGGTAATATATCGCTAAAAATTAAGTTCTGTTCTGTGTGCATATCCCCATAAGAGGAAGATACATACAAGCGACAATATTTGCGTCTAAAATGATAAAACAAAACATGTCAAAAAAGTATATTAAAATATGAAAAAAGATAGTTAGATTTTATCCCACATTCAAATTCAAATGTAGATTGAAAATCCCCATTGAGTCATATGAAAAAGAGAAAGGAATAAACATCGGTATACCCACCGAGCATCTTAAAGAACTCCTACTGAGGTGTACCCTGAATGTTCAATTCTCTTTCAACAATGAAATATATCGCCAAAAGGATGGTATAGCTATGGGCTCACCACTAGGCTCTTTGCTTGCAGATTTCTTCATGGCAAAACTCGAAAACACATGCCTGAAGAAAATGATCAATACCTTCGAAATCTATAAAAGATACGTCGACGACACCTTCATTACCGTCAACAATGAAGAAAATCTAGACGACATCTTAAAGTCGTTTAACAACTGCCACCCTGCAATTCAGTTCACGATGGAGAAAGAGTCCAACGCCACAATATCTTTTCTTGACGTCCAACTAACCAGAAGAGAACAGGATGGAACACTGAGAAGATCTATCCACAGAAAATCGACGTGGAACGGACAGCTTACTAACTTTCACAGTTGGGTACCACTATACACCAAACGAAACCTGATCCGTTCACTCAGCTACAGAGTTCTCAGAATCTGCACCCCGGACACCGTAGAAGATGAACTGGACAACCTCAAGAGAATCCTCGTCGAGAATTGCTATCCAGAAAGATTTATTGCAAAATCTATGAATCCTAGACCAGAAAAGCCGCCCATACTCAGCGTCAAGAAAAAACTACTCTACATGAACCTCCAATTCAATGGAGATCTATCTGCGGAAACACTAAAAAATCGACTGTCGCGCTCACTTAAGAAGACCTTCTTCGCAGCTGAACTACGACTAACTTTCTCCACAAAACCTATGATTCATGTGAACGTGAAGGATAAGCTACCGCTGCTGGCCTCATCAATGTGCATTTATCAATTCACCTGCTCGTGTGGAGCCAGGTATGTCGGCCGTACCCAGCGCTCGCTTTCCAAACGTATCACCGAGCACTTACCAGCATGGTTTTACAAAGGAGAAAATCGATGCCCCCGCAGTTCCATCTTAGAACATCTGATAGAATCCGGACACCAAGCTACACCGCAAACAAACTTCAAAGTCGTCTACAGAGTAAGAGGTGGTCTCCCTAAAGGTGTACAAATCAGACTTCTTCAAACTGCAGAAGCAATGGCGATTCACTTGCTAAGTCCTGAACTCTGCATACAGAAGAAGTTCGTTCAATCGCTACACTTGCAATGGACGTAATCTATCTTATTAGCCGACATGTAGATTCTACCTAATCTTTTTTTTTCTGTCTCTTCATTAGTATTATTTTGTCTTCTCAATTGTAACATTTTACATTTTCAACTTTCTTGTTCTCTACCCCCACCCGATTCAATCTCTACACCCCACTACCACTGTTACTGACTTGAACAACGCTCAGTTTCTAGTCATTCATGTTACGTCATCCAACTTATTCACTCAATTTCACTTCTACTTAATCTCTACCTGTAATTACCTCTGTTACTATCCTGATCTAAGTTGTAACATTTTAGCCAATTATATTACGTCATCTAGTTTTTTAACTCAGTCTTACTTTAGTTGCTGTCTGATTAACTTTGTCTCTATACTACATCATTCTTGTATTAACTAATCAATTATCTAAACTCATGTACACACACACACAAATATTTATATATAAATTCAAATGTATTACTTCATAATCAGATGATACTGGGAGTTTAATTACAGCATTTTATAAGACTTCACTAACAAAATAACAATAATATTAAGAAAGGGATTCATTTGACAGGTGATTAATTTTAATGTCAGTAGACATAAGATCACTAAGCTAGTAACTCATATATAAGTTGGGATTTTGTTTCCTAAGGTACGTTAGGGTGTCTTTAGTCAGCCCGACCTTTAAATTTCATTTGTGGTTTGTGACTAGCGACAGTTGCTCTTAGGCTACATTCACTAAAAGGGCGGTCAGGAGTAAGTCTAAACAGTGCATCTACTGATTGAACTTGTCTGTACGATATACTAGCACACAAACGACCCACCGTTCGGTGTGACTGCAAATGTTCGGTCATGGTAGCTGCGAACTGTAGATGTCCAACACTAACTCATGTATTACACTGTTCCATGCCAAATTTTTCTTATGCTTCACAGCGTTGATAGTGAAGTTGAATGACAATTCATTTACATCTCGATATTTTATCCGTTGTAGACTATAAGACAATGACTACAAAGATGCTGAATACATTATATGAAGAAGAATGACAGATAGGATACAAATGGTTCAAACACATTATTATTTCATCTTACTTGCCAGTAGTAAGTCTTTGCTAGGGTTGTAGAATATACAAGATCAATTCAAAAGAGGTGAGTATTAGATGAAGGCACTGTTCGCCTGGACAAGTCTTTCATGAATAATCCTCCAGTATTACGGTATCCTTCTGTTCCCGTCTTTTTATCAACCATAATTTGTTTGAAAATTTTCATTCTACTGCGGTATGCAAAAGCATTCTTCACACTGTGGTCGTATTCTGTGATGATAGAGTAGTGCTGGATGACAACCTAACCAATCACTATCAATGAGAGAAATTACAATAAAGTCACTACTTCCACCTACCTAGGCAGCATCATTTCAACTACAAGCGATATAGATGAGAATGTCAGACGCAGGATGGGAAAAGTAAGACAGACATTCAGTACTCTGAAATCTTCTGCAATCAGCATAAGGAACAAGATTCAGATTTTCAACAGTGATGTAAAATGAGTGCTAATATATGATTCAGAGACTTGACCCGCACGTAATCGAAAGCATTTCCAATAACTGGTTGCAGACTTTCTTTAACATCTGCTTTCACTCGATACTGAAGATCAAATTGGCCAGAAAGGGTAAGTAACAAGGGGCTCTGGCAACAAACCAATCAAGAGCTCAACACTTAAGAAATATGCGAAAGAAAATGGAGATGAATTGGACACAAGTTGAGGAGACCGTTGAGTCAAGCCTCCAAGTGGTATGTGAACGGGAAACGGCGAGTTAAACGCGGTTCTGAGGATAGCATGTAGGAGATACTTTGAAAAGAAGGCGGAAGCCAATGGGTTATCGTGAAGCCAGCCGAAGGCAAAATGCAGAGATGAGGTTGAAATGGAAATGTTTTACTGAATGCTTATGTTCCCCTCAAAACCCAAAGGAATAATAAAAATAAATTTTAAGCCTTTGAGCATTTTTACCTATAAACGTTGGAACTGATTGAGAAACATGCATTATCACCAATGCATGCAAAAAGACTGATTAGAAAAATGAATAACATAATAAAAGCATTGCTGAATGTTGTATCTGCAAGTCCGTGTCTTATTTTTAACAAGTTGGTAATTATTATTTTTGTGCATAAAACATGCTCAAACGAGTTGCACTGCCGTTTGATTTTACTGACTGACATTTATAATCAACTAATAAATATTCAGTTTACCATATTTTACTCCATATCTAGTTGATAGCAGTCGTGAAAGATGGTTGTACACTTTCACCCCATCTGACATGATTTCTCGAGGGCTTTCACAGTTTCTTAGGATACTTTTAACAAATAATTCTAGAGAGCATTCCTCTGCAAGTAATCCAAGGTAGCTTTAATGTCAAGAAATACAACAATTGATGGCCCACAATACATGTGACAGCGATCCAACAACTGAAGAGTGGTGGACACGTGGTTTATGCGTCCGCCACCTTCAAGACGCTAAGCCTGCTCTTTGCGAACTGTTTTTTGTGCCTTCTACAAAGTATTTAAAGTACGACAGCAGCCGATATTATAAGGCAACTGTTTGTAGGCTATAATCAGAGTGGAAGAGGGATTGGTAAAAGAGTTTTTACCCATTCAAAAACTATGCTACTCTACTACTAATTTCAAAATTATAATTTGGACATTTCAGTAACAATTTTATTGATAATCGCAAAGCATTATCTTCAATACTGCTTCCCTTTTTCATGCAATACCATCTAAAACAACGTCGATGCTTGTGGATGTAAAAAATAACCCTTCCACAATGCAATACTACTGTTTCTGTACATATTTAATTGGTATGATATTTACAGATATCTCTCTCTTTGAATTAACTAAGATTTCTAGCACATAGACATCAGAATGCAATAGAGTATCACTCGTGAAGCTGCTATCAATGAAAAGACAAAATTCATGGAGGAAATAGACGTCAGCGTTACTAAGTTGTAATCCGTGTTGCCAGACTTCATATACACAAATCAGGTAAAACACAACAAAAAAAATCAGACGAGAATGAAAATAAAGAAACTGAACGTGGTGTAGTGGCCCAAAACAAAACAAGGGGATTTATACACACGATGAAATGTGATAATGCATTTAAGAGAAAGACAAGATATCAGTGTATCCACTCCACCGGGATTGATACTCAAGCATATCACATATGACTGGTAGTCTTTGATTCGTGTGGTAATGCAGACACAAATCCAGCAAACTTTATTTCTGAACACATCAGCAACCACTCATTGACTTCATATACTTGTTAATCCAAAGACATTCGCTTCATTCCAATTTAGCTTTAGTTCTACTAATACAGTACACTCAGCCCGAGGGTGTCAGCCCACGTACAACACATGTCTAAAACATTTCAGAAGAAAAGGTTTTTACCTTCATAGTTGACTTGTCTATGTCACCCTCGACTCAATACCTAACCTTTATTATAATGCTCAAGTGGTGCTGTCATCCAACACAAATGATGACTTTATAAACCCTCTAGTACCAACCAAATATAAACTAAACTGAGCAACTTTTCACACAATACTCACTGAGATTTTATTTTTTGGCTTATGAGTTGTTTTCTTGCCTCCGTAAGTTCATCAAGTTGAATAGGTAACGATGAAGAGGAATTTAAGCCGTAGATTTCATCAATTTTGTCAACTTGTTCCACTATAACTTTCTCTTCAGGTAGCGTCAAATATTCAAAGACATCATCTGTTAACCCCTTTGACTCCATCCACCCTGTCATTGGGAATGAAGTGCACCTGAAAAAGAGCATAATCAAACATCAAGTGAAGAAAACATTTCTACATAATTCGGGTTTAATATTTTGTTTAAAAAAGATGCTTTAGCACAAAATTAACGAACAATAGTTTAGGCTTATAACGAAATATTGAATCCAGGTCAACACTACCTTATCTGATATAGCGTCGCAGAGATCAAAATTACATAATTTCAAAGCATTTAAAAAGGAGCAAATGAAATAGGTGTTTTAGTTTAGTTGTGATCTCTGAGCTAGTTGGTTCGATCAGGAAGCTAAATTTTTCTTTTAGACAACGTCTTCCATGTCAGTTTTAATGTAGAGTGATGTTTTGGCATTCTCCGTGAATAATATAACCGTCTCTTCTGGTGACTCCGATTGTGATTGGTTCTCGTCAGAAATTTTCTTATCCTTGTATTAATTTGAAGCATACGTTAACACAAGGGTAATAAAACTTCTGAAGACGAGTTATCACTGTCAAGTTGACCAGAATAGAGTTATATCATCCACCGAGAATTCGAAAAACCTCACTCCATATTGAAGAAAGAGATGAAGATATCCCGTATTAATTAGTTTATTAGCTTTATCATACATTGAAGCAGCGTTATATTATTATCCAGTAAATAATACTGTTTCACCGTGTGATACCTCTAATAAACAAATTAATATAGAATTACATACTACCATAGTGCCCAAGTTTTACACATACATTAAGCTGAAGACATTATCTAGAAAAGAAATGAAAGATTTGCAATGAGACCATCCAGCTCAGAGAACACATCTATGCCGAAAATCCATCTTAGCTAACTTTATTTCATAATCGATTTCTGTTCAGGAAAGTGTATTCACTCATTTTTTTCATTTTATTCCCTTGTGTCCCTAGAAGAATATACGGCTTCAAGCCTAAGCTTTTGAAGTTTCAGCAGCAGTGGTTTTTACCTTTACGGGATGGGGTTACTAGCCTCACGGCCAACCTTTCCTCTCTACCAGGCTTATGGCCAACTAAGATAGGTAAAGGTGTGCGCCGGCCAGGAATCAAAACCTGGACCACGTGCATGGTTGGCGAGCATCCTACCGCTAAACCATCAACACACAGGAAGGTGCGTACTATACCCTAAATGACTAAATTACCGCTTCTTTCTTAACTTAATTATGAGGAATTTTTTAAACATAGCATTCTCCCTCATCACATGAAAATTAGAAGATATCAAAAATAATCTGCATACCTAAATTTATACTTATCAGACTAGATAACCTCATCGTGATCAAGTGAGAGATAATTAACTCGGAAAACATTAAACAAACACACTAAATATTCCATTACTCCGCATGCTCTCTACCAGGTTTTCACCCTAAACACTAAATGAATATAAACAGAAGGACAACTTCAGTATGTCTCAATACTCACCACTTATCGTTTCCACTAATATTGTTCCAAATAGCTTTTATTGGTCCAATGTTTGTCCGGTAATTCAGAACGAATTTAGCAATATCGTCATGACAGTCACCAAATACAACGATCTTATCAAACTACAACCATCACAGAAAGGAAAGAGTGTATAAATCCATGAATATAAGAGGATTACAGACTGGGTTACGTTTTCAAGTGTTGGTTAGCAGCGACTTTACTGATTTCATATTTGATAACAAACTAACATGGGTTACAGAACCATTGAAAACTGAAGTGTACAGGTTAGTCGGTTCGTCCCTGTTTGGGATTCTTCATTAGCACGCACTCATGACCCCACCAAGGATCGAAGAGCTCGCCTTGTAATGTGAAAGTTTCGGGTTCGATTCTGGATGGGGTCATAGGTGCGTACTGATGAGGAATCCCAAATAACGGCGTTGGTGACACAGTGGTTAGGACTCTCGCCGACCATGCACATAGTCGGGGGTTCAATTTCCTGCCGACGCACACCCGATTTCAATGGTCGGCCTGCAAAATTTGGGCTACCGATATCACATGCTTAAAATTACATACTTGTACCAAAAATACGGTGTGGAATCAAGCTATAATAAAAAAAGCTGTCCAGTACACCCTGGTTTTCAGTGGGTTACATTTTGAGACTACAAATGCTAGATTGATATGGTAGCTGATTCAGTGTCTAAAAATATTAACACTTCGAGCTATACTGAATGGAATGATTGTTTCCTTAGACGTTATCATGCTAAAGTTATCATTAAGATAATGGGAAGACTAGAAATAGATCATTTATTTCTTCACCTACAGTTATTTAAGAAATAATTAAGGCTACCACTAAAGTACTACTACTACCGAATGTAGTAGCAGTAAGCTGCTCTACATTGACAATCAACATTTTGACTGACAATACCTTCACTCTGTGGAAAGATGTTAGGAAAGTTCAACCTTATTAACAGTACACTGTTAGCCTCACCACTTAAAGATTAAGACTAGAATAGATGAATCAGCTGATGAGGATGCGAAGCTCCATCAACTAGCATTATCGGGATAATTTTTGCGTGTACTTAACTCACCGCTTACACAAGAATTTACTGTTAGCTTAACCAGGATAAAGTAGAACGGGTAACCGGAACAAAACAAGTGATGACTTCAAGGGGTTTCTGATCATTGTTGTTGGTAGTGTAAGGAAGTGTATGTTGTCAAGTACACGTACGTTTATTGTGTACTACTGTTTTCAATATTTCTTAAAAGCTTGTAGACAGTATTTATGGTTTAAATAACAATTTTTCACAACGGTAGTTAAGCCATGAACTTTATTATCGTTTTAAAATTTCATTCATAGTCAGTTCAAAATAAATAGAAGGAAAACCTAAATACAATCCCTGAATTATGCATTACCTAAACGTTTTGTCAGAGGGAATGAGTTTACGACTGTTTAACATATACATATACCCATATTGAGTCATAAGAAAAGGACGTAAACAGAGAAAAAAATTTTCTTCTCGACAATTCATTTTCATGAGCTGTACAATCGTAATTATACTTAACAAGGAAATCATTAGACCAGTCAGATACTGGTGAACTGTCCTCGAAAGATGTATTGCGTAATGTAAGGTGTAACCTAGAAGGGATGACTAATTGGAAGTTAGAAAGTAGGCAGAAGTCGGTATGACGTAGTAAGTGTGAGATAATGACTAATCAATAAGCTCGTGCAGAATGGACAGGAACTAGTGAAAAAACGATAAAGTGTTTTTATGTAGTAAAGAATGAATTAAATTTATTACGTAAAACCCTACTAGAGAACTAGAACTATCCACCAAGATTCATAAACAAAAACATGAAAGAGAAGCCTCCGTCACCAAAAATCACAACTGTTCCTAAGAAAACTCTCTTCATGAACCTGAAATTCAAAGGTGACATCGCAGCAGAAATCCTTAGAAACCGCCTTTCTAAATGTCTGAAGAAGACATTTCCAATAGCTACCCTGCGTATCACATTCTCCAGCAGACAGTTAATCCAGTCTAACGTTAAGGATAAGATACCACTTTTGGCCACCTCAGTGTGTATTTATCAATTTACTTGCTCGTGTGGAGCAAAGTATATGGGCCGTACGCAGCATCAGTTCCATAAACGGATTCTAGAACATTGTCCAGCTTGCTTAGCCAGAGGAGAAAAGAAGAATAGCAGCAGCTCCATCTTCAAACACCTTGTCATCTCCCAACATCGAGATCCCCCGCATGAATGTTTCACAGTGCTGCACAGAGTCCCTCAATATCGCGTACGCCATGTGTACATAGCTGAAGCATTAGCTATTGGGGATCTGAAAACGTACCTTTGAATTCAAAAGCGCCACATACAATCACTCGCCCTACCATGGCCAGAGTAAAGTTCTTACTATAATTTTGCTTCTTTTTTATCATGTGATTTTACTATTACTTTTGTTATTACTACTATTATTTCATTATCAATATTATTCACATCATCCATATTTTATTACTACTTTATTATTGTTTATTAATAACTTTGCTTTTCCATACAGATTTTATATAAAAACACTTTATCGTCTTTCCACTAGTTCCTGTCCATTCTACACGAGCTTATTGATTGGTCATTATCTCACACTTACTACGTCATACCGACTTCTGCCTACTTTCTAACTTCCAATTAGTCATCCCTTCTAGGTTACACCTTACATTACGCAATACATCTTTCGAGGACAGTTCACCAGTATCTGACTGGTCTAATGATTTCCTTGTTAAGTATAAGTACGATTGTACAGCTCATGAAAATGAATTGTCGAGAAGAAAATTTTTTTCTCTGTTTACGTCTTTTTCATATAAATATATTTATTTATTTATTTTGATTACAGCTTGATTCCACACCGTATTTTCAGTACAAGTATGGAATTTTCAGCTTGGATATCGGTAGCCCAAATTTCAGGCCGACCATAGATATCGGGTGTGCGCCGGTTGGGGATCGAACCCCGGACCATGTGCATGGTCGGCGAGAGTCCTAACCACTGTGCCACCGACGCACCTTTTAAGGCAGATCTCGTTACAAACTGGTATTAGTTAGAACAGATGTTTTGTCCTAGTGTAACGACAGAAGGCAAGAGTCAGGCAACAGATCATTTATTAAGGAAATCAACGCATATTTATATACGTTTTCATGTACATTACTATGGATACGTAAACAAACAAACACAGTCTTCCGATTGGTTGTTTCTCACGACAAATCTTGGGAACGTAAATATTCACGTAAATTACTGTCTACCAATTTGGCTAGTAGACAGCTCTCACCACACTAGTTTATAACACCTCAGAAATGTACATACATGATAAATCATCAGAGATGGAACCAAAAAGCTTCAAGTTTCGACACTAGCAGATTTCCTTTCACTCACCGACTTAGAGTACACTAGTCCATCAACCTTTTAACTTGTATTATGGTATCATAGCTATGCACTGTCATCATTTAGCAACTGTTCTTACATTCAAATTGTTAGCAAGGTCACAAACAATGGGTTCCATTGGGAAGAAAGAACTACCCGTTGCCCTTTGGTTTTCAATTATTCTCTGAGTGATTTCAATTGCTGATGAGATTCGCATTGAAATCAGTCAAATCTCTAAAGAACTCAATATCTGAATGTAGTGTTTTCACTACTATGTATATACACACGTTTTGAGTACTTCTATTTAACACTTTCTATCACATGGAGTAAAAAACTAATTCCCAATATGTGACCTTCAACGAGCTGGAGTGGTCCCACAGTGACATGGAGAGAATCGTGTGAGGAAGAAATGTACGAAAGTATGTGAGCAGTCGTGCAGTCCACTGAATATGTTGGGGCAGAGTTGAGTCCAGCAGAGATGTGCACGTGAGGCACTGTATTCCACTCAGAAATCAAGGAACGAAACAGGTTTGTTCGAACAGATAATAAAACACTTTCGGCACAGAAAAAATAAAAATAAGGAAATCTTGATTTCTTCACTGAAGCATGCAAAATAGTGAACTTCAACTACATTTTGTTGTAAACTAACCTTTTTATGAAATGCATAGAATTTATCAAGGATTGACGACAGGGGAAAACTGTACATCTACAGGGAATAAAATAAGATAGAATAACGACAAGTGTGACTAGAAGTAGCAATTATGAAAGGATAAATGGTATAATAATAAGGGAAAACTACTAACATGAGATAAGTTAAACTGTTCAACAGTACTCATGAGAAACTAAAGCACCTTTAACACCGTACTAACAGTATAACGTAATAGTAGTCTCCATAACCAGATATTATCACCTATAAAACAATGCAAACCACAGACAACTAGCTGATAACTTCGTCGCGAAATATATAATCAGTTGAGAACTTTTCAACACCGCAGTCGACACACTTTTGTCGAGTCAGCCGTAGAAAACCTAAGTGCTACTTTTCATGCGTAAACACATTCCACGCATAGTACTACAATTACTGAATCCTTACTATGTAGTATCCAAAATGAGCTTAAAAATATCTTTATCGCTACAGATCAAAGTAACTCAAGTTATGTGTTCTACATGTGAGTTATAAAAGTATGTAAATGAAGTCAAACCATACATCAGGATTCAGTTTCTTGACAGTGAAAACTTTTCTTTCGGGGAAAATAAACCTTTCTTTTATGTCAACGGAAGCTAAGCTCCGCGATGTTATTTCCAATTACCATAATTTTTACAACAACCTGATAATGAACAAGATTACACAGAAGATAAATTTCAGACACTTCATATCTAAGTGAAAGTAATCGGTAAAAAGACTCGAGTTGATAGAATGGGTCAATAATGACATCTTGTTGTCATTACTATAATGCAGAGGTGTTCTTCACAAAAATGAAAAGGAGAATGCAAACATCTTACGCGTAAGACTAGACTGGTGAACACGTAGGTTCATCAAGAGGAGCTGGAAACCTTGAACCCAAACCTATTGTGCACATATGCGCCATAATCCAAAACCATCGAATAGAGTATGGACCTGTTTTCATCACTGGAAACCATAGGAACTCAGCTCCACTCTATTGTGGATCAGACTTTAAGTCAAAGACTCAGGCTATGATCCCTTAAGACAACCACCTGATTTCGCCCGGACGGCGAAGCAGCTACTATTAATTTGCCGTATCACAAAATCGCTATGTGGCTAGCAGAAATGTTAGAACCAATCCGTGGTAAATTAGTAGTCTAAGGCCTGAAAGACAACAAACAAGGTTGAAATCCGCAATCAGTCACACCAACTTCTATACCACGTATGTCGATGACACTTCCGTTATTTCTAATTCTTTTAATGATGCATCTCAAGTATTAAAAGTCTTGAACAGAGCCCATCCTAATAGTAAGTTTACAATGAAGAATGGGAAAGGGAAGAAGTTCTATTTTCTTGACCTGGGTATCCAACGAGGTATAGACGGCAAAATCATAAGATATATAAACAGAAAAGAGACCTGGAGGGCAGTTTATCTTAACTTCAAAAGCTTTTCCCCTTTAAGTTACAAAAAGGGATTGGTGAGAACACTATTTGATCGTGTAAGGAAGCTGTATTCAAAAGAAAAGATTGAGGAAGAGCTAGCCATTGTGGAGAAATGCCTACGCGACAACGGTTACCCACAAAAGTTCATCGACAAGTATGAGAGACGTCAAGTTGAAAAAGTGAAAAGCAGCACAGTAGAGAAAAAGCCTATCTTTCTGCAGCTTGCATTCAAAGGTGATGATACTGCTAGTAGAAAAAGATGCAGACTGAACGCTGACCTGAAAAGAACATAACCAGCCGCCAAGCTTTTATGTGTTTATCAAACAACTAGTGGTTTGAGACAATCAAAAGTGGACAAATACCCACCTCATGTTACTTCCAACTGTGTCTACCAATTTACATGTTGTACGTGCCAGAGCACATACATTGGAAGAACAGAGAGAAGGGTTATTGTTCGCATTTCTGAACACATACCAAAGAACCTGAGACTGAAAGGCCCTCAAGCATGAAACAGTGAGATTCTGCGTCATCTATTGGACACTGGTCATATCGTAGACAACCTGAAATCGTTCTAAATAATCAACAAGGAAAAGAAACCTAGCTTGCTACGCTTCGTTGAAGCAATTGCCATCAAATGACTTAAACCAAATCTATGTACGCAAAAGGAGACTGTGGTGATTCTTGCACTGCCCTGGTGATAACAAAAGATATACAACTTTTATGAGTCACCCTTTTTCCTTGTTTAGAAAACTCTACTCTCTCATCTAAACATAACTCACGCTACCTTTTTCTTCTCTTTCTTTTTTTCTATTGACTATTAGATAAAACATTTTCTTTAGTTACGTAATCTACTTTTTTGTTATGCTCTTTCTAGCTAAACCTTGTTTCTATACACACACATATATACATATACGCAACTCTGTTTTTTGTCTCCAAGCCTAATTGTCTAATTATTCTATAGATAGTCAGTGTTTGTAACTCTTAATTAGTTAAATCATTCCGGACTAATGTTACTTTTACTTCCTACCAATTACTCCTTGTCATCGTGGAAAAGTATGTTCAAATCTTTAATGTAATGTAATTCATATTTTTTATCGTTCAGGCTGTAACCAGTTGAGAAGAATCCTCGAAGTAATAAAACATGAGCTCATATTATCCTGATACAATTGTTGTTCTTACTTTGTTCAAGTTTATTAATGGGAATAGTTGCATGAAATATAATAAGAATAATAAGTAACTACAGAAATATGCTTACATTGCATTTATCGTATATTAGTTTTGCTTTATTAAATAATGGTACATTTGTTGACCGGAACAAAGCTGTTTGCCGGTCTCTCTCCTTTGTTTTTAATGATGGTAGATCGAACCATAACAATATAATATCTATAGGAATGACTTTATAATCTTTATCCACAACTACATAAACTGTAGGCTGTTCACATAATGAGTAACAGATGGCACCAAGTACAAAATTCAACAATTTCGTCTACATGTGAAAAGTAAAAACAGGAAGAGAAGAAACAAGGTTGATAGATATATTACAGTGGCTCATATGTAAAAGTATACATGAATCCCCAAATATAAACAAGGCAAAAGCGTTCACGAAATATTTTTTTTAAAATCAGGAAATTATCAGTATATACAGTTGATTAGTGCATAAATAGGCCATAACAATGTGTTAGATAGTCGGTGGCAATTGACAGGAAGCCTTGAATTTAGGTTTTATGCTCATTGCCACTTGTCAGGAAGGCGTATCTGCAACCTTGAAGGAGCCGATGCTTCTTCTGAGATTCCAGCAAGCATCACCTACACAGTGCTGCAGTCACAGAAATTACGGATGAGCTAATCAGGTTGACTATTGACCTCCAATAGGACTGTAATGGATACACTGATAGGTTACTGCAGAGTGACAATGTCATATGTCTAGTCAATGTGACTATGGAGTCATAAGTGACTTGACGTACAACTTACTGAATTATGATCACCATGTTTAACAGTATGCTTATGAACCTTAGTGTTTCTTGAATTATAATGTTTCCAAAAGCAAACAATGTAAAAAAGACAAAGAAACTAGAACACATACAGTCAAACAAGATATAACGCAGAACTATCAAAACTGGAGTATTTCATTCAAGCCATTTTGGCCGTTATCTACCAACAAGTATCAAGAAGTCGCAAAGAGTTGACAGAACCAACATAAACTTAGTGAAAATAAGTTCAACAATTGGGTACAGAGATTAAGACAGACTAAATGAAAGCTAGAAGAAAATCTCCTTTTAATTATTTCTTCACTACTTGCGTGATATATCAGATACTTCGTCTGAAGATTTTGCTTCATAGTTTACATGTGCTGATACACTGTCCACCCAAATAAAAGCACGATTAATTCTGAATAAATATTGTAAATACAAAACGTGCATGGAAAGTGTATATTGCTTAAATGAGGATTACTAATTGGAAATTCAAAAAGGAATGACTCAAAATCAGTAGTATTGACTTAAATACGTTCACATTTTTATCTTTACCTTAATTAAAATACCGCAATCCTTTATTTGTTTAACTTCCTGTTACTGCTGATTTTAATGCTGATTTCATTCTCACCTCCTGCATAGTTATGGTAAGAGAGATCGGTAACCAATTATACTAAGTCCTACTAGAATAATGTGTGTCTGTCAAAAACACAATATTTTTAAACTTATAATACACATTATATAAGTCTGAAATAAATCATATGAAATAGGTATATTTACTTTACTTACAATAGATTCTATTCGACTGGATCTTCTTCGATTTGCAAATCCTGAGCTCAGAGAACAAATAATCAGAAGTGGATAGTTTATAGGAGCTAAATTATGACGTACTGAAGCGTTCAAAGCATTACTTAATGCTAACAAGTATTTGTCTAACAACTGTCGACTATAATTCAAGGGCCTTAGGAGAAAAGGGAAAAACAAACAACAATTGATTGGAGTATTTGAATGAATGATGGTGTAGTGATACAATCAACAAAAATAATTAGTCAATGACTACACTTATTTTTTCTCGCCTAATTTTAGTTATGATTTGAATACACAGTCATAAGGATGGTAATAAAGAATCAGTTGCGAATTTCTGAACACTCGATGTCTCTAACATCAGAAAACACTGGACCTAAGGGGCTAGACGGAATTCATGTGGTTTCAAGGATTTGGCCCCCCCTCGGGCACACCGGTAATGAGCCCAGCCTCAAACTGGTGAAGCAGCCATCTGGTGTTTGAATCACAACTGGTTGATGTGAGTGGTATCTAACTGATGATATCAGTCAATAAACCAGTAATGTAAAATGTCATGGATTTATTCTTGCTAACTTAATTGTCACTTGTAGTGTCAAGCACACACTGTGATCTGAATAATTCTGGTTTCCAAAGAAAACTATGGTGACCTGTGTAAGGCGTTGACCACAAATTAATTTTCTAACTGCTAATTCGATTTAACTGGACAATTACTTCCTTTCTTGCCCTGATACCTGTTTTGAATGGGCAATCCCAATCTAGTACAACAATGAATCTGATTGGACTGATAGTAACATGCTCAGTGATAAAGTTTCAAACAGGATTGGAAATATGAACTAATGAAAAGTCACAAGTCTTCCCTAATTCCTAGTAGTTGTCTATCCAGTCATTATATACAACGAAAACCAACCTTATACCTGATTGTCACAAGCATTTTAAGTGGTATCTGTCTTGCGTGACATAACTTTCTTCAGATGAAAATTCAGTCTCACCTGTTATACATTTATTTCGAACACTTATTTACCTTATTTTATTTTTGACTGACAGCTCAAAATAGCACACATTGAAGTGAACAAATAAGAAATGTTAGTCCACGATGTATTGAATTCAAAAATGTCAGTGGGGTTCGTTAGGCTTTTATTCTCTGAAAAAGATTTCCACATATTGTTATGTAAAAAAAACAAAGTAAGTGAAATAGTTAGGCAAAGACAAGAGCATTAAAGTATCTCAGTATATAGGTCAACTCGTGTTTTTGAGCACAAGCGAACGAGTAATCCAACAATCAGAGAAAGATGAGACGCTGCATATACAGATTCAAGTGTTTTTGAGGAAGCAAACATGAAAATGGTTCAGAGAGGCGTGGATTTACCAGCATGGATAAGCAGCTGAGTAAATGATTAGGACGGAGGTAAAAAAAGTACCATGAAGCTCTATCACAAAGCATCTAATCACCTAAAAACACAACACTGACGTTTCTAAGATTTTCACGTTTACTAGAAGACAACAAGATGAGAAAACGCTTAAGGATATGAGTGTTTGAGCAATTTGATTCTACACAATGAACCTATATGGACAGAGAGTATTGACCACCTTGAATCTACTATTATAGAGTTTCTGGCTTACTGTGAACATGGTTTTCGAAGTGGTTGTTCATCCCCTGTTCTTTTACTTTTTCTCAGTGTATTTATTTCTTCAACAATCTTAGCTGCTTTTTAACTTGCTTGTTTAGTGAATAAAATTATTACTGAAAGAGCATCCAGGATAAGGTAAGTAGAGCAGGATTTGAACTCGTAAATCAAATTTCGAGTCATTTACAGAGTGTCCGAAAATCTTGCCAAAGGATTACGAATTAAACTGCTTCAAATCGCAGAAGTCTTGGCAACGTGAATGTTAAATCCTGAACTTAGCATACAGAGGAAGTTCATTCAGTCACTGAAGCTAGGATGGACCTAATTTGTCTCATTACTGGATACTTAATTCTTTTAACTCTAACATATTAAATTGTATCATCTTTTCACCCTTTCCCACTGTCACACTTCTACATGTCACTGCAATGGACTTGACTTGACGCTCATTAAATTTTAGTTGAGCTCTACTCAATCCTCTAAACCATATTACACCACTCGATGTTTTTACTTTATTTTAGTTTCTACCCGATTCTTGCTTTCTGTGTTACAATTTAAACGACACATCTTTGAAAACAGAACAATTAAAGCTTTTAAAAACTACAACACAAATCACTTACTTAATGCTGAAATACGATGGTTTACGCATTAGCCTCATTTTTATTAACCATTTGCAGCGAAAATTGTACCTTTTATTAAGATAGGATTCTATAAAAAGAAAGTGGGACACAAAATTTAAAATATGCATAATTATGGTCAATATGTACAATATATAACATATACTTAAACATGCACATAACAGATAATACTACTAATACATTGATTGCAAAAGCTATCCAGCAGATTGGAGCATTTTTTTTGCTTCCCACTGTGTGTCTTACAATCTTGCTGTCAAACTTTTCATGATGCCAGTTAGAAAAAGTAACTTGTGGCCAGTTTCCACTGGCTGTCAGTTAAACAATTGGTCTAATCCTACTGCACAGTCTATGACAAGAACACTTCATGTTCAAACTAGTCTATTATTACTAGCAATATAACAGCAGCAAATATAACTTTTAAAGCCCTTTCAACAAAACAAAAACGCCAAAAGGCTACTAATATGCTTATACAGAATGAAAAATCGATAATTTTGAAACCTAATAAATAAGTAGAGTAATAACCACCCTCGAAAGAAGTAACTATGTAAATAGAATGAATGGTATACTAATTGACGAACTAAAATTTGTTAATTGAGAGATCCATCAGATATAAACAAAAACAATCGAGTAAGTGGGTTGGTTACAAAAGTGGAACAAATAATAATTTGTTCCTTTCATTTGAAGTGTGCAACATAGGGCTTTGTCAGAACATGTCCATTTCACTAGATCCTGTGCAGTCATTATCAGCTGGCTCCAAGACCGTCCATGTGCTTTCGTCTTCCCTTCATATAATCTTCCCCTCACTTTCAGACGCCCAACCTCTTTTCCTGTTATACTGCCCCTCAAGGAATTGGTGTGTGATTTTACCAGAATGTCTCCTCAACATGCCTCCATTTCGTTGTGCTTATGTATTGGGCAACAAGTTGGCTGCCTGAGTTCCTTGTTACTTATCGCCTCTGGATGACAAACCAATCTTCAGTATGCAGCGAAGGCAGCTTTTGACGAAAGTTTACAGTTTATGGAAGATGCTTTTGGTGACGCGTTTATCAGGCTTCCGAACAATATACAAGCCCTGATTTGACAACACTGTTGGAAATTCAAATGTTGCTTCTTATTCTCAGTCCAACTGACTTCTATGCTGATCTCAGAGTAATAAAGGTCTGTCTTGCTTTTCCCATCCTGTCTTTGACAACCTCCCCCCTATCACCTGTAGTTGAAACGATGCTGCCTAGGTTAGTGAAAGAGACAACTTCCTCTAAATTTCTCCTGTTGACGGTGACCGGTGTTTGTTGTCATTGGTTGGGTATCCTCATCATCTCTGTCATCCCTATGTTCACTTGAAATGCTATGTTCGCCAACTCATCTGATAACTTTACAGTTTTCACTTGTAAGTTTTCCAGTTTACGTGACATGAGACACAAATCATCTGCAAAGTTCAGATCTTCTGGTGTCCTTTTGTTAGTCCAATGTATATCTGTCTTGTCGAAGGGTTTATCATTGTCAAAAAGCACTGAAAATGATACTCATACATGTCGAAAATCACTATCAAGGAAAATATAGACTCCATTAGAAACAAAACTATTACAACAATCTGGCAAAATCACAATTACAAGTTTTAGGCTTTCGTATTACTTATCTACTAAAAGAAATGGAGAAAATAGTGATGTTCGAAAAAAGGGTGCTGAATCTGAGTCTCATTGGGAATTTTTTTTTTATTTCCTTCACGTTCCCCAGTGGAACATAGGGCTTCAAGCTAGTGGCTTGAAGTTTCTGTAGCAGAGTTTATTTTTACGGGATGGGGTTGCTAGCCTCATGCCCAACCTTTCCTCTTCACCAGCATTATTTCTGGCTTAGCGAGGTAAAGGAGTGCGCCGGCCGGGGCTTGAACCCCGGACCATGTGCATGGTTGGCGAGCGTTCTAACCACTATGCCACCGACGCACCTCATTGGGAATACCACCACTTATTAGGGAACTAATATATCCAGATGATGAGTCTCAAACTGGACGAAACAGGGGTATGGGAATCTACTGGCTACACACCATCAAACAAGTAACTTTTAGTTATTAAGATATAGATGTATATAAGATATAGACATCTATTTAAATAACCCATATACCGCAACGCGGCTGATCACAAAAGTGAATAAACAATTTCAAGAAAATGTAAATTCGATTGCAAAACAGATTTCACTTTTTTTCACATTTCATGTTACTTACTTTTTAGCTCTTGTAGGTAACTATTCACCGAAAATTTATCTTTTAACTTTTCGACAGATATATATGCCTTAAGATAAGTTGTTGGTAATTGTCTCCCTTCGATGACCGATTCCTGAAAATTATTTTTAAAAATCATGCATGATTAATAAAACTGTAAATGTTAGAGTAATAATAATAATAATAAAGCTTTATTTCAGACAATATGTGAACATATATTATAGAAATTTTCAGCGCATTTAATTCCAAAATATTCCCTCTTAAAACAGGGCTTCTTCATTAAGTAATGATTTGACATAGCGTTGCTGTATATGAGAAGAAAACCAATTCTGAAAGATTTTTCTTCATTTCTTTCAAGAATTGCATAGCGTCTAGTAGGAAGTCAATTAAATAGGCACGCGAGTTCACGTAGTGTTCATATGATATAATTGCACGATTAAAACAATAAGAAATCCAGACAAGCTTAAGCATGTTGATGGACGCGAATTCTGTCAGCCCAGTGATTTAAGCAGGCCACCGTAGGATAATAATAATAATAACCATAAAATTTCATACACGAATTCCCCCTTAGTGAATTTGAAAAAAGCGATAACATCAACGCATGGAGCAAGATGAAATGGACTCATTGTTCATTTCTTCAGTCAGCTGCACTTACAGGGTGAATAATAAATGTTAATAGTTAGTTCTTAATACAGTTTTAATGTAGTTTGGTTCATTGGAGAGATAAAATGTGGAACAATAATTAAGAATCATCATGGTATACAGATGAATCGATTTGTACCTCTTCACTTATTTAAGATTTAATTTAGTTATTTTTCGGTTGATGATGGCTACCAGTGGAATCCAGAACGTACATTTCATCCTATTTGGGACTCGTCAGTTGGATGTACTTACCTTCTCCGCTAAAGGTGGTGTTCTCAATGAGATTTGAACCCTGCACCTATCTTTTTAAATAACAAAGCGTTATCCACTGGGCTACAACATCCCCCCTTTGCGCAACAGATACCAGTTATTACTTAGTTTTAGGTTAATTTGCATTTCTCGTTGATTGATTACGTAGGATCGAAATGGTCAGTTTCTGTTAACATGTCGGCTCCTAACAAGGACGCTCCAACGGTGTCTGAAAATCGTCATGATGCTATTTTGCTTGATGGTGACTACCACTGGAACCTAGGGGACGCATTTCGTCTTATATGGGACTCACCAGCTAGATTTACCTGTCAAATAACATAGTGAAGCGTCCATAATAGGAGCCAGCATGACAACATAGGCCGAGCATTTCTGTCCACTAAAATCTATCAGCAGGGAATTCGAACAGTAATTTCAACAAAAAATTTAGTTATGACTGATATAATCCACATCTCAATCGTAAATAGCCATATACCAAGTGTATTATTAATCTTGATAATAAAACGAAATCTCTAGTCTATTGAAGAACGCAAAGCTTTGTTGAACATTAAATAGCGAAAAGATTCATGCTAATCCCATAAAATGATAGACTCATTAGTATCACAAGTGTAATATATATATATATATACACATATAAACTACCTTATCATTACCTAACAGGTGAACAGAAATTATTACGTGATAAACTTAGAAAATAGAATTTGTCATGTGAACAAAGGACAGGTATAGCTACGTGTAAAATTCTGAATTCATTAAAACTCGTTTTATGCATAAGCATTCACACAGATATCATAAATGTGCATGAATCACTTGCATGTTTTGTTAATTACGACTACACTAATCAAAATTTGATCGATTAAAAAGTAAAACACTGAAAGACTATATTATTTAGATCACGATGGAGAAGTTTCTTATTGTCTTAATCGCTGAACTTTAAGCCAATAGACCCCGGGATTTAAATCCAACTAACCACTACTTCACCCTTAACGATTGCGTATTTTCATAACCCCTCCAAACAATACAAATATGGCTCATAGTCCGATTAATAGAAAATGTGTCGCGAATAACCAATTTCTGGCTAACAATATATTTAAGTAGTCACAATATATAACAGGTGTATCGATCCTTTACAGATTCTCAATTTATGCCACATTAATCACCAGAATTATCATTTATCTATTAAATCAATCTATAAAATCTGTCTACTACTTGCTGCTATAGGTGGAAAATTTATTTATATACATGTATCTTTAGTAAAAAAAAAATACAACAATACGAAAATATACCTGGACTGTTTATTGGTATTTCAAATAATCTCTTAAAATGTGTCACTATGAATCATTTGAATATATTTCGAAAACTTGTTTTGAAATTTATTTTCACGACCTTTAATGTTGACTAAGTAGTTGCCATAAGGCACAAGTGGTTAGCAGAATAATAATTACACAAAAAATAACTGCTACCAAAAACCAAAGATACATACTACATAGTTATGAAATGAAAAAATTAAAACCCACTTGTTTTGATAAAATCTGCAGAATAATTTCATGTTCTGCTTCAGAAAGATGTGAGTCTAATATACTTTCTATGTTTTGTAAAATTATTTCATGTCCAAGCTCTCCACAGGCTAAATAAGCATAAATAAAGGGAAGCAATTACAAAATGATTGAAAAATATACACCCATAAGCTATAGATTTACTTAAATGGGAGAATAAAATTCATGAAGGAAATATGTAAGATAACTAACCTCAACAAGATCGGATAGTGTAGAAAGTAAGTAGATTCGCTCACAAAGCCTGAATGCAATGGCTCATATGTTATACAAAAAAAATGTTGCTTAATGTTCTCAATACACTTTGCAGATGAGTAAAGGTAAGTGGGAAGCTTAGGTCTAGAGCTTAATTCTGAATGTTTGGCATCTTGAAAACTAGAAAAACTGGCAAAGTAACTTTATTCAAAGGGCAATACGAACTTGGTTAAAATTACCCAAAAAAGTCATGTAAGTAGGTCTTTATAAATCGGTAAGATATTGATTAAACTTTACTGTGTTGAATAAATTACAGTTTGAAATTATCAGTGGATGATAAATTCCGGAAAACATGGAGAAGATGCAATCAAAGTTGAAATGAAGATTTGGGTTGCTACAGTATTCCAATGGGTAAACAATGAATTATCAGTCATGTGATGTATCAGAAGACAGCTACCACAGACAACCTTACCAGCAAAACAGTAGACTGAGTGAAAATTAAAAACTACTGCAAATACTGCGAATTGACAGAATTTAGGTGGCTCAGCTATTGGATTTCATCCTGGTAGATGGATAGTCAACGAGCTCTCCTTGTAATCTGAAGGTCCTGTGTTTGATCCCTGGTATTGTCATGGGCGTGTGCTGATGAAGAGTCGAAACAAGGACGAAATAACGCTTCGGTACTGCCTATTTTTCAGTGGTTCTCTAACTGAAGTCACTTCGTGATCAAATTCGGCATTATTCAAATCCCTGAGAACTAACGCTTGAGAAAAATGATGGTTATATCGCTGAATGAATACACTTTTCTTCCTATGTAATAAATTTTAACGTGAAAATATATGACCAGCTTAACAAAGCTACGGTAGGTTTATTAGACAATGAGTAGTATATAAGAATAGTAAGGAAATCAATGTCCAACTAACAGCTTTTTTCAATAAGTGGTTCACCTCAGCTCCATTGTGTTCAAGAGCCACTTCACTAAGTTGTGTAGATATTTTACTCATCAGCCATAACTAAAACCTTGTTTTTCAAAGGAAAAGTATTTAAAATATAAAAAGGCTTGAAACATCATTGCCTTGAATGAACACCTGAACAAAAACAAAAACCATATGATTTAATGGTTCCTACGAAGATTGGTTTCCTAATAAATCTTCCATTATGGATTCAGAAAAACTATCTTACCTTTACTGAGACCGCTTGATATATGATCAAAGTGTGACTACAGCATCATTGATTGGTGCAGCATACTTGTCGATACAAAAATAATTTTACATTATTCTGAACATCGTTGTTCTATAATGGTTACGACACAGAGTCCTTATAGCACAAAGCAGTTGCTTCAAATATCCCTATCAGATTATTGCGAACTTGAATAAGTAATTTGGAATTATGCGCCAAAGTAGTATATGCGGATGGCTTATTCCAGACACGAATAAGGTGACATGAAGTATCACCTACAGAAACACAGTTAGTGTAAAACAGATATTCTACGAAATGTTAAATGTAGCAGTGAGGATCAGTGTACAGTAAGGTCCAGAAGAATAAGTTACAGCAAACAATGTAGCTAGATTTCCAACTAACACACTGCATTTCCACATACGAATTAAACGCAGAAATTTATATTAAAAACTTTTCGTTTGGCTGTACTAGATTAGTTTTTCGCGACCAATTGCCAAAACACATCTACAACTTTAACCTGTTAGATATCCCAACAAATGGAATCATTCATAAAAGTTCACATTTATATCCTGATATAAGGAAACTTACCTATAAGATTCCTCCAAGTGCCAACATTTTTAAGAGATGTTTTTGGATGGTTCGGAAGTTTCATACGTAATCCAACCTTTGAAGCATCCCAGTCACCATCCAAATTCATACGTATAAAATCATCAAAATTTGAGGGATACTTCTTTTCAAGAATACACATCACGCTGAATGCAGGTTTTCGTATATGTAGTTTGCGGACGACGTCTTTCAAAGTGAAAATGTCCACAGATTTGTCTCCCTGTACTGATAGCAAATTTTCACAACGGTAATCCACTGCTTTATCACCTGCAGTTTTTGAACCCATCTAATGAAGGTAAGAACTGTCAAACAAATTACCTCGCACTCAGATGCACATTCAGCTCTGATTTTCCGCCTGCATTGTGCTACAAAAATGTTAAGTGAATCTAATCTTACCTAGGTCGTACGGACTAAATTTAGTAAACTTTGAGATCATACATCTTTTTAATGCAGTGGGCATTTTTTTAAGACAAAAATCATCAGTTAATAACTTCAGAAAGGGTTAAAATATGATGAAAACCTACTGCATAGTATTCGGCAACTTTTATCCAATCCACTGGTGAACTAATGCACGCGTCAAAATACTTCCTAAGGAAAACTCGACACTCTGCATATAAGCAGGCGCTTGAAAATAACAAATTAGTTATTTTTTGGATGTTCACATGCTTGTGACAATAAAATGCGATCTAAGATGCATGAAATGAGAATGGTACGCTACCTTGAGAAGAAACTCCGGATCTTTTCCGCTGCAATCACCGATTACAGTAATTAAACGTCCTTGGCTCTCCTTATCAAGTCTATTAATAATTGACTCCAACGCTATACTAAGGACAGAACACTAAAATTGTTGGGTAATGAAATTCATATCTAAATTCCATACTTTAAAGATAAAATGTTCTCCAGTCTTTGACGTTAGGTTGCACAAGACAGAGATATCTGCGTCACTTTGCCGTTCAACAGATGACATTGTACTGAACCAATCAATTAAGTTTAGAAGTCATCCAGCGTGCTAGTTCAAGTTTTCTTGGATGTTTACCAATACAACCAGCTTTTTTATCCTCGGTTTGAAGAAAATACTGAAGTAATTAAAATGATGCGAAAAATCAAACTATATGTTAGATAAAACAGAAATATTTCAAGCTTACTTTAGACAAAATATATTTTGAAACCCGAAATGTTGGAAACAGACTACAATTCACAATATAACAGCATACAAAAACTTCTGAATAGCATACCATATACTTTCTTACACCAGAGGCAGAATTAAAGATTTTAAAGAAAGGAAAAACATAATGAAGTATCACTAAGCTTAGCAACTCAAAGTGAAAAACTACAGAAATCAGTAGTCAGACAATATATTTTCAGTGAACATTACCGCTAAAACAAAAGATTCTTCTTTATATCAACAGCTGTGATGCGTATCATCCATGAAATACTGAAAAAACAGTAAACTATTCACACAACCGATCACATACATATCAATTGTTAAGATTGAAAAGAGTACACAGAACTGTAAATCGTTTGGGTGTCCATAAAAACCAAAAGTAGATAAAACATACAGTGTATATACCGATGCATTGAGTAGGAAACAACTTAACCTTAGAACTACCCTGTACAAGCCTTTAAATTCCATCAATAATCAAGGTTGAAATACATATAGCTGTATCCCAAGGGTGATTTAATATTATGTAAAGAAGAAACATAGTTTAATAGCGAAATTATTGTTATAACTATGTTCTTGTTAGAACACAAGAAACCCAGCTGTGATAAATTTTTAAAAATGGATGGTGTGGGCGTAAAATTGCAGTTAAACAATAATAATACTCATTGGAGTGTTCGAGGCAGCACATCCAATCCATGTATTTTAATAAACAAGATTAATTAATCACCTAGATTCATAGTAATCTCATTACTGCCCACTAGAAAACGCACAAGAATATGCTGCAGTGACACGATAACTTTTACTATGATCCAAAATAACACATTTACAAACTTAAAAATGAGGTGACAGAAGGACAGAATCCAGTGGAATCCAAAGTATGGTATTCTTCAGAGGAGTATTTTGAATAAAAACATAACAATCAAAATCAAATTGTCAGATCAGAAACTTTGGACGTAATATAAGATGTGAATATTGAAAGCAATATGCTGAGTAGGCAGCAACTCAATATATGCATTATAACATACCAGAGTTGTGAGAAATTACTTTCTTAGGAGATGAAATTGGTGTTTGAAATTTGTAATAAGCCAACTTGAAAAACTAAAAACAAGCCCATTCGTACACCTGTCGTTCTACAGCGAGAACTTAGGTGTCTTCCGACAAAAAAAACGATACAAAATTGTTGGGAGCCCAGTCAGCAATTTTTTTGGGGCAGACCTAGGGCGCATTGCAGACTTTTTGGGGCAGACTTCGGGCGCACTGCAGACTTTTTGGGGCAGACTTAGGGTGCATTGCAGACTTTTTGGGGCAGTCTTCGGGGCGAATACTCAAGAACGGCAATGCGCCCAAAGTTTTTTGCCCCGAAGAAATGCTAGCTGGGAGCACGTAAATGTTCACGTTATTTTGTGAAATACGTATTCGGGAGACCCAAAGATCTCCACGCGGTCATGAAAAAAACGAAACTGCAGAAAGAGATCTTTTTTTACGAGAGAAAAGATTTTAAAATACACCTAAAGACCCTATACGATAACAATTAACAATAATGGTCGTCGCCAGTCAGGTGGTTACAAAGTTTATGACATTTTCAAAGACAATAATTAGTGAAGCTGAAAACAATAACATAAATCAGTAGTGTCACCTACCTCCAAATACAGGAGTTACACGGACGGGAGGAAAAACAGTAAAGGGATAAACTCTTGCACGACCTTGAGAAAAGCAAACTTGCATCACATCCCAAGGTCCAGCATCCAATATCCAACATCGTTTTAACGAGCTAGTATAAGCCAATTTGATTTCGCTGTTGGTCTATAACTAGTGGCATTTCGCCTGCCCTTACACATGAAAATCGGTGAAAGGCTAGCTCTTTTCCACCCCTTTGGACACTTCTACCGATCCATCGAGTGTTGCAACAAGTCGCATAAGGGCCTGCGGAGAGCTTCGGCGCACAGTTTCAGAACAGATGGCCTGATTTTGTCAAAACCTGGCAACTTTCCGGAGGGTAGTGTCTGTAGCTTCCTTAGTACTATTGCCGGGGTTTATTCGGGGAGTAGCCACTACGTTTTTCTCCGTGAAATAATAGTGCCACCACTTCGGTCTGTACCAGCAATGCCCACATTGTTGTGTAAATATTTGGTTAAGGCTAAACTGAATGCTTTAGCCATCTCCTGACTAGTGAGTTATTGACTGTTTGGTTTAACCAAGGCGCATGCTCCATGGTTGATTAGTTTTCTTTCCGACAGGAATCGATACAAGCTTTTACGGTTCGCCTGGAGTTTTTGCGTCGTGGCTGGTCTGAGCCTTTGATACTTGCCACGTAAACCAAGCCTTCCGCTTTGCTTGCAGAGTGCGTTGCGTACTTTTCTTCAGTCATGAGGACCTTTTCTTCGTCTGTGTTGAGACTGAAGGGACGGTATCCAAGATTGCGTGTAAATAATCTCTTTTACTACTTCTCAGTGTTCATTCATAGATAACTCATTCCATGCTAAAGGCCATTCTGCGTCGGACAAAAGCCTCTGCATTTTTACATAGTGGTGGCACAGCGGTTATGACTCTCCAACAATGCAAATGGTCCGGGGTTTGATACCCCGCACACCTGATATCTATGGTCGGCCTGCAAAATTTGGGCTACCGATATCACATGCTGAAAATTCCATACCTATACCAAGAATACGGCATGGAATCAAGCTGTAATAAAATAATAATCCGCCTTGTTTTAGCACGGACGTGGTCGCGTAGCATCCCACTACAGATGCTTAAGGAGAGTAAGATCGAATCCTATGACGCTATGTCACCGCTTCCTAGTGGGTTAATAATCTGGACATTTTCGACAAGTAGTTGGTCACTAGTTAGAATATAGTCTAGTTTTGACGTCTTTCCGCTAGGGCTCCCCCTAGTGTCATCTTCAACATTCTCAGTCAGTTCTGTATTTCGAATGGTTTGCAGTAGATTTTGACCAAATTTTCCTTGAGCATCCCCCGAGCCAAGGTTCAGTGATGGGACATTGAAATCTCCAGCTATGGTGATTTATTCATAGCCCAAGTCCCTTCTCCCTGTGATGGTACTGAGCAGTAGCTGGTTTTGCTCTGTTCCACAGGTGGGTGAATGATAGAGGCCACAAAATAAATGCTTGTTGTGGTCTACGGTGAAATGACGCCATATGAAGTCTGGGAGTTTAATAAGTGGTGGGTCCATTGCACGTATATATTTAAGCTGCTTGTCAAAGTATATATCAACTCTCCCTCTTCCTTGTTAGCCCTGTCTCTCTTCATTAGAACCATATCACATATACCGATTTCGTTGTCAGCGATAGTCGGAGTTAGCCAGGTCTCAATAAGGATGATTATTTTTCGATGTAGGTGTGACTTGATGTTTCAGAGTTCATCTACTTTCCCTCTCACGCCTCTAACACTGCTATATACGCAGATGACAGTGAGTCTCACAACCTCAGCGTGTTGTGTGGTAGTTTCCGTTTCGTTGTCTGCTGGTAGGGGACTTCATATTTGTACTAGTTTGTCGATTGTGATGGAACTGGCTCGTTGTCATTTTTCCTTGGATTCGTGTAGGACACTCGGGTAACACTGACTGTCATTCTCAATGCGGGATCGCTCTTGTGTCACTGAGACATGAGGAGATATTGAGTTTTTACTCTGCTGCCTCTTTAGGGTCCAAGGTTGGGTTTCGCAGCATTGGGTATGTCCACCAACTTTATCCCTGGCCTTATGCCAGTGTTGAGGCACTAGAGCTAACTGCTCCTGGAAAATGAAATAGACAGCCAGTAGCCTTGGTGAACTGTTCAGTGTGAGATGACCGGCATGAGGTGGTCTACAAGTCGAGATACCTCTGTAGCACCAGTGCTGTACATCAAGCATTTTGCCAACTTCCAGCTTCAAATACCATGTACGGCTGTGGAGGTGAAGGTCATTAGCCCGCATGAAAGCCTTTCCATTTGCTTATCTGTCCATGGTCTATCAGGTCCTGCTCTTATGAGCCACTGTATATAGAGAGTACTTGTGGCAATAATAATATATCCTAAATTTTGTACATGAGGGATGCCAGTTTACGGAAATCATCAATATGATGAATTACATGTATGATTACTAAGCATATTTATTAATAATGTTATAAAATACATATTTATTTATACTTATGTAGGACACGCGAATTGTACTAGCATGGTTAACTATTACACTAAATTACAGAAATTGTGTTTATGGTGAAATTACATGGTTGCCGTCTTTTTGTCCTTAGTTTGTGGGAACAATCTGATATCTAGTCACTCAAGGGAGCACATTGAGAAATATAGAAATATTGTCTTCGCTTTAACAAAAAACCCAAGTGTGTTTTAGAAGGATAACAAACTCCTGGGAAAAAATAAAGCTTGAAGTCATTCCCCACGTTATATCGGGGGGTATGTGTATGGAATCGAATTTTTTTCTTTATTTATGTCCGAATTGGGTATTAATTTAAAATAATTGATATAATTGTACGATATAATTACCATTTTCGTCGTAAGTAACACCAGAAGTGAACTGTACTCATTCGGACTATTATTGGTCATTGTTATACAGATTTACATCACGGCGCTGAGGTCATCCAAAGCCACCATTTGTCGCTGCATGTTTTTCCATATCAGTAAGTTGATTAACATGCTGACTGCTTTAGGTAAGCAATTTCACATCATAGATACCGCTTGTATAGGGTCCTGATATAATGACAGTGGATATTTCACTTTGTGCTAAAAGAGGAGGCCTACCTTCTCAGCGTCCTCGGCAGATGTCAGTGTTCCACTTCATGGAAGTGGATTACCT